AGATAAGAAGCACAAGCCGTGGACAACACCAACACCATGTCAGCTACTACAATTAACTAGCCGCAGCCTCGACTCTAGGTCAGCTGGAGCTGGAGGTGCGGCAGTACTGAGATTGAGCCGCAACATTCTTAGGCAGTGCACACCAGCACTCAATAAACAATAGTCTGAACGTCCTCATCCACGTTGCTTGGATCGGTTAAACATCGATTCGTCTGGCCGTCACAGGCGCGTCAAGCCCGTCTGCTTATTGTGGATGCAAAAACGCCCGTGCCTCAGGCGGGGTAGAGGCACGGTATCGCCAGGGCGCCCTGAGGTTGCATATTACCTGTGGAAGAGAAACACTGTGACTGGACTTGGCGACACCGGTGAAGGGGCACGAGTGGTGTGGGCGCCATCTGTTGTCCTATTGGGGGAAGATTCAGAGTAGCGGGATCGCGACAGGCATTCCATCGAGAGCCTGGATGGGAATCGCTGTTGAGCAGGGCCGCAGGAAGGCTGCATGCTGAGGTGGCTGGAAAGGCCAACCTCGAGAGAGGCCTTGACAGCCCGCGGAAAGGCGTTGAAGCTTGACTGGATACAGTCATTAGGGCCGCTCGATGATCTTACTCAGCGGGAGCCAGCAGTCCAATCGTGCAAGCCGCTGCCCCACTGTCCCGTAGAGCACGGCCCTCGGTTCTCACGTGCATGCACCTCCACCCACACCTTGCATCATGCCCTGATCACAGTCACTCTTCTTGTCACCCTGCACAACCACTCCCTATAAGAGACGCGCTCATAGAGGCTATCATGCTAGGGTCGTGTAGCCAGTGCGAGTGTGGCGTTCGATACTAGTGGATCAGTGTAAGGGCCGCCCTTCTACTTCCAGCGTACTCTTCGTTTCGGCCCCCAGAACACTGCCTTCACCAGGATTTTGTTTGGCGCCAGAGCCTATCGCTGGTGATTATGGGCTGCAGGACACTAGTCTATACGAGGGAGCTTGCTAGCTTTATGCGGCCTCACATGTATCCATGTCAGCAATCGCCATGGATGGGATTTTCAACTTTGCTTCAGACCTCTGGGTAGGATAACGTCCCGCCTTACCTACGGCCTTCCGGCCATTGTCATTATGTGGACCGGATGCGACGCTGCCTCTCGGGTATCCACCAAGACATTTGTGGTCTTATTCTGCGGCTCTGGCTTTGGTGGCAACCTCTCACCATTGAGTCGTGCCGGCTGTATTGCTTAAAAAAGGCCTAGGCAATCTGGGTTAACTTCGATGCTGCGACCAAGCCCGGGCGTTCTTGAAAGGCAAGTGGTCAGGTAGATCTATGCCTTCGGCTTGGTTGTTCTGCTTCCGGCCTTGTGTGTACACACCCTAGTGAACAGGATTACTGTCGAAGCTCGAGTAATCCCAGCCTCGCCAAAGAATTCGTATGTCCAGATGCTGCCGTCATATGCAGGCCGGTTGTTAGCTTCGTCATCGTTTTATAGTTACCCGTTCCTGCCTACTTCCTTCTCCTTCCCGAGCCTCCAGCCCATCTTCCGTCGCAAGGTATGTGATGCTCCCTTTGGTACCCTATTCTTGTTGTTCTTGATCTTTATACTATTCCAATTGGAGACGAAGGCATCTCTCCGCGAACAACGCTACATCCACTTTGTCGCAGAGAGCATGGACCTTACTTTGTTTATATAGCGCTTCAATCCCTCTGGAATCCCCATCACGTGTCTAACTTACTTGTCCAGCTCCAAGCCGTGTGTCATTCGTTCAACCGGCGTAGCAGTCTGTCGCTTCAAGATGCGCACTTATTGGCCTCTCCTTCTGGCTTTGACCAGGTCAGCTCACGGCCAATATAACAGTACAGTTCTGGGTGCTCAAGCCACGCCATCGCCGCCCTCATCTTCAGCGGAAGCTGCTGAGGAGACTTTCCAGGCGCAAGGTGGAGGGTATTGCCAGGGCAGCACTTGCAAGACCACGAGCACGATATACGAATATGGAAAGCCTTCCACCTCCACTATCAAAGTTACTGTCACTTCACCTCAGACATGTCCAAAGCCGGTCACCAAAACCCAGACTGTCACTTCGTCGCAAGGATATGGTGGCGGGTATCCTGTAACTGTCACAGTCACGTCTACGAAGGAAGTCACCAAATCTGCCGGAAACAATCCTTCCCCACCAAAGACGATCACTGTCACTTCTACGAAGGAAGTCACCAAATCTGATGGATACAACACTCCCCCCAAGACGATAACTGTTACAACTACCAAGTCTGGTTATACCACGGTCACTTCTCCCGGATACTGCGCAAATCCACCTCCCATAACTACTACAATGGTATGTTTGCCCTTGGACTACACTTAAACACATACTGACTGAGAAAGACCAAAACTGTGACTGAGTCATCATATTGCCCTGTTAAGCCCCCCGTGACCGTGACTCAGGTGAACAACTCTACCATCACAAAGGTACTTTCTCTTCTCGCAATGATTCCAGGTCATCACTGACGAACTAGACCGAGCATGAAACCGTTACGGGCCCCACGACAACAATAAATAACACCATAACCCAGCTCACAACGCTGACACTGACTTCGACAGTGGTCACGGTAAGTAGTCTCTCCTGGAATTTTCCTTGGCTTGCTGGTGCTCTACCCATCTATCACATGCCATGATGTCGCTTGCTTATTGCAATAACTCGACCTGCTGCCTTTCTGTCGAAATGCAAGTCGTTGGAGTCCACTAACATGCTTACAGCTGGTCCCAACTACTGAAACTAGATACACAACGACCACAGATTATAAGACAACTACAGACTACAAGACTACCACGGAGACTGACACTACTACGAAAACGGACACTACCACGGCAACTGATACCACCACGCAGACCGATACTACTACAGAAACCGACATCACCACGCAAACCGATACCACCACGGAAACTGATACTACCACGGAGACTGATACCACTACGAAAACCGACACCATCACGCAGAGCGACACCACCACGCAGACCGACGTTTCTACTACGGTCAGCATCTCTACGTCTACCTACACCTCTGTCACCACTTACTCTACTACGCTCTACGAGACTATTACGCAGACACTACCGGGAACCACTTCCGTCACAACAGAGACAGTCGTCTCTACAGTCACGGCAACGCTTACCCTGACTGACTACATTTCCGTGACCCAGACTGTTCCTGGACCGACTGTGTCAATTCCAGGCCCAACAGAGACTACAGTGCAGACAGTCTCAGTCCCTGGTCCAGTACAGACAGTATCAGTGCCTGGGCCTGTAGAGACGGTATCAGTACCTGGACCGATCGAGACCATCATCAGTTTCCAGCCGACAACGACAACAGAGAGGATCAGCATAACAACAACCTCTCTCACAACTAGTATATCTACTTCAGTATCAACTTCGACAACGACAGAGTTCATTGTGACTACCTTTACTCAATCTGGTACCACAATCACTAGTACCGATACGGTCACCTCTGAAGTGTTGATCACGACTACGTTCACACAGACTCTGCCAACAACTGTGACTTTGACATCTGATCGGACTTTCATCGTCACAACTCCAGGTCCCACGCAGACCGTCGAAGAGACCGACACCGTTACTACGACAGTTGAAGAGACGGATACTCTTACCCAGACAGTAACCGAGGTGTCCACTTCACTCAGCACTCTAACACTGCCACCACAAGTCATCGTGACTACGACCACCCTCGAGGGTGAAACTTCAACCATTACAACTCAGCTCCCGCCTAGCACGGTAGTATCAACGATCGTGTCAACTCTCACTTTCCCGCAGGTCACAGTGACTTCTGTCAGCGTCTCGCCTCCTGAGACCGTGATAGAGACATTTACACAGCCAGGCCAGATTACTACGACAACTTTGACTCTTTCCGGAAGCACGACAACGTTCACGACGCAACTCCCTGCGAGTACTGTGCTTTCTACCATCACCATACCTGGCGACATCACAACCACTACCGTACAGCTTCCGGGCACTACATCCGTTATCACTACTCAGCTTCCTGCGAGTACTGTGGTTTCTACCTTCACGCTACCAGGCGATGTTGTTACTTCCACAATTCAGCTCCCAGGAACTACTTCCGTAGTCACGACTCAGCTTCCCGCGAGTACCGTAGTTTCAACATTGACGCTGCCTGGCGAGATCACGACATCCACTGTCCAACTTCCCGGAACCACATCTGTGATAACTACTCAACTTCCCGCGAGCACTGTGGTCTCGACAGTAACGCTCCCGGGTGACGTAGTCACTTCCACGATCCAGTTGCCTGGAGAGACCTCCATCGTGACTAGCCAGCTACCAGCCAGCACCATTCTCTCGACGGTAACTCTACCTGCTGTTACTTCTACGGTGATCAGCCAGTTGCCGGGAAGTGTTTCGACAACTACCCAACTAGCAACTGTCACCTTACCAGGATCAACAGTTTTGAGCACTATCTCCCTTCCCGGCTCGACCTCGGTATCTACTGTAACCTTACCTGCGACGGTCTCGGTGTCTACTATCCTGATCACACAGTCATTCGTTACCACTCAGGTGCAGCCCACGACGATTGTGCAGACATTGACACCAAGCTCATCCTCCACGACACCTGCATCTATCTCGTGCTCTAGTCAATGTCAGATCGATGTCACTGCAACCAGGTTAGAGTACCCTGGAGCGGTCGTGACCAGTACTGTATCCGTTCCAACTGTCACCCTTGAGATCTACACGGATAGGTTCTCGAACCCAGTCGGCTCTTCTGTCGTCACTAACCCACTGCCACCTCAAGCGCCTCCAACATTCGTATGGACTTACTCTGGTGTAACCTTGACTTATCCCACAACCTACGCAGCCTATGAAACGTTCAGCCATCTCGAGGTGGAGGCGGTAGGGACAGTTTGCGTGACTGAGACAGACACTTTGACCTTGCCAGCTCCCACAAATTACGCGTCTCTCATTGTACCCTTGAGCGAGGTCCTTGACACAGCATTTGTGGCGCCCACGGTAGTCAGCTATCTCAATCAGCAGCCGACAATTATTGCTCAACTTGGACAGTCGATTGGCCCAAGCGCATGTGATCCAATCGACGGAAGCACAGTCGACGGCATCCAATCTACAGTCGGGACTGCCGTTTATGTCACGTCTGTTGCAGGTTTGTCCACAGCAACAGTCCGCAAGCCGACAGCACAGTCCCAGGTTTTGCCATCTTCTGAACCTCCAGCCACTACAGCACCAGCGAGCAGTGCTGCTCCCCCAAGTTCAGTGCCGCCACCACCTCCCCCAACTTCAAGTAGGCCACCCCCTCCACCTCCTTCTTCCAGCGCAATCCCAGTTCCTAGCAGCTCGCCACCACCTCCATCAAGCGTGGCAGCACCACCTAGTAGCCAATCGCCATTGCCATCTAGTACTGTTGTCCCACCATCCAGCGTTGCGCTCCCACCGACAAGTATCGCGCCTCCGTCAAGCAGCGTTGCTGACTCCGCGTCTGAAGGTCCATCGCCATCTCCCATCCCCTCCTCGTCCGCCTCGCCTCCACCTCCCGAACCATCAACGGTCCCTGAACCATCGACCGTCATCGAACCTTCTTCCTCGTTGGAAGCACCCCCTTCTGCCCCTCAATCCTCAATCCTCGTATCAAGCCGCACGTCTACGCGCTCGACTACCACTTCGGAAGGCAGCTCATCTGTTCCTCAGAGTTCAATGTCTGAGTACACTGGAGGTGGTGCGTTGCCAACAGGGCATATCGCAGGTTTACTCCTCGGAGCTGCGGGCCTTGGTCTGGGACTGTTCTAATCGCTTAGTTGGGAAAAGAAGGACCAGTAAATACTTTTCAATGTTTGATGTTTAATGCAATAATGCTCGACAATGAGTTGGTGCACACCTCTACGGATGTGTTGGATGTAATGTTAGGCTCAACAAAATGCTTCATTTCTACCAATCTAATATGTGAATACCCTTCCATCTCATGTCACGAACATATTGCTATATGCTGAACTGCTGTGTCGTCTCTGCTAACATTACTCACTATATGAGGTAGTGGCCGTCCCTGCGCTCTTTCCACAGCAATCCTCCGTCCTTGCCCCACTTCGTGCCCTCTCCTCCAAAACCCAACAACCTTATCTCAGCCTTGCCGTACCCCTCACCCCATCAACCCAAGTGACATCCATCAGATCCAAGCCTCCAATACTACCATCCAGCTTAGCATCTTCATCTACAGCGTTCATCCAAGTACAAACGCAAGCTAGACGTGCGAGCCAAGCTTTTCCCTTCAGCTGAGTTGTTGAGCGCCACGAACAAACGCCACCAGATGCGGAGATGGGCCGATGACCACCCAAATTCCGGATCCGTGGAGCGACGTTGACCTGCGAGGCGACCCGCGCATGCAACATTCTCGGCGCGGGTTCGCCGGATATGGAAGTAGCGGCCGAGTACGAGACCGTTGGGCGTTGTTGGTGGTGTTCTGTGGGCTGAGCTTGGCTCTGGTCCTTCGAACAGCACATGTTGCTTGGCGTCGGAGAGGTGATTGCGAGGGAGGTGTAGCGATCGTGAGTGGGGATATGGGAAAAGTAATACTGATACAGCACTTGGCATTCTGCGCGGTTGACGTGAGTCGTGACGACGCATGCCATTATGACGATTTGATACGTCGATTTCACTTTCCCGGATGGATAAATGTCAAGCTCGAAGCCTTGATATCGAGGACGATTCCGAACACCCAATCCTGGGTTGGTGTGGCTACAATTTCGCAAAGATGTGAACGCCATGAATAGCAAAACGAAGCATTAACATCCCGCAGCTTAGGAGGTTAGCGAAAGAGCCAGCCGGAGACACATTAACCAACTCCGTCGTGGTATCTGGCCGCACGACGCCTTTCATATGAGCAACGTAAGTTCTAGGGTCCAGAAATTTGCAACGTGTACAACTCTCTTGAAGCTATGGGTATGGATCAATGAGCTACAACGACGGCAGCAGCGACAAAGGTGTTACCGATCTTCTTGTATCACTGAGGAAGGCCGTGGGCGTACGTCATGTTTGTGGTATTGGTCCTGGCATGTGTGTCCAAGAATGCGCTCTTGATCGCATATCCATGAGCCAGCATGGTGAGACTATTTCTGGTGACCGTTGCAAGTTCCTCCTAGCAGTTCGAACTTGTAAACTTGCACATGAGATCTGGGACGGTTCATCGTCAATGATACTCTGCAACTCTTGGATGATCTGGCAAATGCTTTCTTCTTAAATTTGACGACACATGAGTGGTCTTCGAACAATCTTGCATACTGTTCCGACACCGTTGCTTAGCACTCTTTTTGTCTCATGTCTGCTTCCTTCTTGAGCTTTCGTAGCTTGGCTTACCTTGCGTTGAATCTACCACGACATGGCAGTAGCAGTTTCCCAGATCTTTGCGTTTTCTTTTCCGGCCTGTCGAGTCAATCAATTCATCCAAAGTCTTACCGCCTCTGTTCACAATCGCGGTGTCGGTGGAAGCTCCCATATTGAGTGCCACCTCATACGCCCGCATATGTACATCGACTTCGTCTTCGCCTCCGATGTCCAATGCGGTTAAGTACATGGTCTCAACAGATAAAGCGTTGCCGGCTATGTTGACAACGCTTTGTTGCCCTTCCACTTCCTAGAACGCATCGTCTGCGTCAGGCAATCGGATCAAAATAGTGGCCGGTCATTCGTGACAGTTGTCTGATGTCCCGCCGCGGAATAGGCCAACAATAGTCCATCCTACAATCCCTCCCTATTCTTATGTACATATGAATCTGATCACATCTCTTTAGCAGCTGTAGTAGATCTTGAGTACTTCCGCATCTGTTGTTCGGATGACGCTAGTGATTACGTCTAATGGGCGGTCAGTATATCTCAACGTGTCATAGAATTCGTATCGGTTCTTTGATTGCTTCCTCATGGCGACTCTAGTTGGGAATCTTATGATGAGACTGGCAGAGGTTAGAGGACGTTTTTTGACCACTATCGAATTTACAGGGCGACTTGAAGTGTGCTACGCAGAATTTTGCGCACTACTGTCAGATGCTGATTGTTTAGAAGAGGACGTGTCTTGCGCGGGTTTTGCTTCTCTACGTGCGTTCTCCTGCTGCTCTCGCTATTTCCTGGAACTCATGGTGTTGGATTCTTAATGTTTGTTGAGATATAGAGAGGAATAGTGAGAGTAGTGGATCGGAGCACTGTTAGAGCTTGCGTCGAAAGTTTTACGGAGCTTGCGGTTAGGGTCCTGTGGAGAGTAGTGAAAGCTAAGCGGAAAATCGAGAGCTGGAAGATATGAGCAAGCGCGTGTGGCCTTTACTATGATAGGAAGATACTCTGACTGTTCAATCAGCGATGACGGCATGATAGGTACTAGCGACTAAGCCTATTAGAGTATCTAGCTGTAGAGATTAACGCGCAAGGTGGAAGTTTCATCGCTCCGACAGAAAACCTATATTTGACAGTGATATGCTGGATAGAAAAAGCAGGAAGAAAGACTTATCATATATCACGACTAACCATAGAGGGATTATCATACCGTTGTAGGCATGAAAAACGACGACGATTCAGGATAGGTTTGCGTTTAGAAAAAGCCCAATAGTGATCGCGGCGCCAAAACGATTTCAGACTTCGCTTTTGAAAAGATGGCTGGAAGGATGAAGATAGGAGAGAAGGAAAGACTAGGAGAAGAAGTGATTCAAAGTTCTCGAAGTTCAGACGTGTGGCAACAAACACGATATCCATTCGAGATATGAGGATTCATATACACACTGCTTCCAAAAACGCAGGGTCGATAGCTATGCTTTTACCATACTATGCATACCTCTCCAATACTTCCGCAATCTTTTCCCTCACGCCCTGCTTTCCCTCATATTTCTCCAATAGCTTAGCAACAACATCCTCTCTCTTCTGTCCACTAGCTTCTCTCAGAATCTCTCCCTCCTTCGGCAGTCCAATCCATGCGTGCGGGTACTCTTTGTAATCTGTCTCGCTAATCAGAGGCAATGGCGCTCCATCACTTCCAGCAAAGAAAGCATCCACGTCGTTGTTCTTAACGTCCTGCAGAGTGTTGGGTTTCCAGTTTGGACGCTCCTTCTTGCGCTCTACCAGACGTGCTGTTACGCCCTCGACGAAATCGGGGTGAGCCATGAAGCGGGAAGCGATGTCGTATTCCTTCTGGAAGGTTTGGGCGATGGACCATTGGCGGCCGATGCGCATCTGACGGAGAGCTACAGAGACAGAGATTGGTGACCGGCTATTGATAGTCTGAATAGTCTTGTCGGCCCACTTCTGGATCTCCGGGTCGTTGTGCCCAGTCTTGACCTGCTCGAGCGATTCCATAATGTTGCTGATACCCGGCTGGTCGTCATGGAAGACGGTGTCGATGACCTTGCGTAGTTCGCCTGAGATGTGCGGTCGCTCGGCAGGAAGGCCAGTGCTGAACTCTTCAATTGTAGCGTTGATGATCTTGAAGCGCTTGTTGAGATCCATGTAGTCGGGGAATTGTAGTTCGGCGAGACGCGCCTCGAGTTGCTGGAGAGTGGAGGAGTGAATGTAGTGGGTTGCGATGCCGTGGTAGAAAGCGTCCACGCCCTTGAGCTGCTCAGATGTGAGGGCGAGGTACGTGCCGAGAGCGCCTTCCATTCGAGGAAGGAAGAAGGATGCGCCGACGTCTGGAAAGAAGCCGATGGTCGTTTCGGGCATGGCGAAGAGGGTGTTCTCGGTCGCGATTCGGAAGGGTGCGTGTATCGAGAGTCCAACACCGCCGCCCATTGTGATGCCGTCCATGAAGGCGACATAGGGCTTTGTGTATGTTGCGATGAGGTGATCTAGCTTGTATTCCAATCCAAAGTAGTCTGAGCTCATCTGTTGTCCTTTTGCTCCTTCCTTGTTCCACTTTGCCAGGGCAGCGACGTCTCCTCCCGCGCAGAAAGCGCGGCCGTTGCCCTTGATTATAACGACGCCCGCCAGTTCCGACTTTGCCCACTCTTGTAACCTCGGTATGATCTTGCGGGCCATGGAGCCATTGAGCGAGTTCAGCTTCTTCGGCCGGTTGAGCTCGATGCTGCGTACGCCGTAGTTGTTGGTGAAGATGACATCATCGGGGTCATCGTCTTGCTGCGCTTTGAGAAGGTCTGCGGTGGGTGTGGCGTACTGTATAATTGTCAGGTCTGGTCGCGTATAGTGGGCTGGAGGGGCGGCTGTACCTTCCTTGACCCGCTCATCCAGGCTGGATTTGTGATCTTTGCGCGCAATGGCATGGCTTTTGTCGTGCTTATCCGCGAGACGCTGCTCAGCGGCGTTCTTGTTAATGTGCGGAGAGACATGTGTGCGTGTGTAGATGAATGCGCGACGATGATGCAACTTTCACAGCTTCTGCCGACGAACCTCGGGTAGTCGCGCAAGACGGCTACAGGACAACCAAGTCGTCAATTGATCTGTTCTAGCAGAGGGAGAGCACGTGGGAAGCCCGAGAAGATATCAGTCTGAAAGTTGACATATATTTACCGGCAAATGTCTTCCGCCCGCAATGCTCCATCGCTCTTTCTCAAAGTTGTCGAGCTCGGATCTCCCCCTCACATGATTGGACGATGCGCTACCATTTCGCGCTAAGAAAATGATTTGAGCCTCGCCATCTCCAGATATCATCGCCATCTCAAGCAATCGCATCCCTTCGTTCCTTCTGCATCGTGTGATCGGGTCAATCATGTCGAGCTTTTCCAGAGTTTTCCTGCGCACTACGCGCTCTGCTCTCCAGTACCAGCGTGGTGTCTCCCCAGTGCAAAATGCTTTGGGCGCGCAGGGCACCAGCAGGTGGATGAACGGTGTACGGAACTACGCCGCCTTCACTCGAGACAAGCCCCACGTCAACATTGGTATGCCTCGTCGAATCTGCTTGCCTATGACTATACTAATGGTTTCTAGGTACCATTGGCCACGTTGACCACGGAAAGGTGCATCGCCGCTCACCCCACATCTCCGCCATCATCACGACTAACACGTTATAGACTACCCTCACAGCCGCCATCACCAAGCGACAAGCAGAGAAGGGCTACGCCAAGTACCTCGACTACGGTTCCATCGACAAGGCTCCCGAGGAGCGAAAGCGTGGTATCACCATCTCGACCGCCCACATCGAGTACCAGACCGACAACCGCCACTATGCCCACGTCGACTGCCCCGGTCACGCCGATTACATCAAGAACATGATTACAGGAGCTGCCAACATGGACGGTGCTATCATCGTCGTTGCTGCTTCAGATGGTCAGATGCCCCAGACCCGTGAGCACTTGCTGCTCGCCCGTCAGGTTGGTGTTCAGAAGATCGTTGTCTTCGTCAACAAGGTCGATGCTGTCGAGGACCCGGAGATGTTGGAACTCGTCGAGATGGAGATGCGTGAGTTGCTCACCAGCTACGGCTTCGAGGGCGACGAGACACCCATCATCATGGGTTCCGCTCTATGCGCCATCGAGGGCCGCCAGCCCGAGATCGGTGTTACCAAGGTCGACGAGCTGATGGATGCTGTCGACTCATGGATCCCCACTCCTCAGCGTGAGACCGAGAAGCCTTTCCTCATGGCTGTTGAGGATGTCTTCTCGATTGCTGGACGTGGTACCGTCGTTTCGGGCCGTGTCGAGCGCGGTATCTTGAAGCGTGACGCTGAAGTCGAGCTTGTCGGCAAGGGCACCGCGCCAATCAAGACCAAGGTCACTGATATTGAGACCTTCAAGAAGTCGTGCGAGGAGTCGCGCGCGGGTGATAACTCCGGTCTTCTCCTCCGTGGTGTCAAGCGTGATGACGTTCGCCGCGGTATGGTTGTTTCCGTTCCCGGACAAGTCAAGGCTCACAAGAAGTTCCTTGTCTCCATGTACGTTCTAAGCAAAGAGGAGGGTGGTCGTCACACCGGCTTCGGCGAGAACTACAGGCCGCAAATGTTCATCCGAACTGCCGATGAATCCTGCGCACTTCACTTCCCAGAGGGTACCGAGGATGCGCACGACAAGCTAGTTATGCCCGGTGACAACGTCGAGATGGTCTGCGAACTCCACCAGCCCCACGTTCTAGAGACCGGTCAGCGCTTCAACATGCGTGAGGGTGGCCGAACTGTTGCTACTGGTCTGGTTACGCGTGTTCTCGAGTAGATTAACGAAACCCAATGAACCCGAAGAAGAGGCGAATATCTCCGGGGTGGATTCCAAGAAGCCTTCTTTGTAAAATAATTGTGTTGGACATATCCCGGCTCTCCGCTTCTCGATTACCCTACATCATGTACTTTAGCAGCACGACAAAACGGATCTAGATGGGAGGCGTTGACTAAACGATGAACATGGAAGAATGTAATGACCTTTGACAACAGTCGCCGCTGCAACCCTGCTGAACAATCGCTAGGTCTCGACTCTCTGATAAACAACAAATGTTGATATGTCTTAACGGCGCAATTGGGCGGTACCGGAAGCCTTGGCGCGAATGATCCACCACTTGCCAGTACTGGTCAACGTGCTTTCTTCTGCGACTCCACCTGAACGACTAGATCACCTCCAACATGGAGACACCCGTTCGGCTCCATACCACCGCATGAGGCTTCTCGAACGTAAATCACCGTGTTCAGGCTGGGCCTTACTTCCAAGGCGCTGCGTGCTGGGTTTAGTCGGCCGATTTGATATCACTACAAAGGCCCGGGCCGAATTTCGGGCGTTCCTGCTACTGTAGCGTTCACGTCAAAAGTGCCACCGGCTGTGCGTTTCGGACGAGTCTACACTGCGCTGTTTTCATCATGCGGTTCTCCAATGACCCTTCCAGGAACAACCTAGAAACGCTTCTCAACATAACGCGCGTAAACATGCGTCGAATGTCGCACGTTTAATTTGACCATCATCCATGGACCAGGAACGGCTCGTACAGATCAAAACCTTGCGCACAACTAACGACTCATGGGTGAAACTAGTTGTGCTTCGTGGTATAGAGCGTCGCGTATCTAGTCCCTGCCTTAGCCCATGAAACGCATGAGGATCTGGAGCTGTCCCTGCATCCAGAATGAACGACAATCAAAAAATCGTTCGACATGTCACCTAGCCAAGAAAGTTTTGGTCAGTCTTTTAAGGGTGAACCTCTTTACAGCTAAATTTGGCAGGGAGCTCAACTACCACAGTCGCCCAGCAACCTCTCATTCCAAAGGTTAGGTCGGCATATATGGATCCTGATATGAGTACTGGTTGCAAACAGGAAATTCGTCTCGAGACAAGTGAGCCATCACCGACAACCGGGGATACCCTCATCCAAGCTAGATCGCACCTTCTTCCCAGCAGCTGTGTCTTTGCACCGGCACGTTTCAACGTGCTAACGCCCATTGGCAAAGCTTTGCGACTCGGCCGCAAGTACCGCAACGTGTTGATCGCCGTTGATGCGTTGAGCTGGTTAACAGCTCACTGGCATCGGAACCCTACGTTTCCTTCCTTCTCCGAGGTCCAATCACAATCCATCGTGTCTCGTTGGCTACCAGGACCAGGTGTCTACTGGCCTGAACGTTGCTATAATCAGGAATGAATTGCTCGGGTGGAGATACTGCGCCAGCCCCGTTCCTGCTAGACCTGCGCTCGTGGATTGTCAACCGAGGAAGATCCGCAGGATTGCGCCGGTGTACCTTGTTACATTTCACAAAAACGGCTATCACACAACGGTTAGCATGCTACGCAAGCATTGAATAGATTGCGGATAGGTTGCAATCATGCAGGCGTGGTGACAGTATAGGATCAGCTATGAAAGGTCTTGAAGGGGGATCAAGGGACTCGCCGAAGATTACATGGTATGATGTATGCGACTCTCCGAGTGGTCGTCGCTGATCGTCTCCCCAGGTAGACAACCGACCCGGCCGAAGTACCAAAACATCATCAAGCGAAAGATACCGACCCCATGGGGCATTTTGACACAGCCTTGGATCCTTACCGGGAATCACCGTTTGGAAACCACGTGAAACCATTATCTAGGATCGGATAAGACGTCACACTGCGAGGAACCGGCAGTATGTCAAGGCAGGCGATCCCCGACCACAAGCGGAAAGCTGGGGCCAGTAGTGCGCCCAGTAATCCACCGGTCCTTTCATGCTCCGCACCAGGCGAACGGCCCTCGCCTTGGAACGGACAGGCCTGATCCACCTGTTCGAATGCTCGCTACACCGAAAAATCGTCCGGCTCATTAGTCATATCCCACCTATCGATACGTTGGGGTATCTCGAGGCTGTTTTCGTGGGATGCCATGCTATACAAGATGGCATTTACAAGAATAGTACCTCAGCTCAACTATGGCCAAATTCCAAACTCTCTTGGCAGGCGGTGCAAACTTACTTTCGGATCTTTTCCTAATTCCAGTGGTCGCCGTACGAGCACGTTCACATGCTTGCATCTATAGTTACCCGGTGGTATACAAACTTGCAAAGGTAGCCTAGAAGAAGCGGGGCTCATGCTGAAGATAAAGACGATTGCCATATGTCGTTAAGCAGCCGCGTATCGAGTGTGACGCCTTATGTTTCGGATACTGCTGCGGTTGGTGTGGCTGCAGCATGTAGGCCCGACCTGAAGTCGCTTCCCCGGGAGAGCCGATTTCGTCTGTCCTTGCGATAATTCCTCAGCCACTAAGTGCAAAAGCGAATCTCACTACGTCTAGAGCCGCTTATCACAATGGCGGCACAAAAGGGCGGATTTCGGGGACCGATCTAAGCAGCTAACAGTCTCATAGCACGTAATGGCTCGTGTATGCGACTGCTTCGCAACTCTCCAAGTCATCCCACGGCAGAAAGTAGTATGGTGAAGTGGAATGACCCGACATTACTCAGGCACAGTCCACTCGCGTCATGGGTATAATGCTGACTGGTGAGCCCCGCTTACATAATGTAATACCGATCCGGCAAGTGCTTAGTTACACAGGTCCACCTAGTCTCCGTCGCTGACATAGCGTCCACTATACACAACTACGCCAGCAGCGCAGGGTGCCGGTGAGGCTGGAACGGCAATCTAGGAATTCGCGGTGCGAGACATGCGTCGAAGTTTACCTCCCCAGGGATCCTTGCCCCGCTTTGTCTTATCGCCTGAACCTGGCCGCAGCGGCCTAACCCGCCGCACATAGCCTTAAGCCCCAGCATCCTCATCCTACATCAGTCATCGGTACGTCGACTGCGCCATCAATCACGACTGCCATTCCAATGAGCAACGCCGCTTTGATCGCATGCACAAGATGTGCCATATCCAAGGCACGTTGCGACCGCAAGGTGAGTACCCCAAAGCCACGCGCCTTAGGCCCCCAGCACGACACCTAACACAACAACAGGTACCATGCTCGCAATGTGTTGCAAGAGGATATGTTTGCCAGCCACGTTGTACCTCGCGCCGGCCGCGAGCTCCTCGAAAGTCGTCGGCACGAAATCTGAACCAGACTTCAGCAGAGCCGACCAGCACCATCAGCTCCGATGGCAGCCATGTCCCAGGCATGGAGCAGTTTACCGGCTACATGGTACCTGAAAACCAGTCGCAGAATAACGATATGTTTGCGTTCAATACGAATTTACCTCAAGGACCTCTGGATCTGGGCGGCTACGATGATTTCATGGGCTTCTCATATCCCGGTGCGCCTTCCAATAGCGATGCCATGGATACGAGTACATCCAACAACCTCTTCACCTCCATGCAATCTATGGATATGCACGGAAGCGATCCCCAGTTTTCACCACATGCAGCGGGCGGCCAGATATTCCAACAACACCATATGCCACATGTCTCGAATCAGCCACCGACGCCACCAGATACAACGCCCCGGACGACAAAAAGCGTTCCCGCTAGCCCGCCACCTGGGATGCAAACCCCGTTTAGTCCAAAACGCTACCCTCAAAAGAAGCCTACAGATAGACCTGCAACACCGGATGATGTACTTGCGGAGTTGGTGGAGCTGCTCGCTCAGCCTGACGCGTGGCACGGACTCCCAGGTAGCAACAGCGATTCCAGTCAGACCCTCTCACACGATGCACGCGACCGCATCGTCGCGACCGTTCAAGTATTGCTGCAACGTGCACTACAAAGCCGCTACTCACCTACAACACCAAGCCAAGGCCTCTTTGGACGCATCGTAGTACTGCCACCGTCCCATGTACTTATGCACTTTATTGAAACCTACGCAAGTCGCATCGACTCCATCCAACCCTATCTAGGTCTTGCTGGCTCTTCCGTTGTCAACATCCAAGATATCCTCCAAATTGATACGGCAGATGTTGGCATACTGCTGATAATTCTTCTGATTGCGCAAGGCGCCATGCTCACGGACCATTCCGAATCTCACATACTCGCGAACGGCTTGATAGAAGTATGCAGGATCGCGTTGGATGATGTTCTTGAGAACCGAAGCATATCGCAGCCGATGATTGGAGGTATTGCACTGCAGTTACTAACGCTTTGTGCACGAAGTGGTAAAGACTCTTTTGCTTCGTACGCTATGTCGAAACGAGGTCAATATTTGAGTGTAAGGGATTCATGTTACATATCACTGCAAATAGGCTCTAACATACGCAGATGCTGAAGAATTCCGGCGTTCTGCAACCCGAACAGACCCTGCATAACCCGAAATCCGACGGAATGGAACTTTGGGAAAGATGGAAAGAACTGGAGCAGCGCAACCGGTAGGACCCATTTGTTTCCCCATGGGGACGTTTCGCTAACATCTTCTAGACACGCGTACGCGTGGGTCTACGTAGATCTCGAGATCAGCTTATTGCACGACCTTCCACCAATACTCTCAGTTAATGACTTGCAAGTCCCCTTGCCGCAAGATAACGACCTATGGCATGCCCAGTCGTATAGCGCTTGGCTCGAGCACTCTGGCGCGAATGGGACCAGGTCGGGCCCCTGCAATCCCGCGAAATTCGGTGCTTGGCTGGAACAACAGCAACAACAAGGTGCCAATGGAGCTCGCTCTGGTCATATGACTCCATCGCTCAACGGCCTCTTCCGAAGTTTCCTCCAGGGCCGAATGGGTGATGATTTACCTCTGCATCACCTTCGTCTTCTCCTCCATCCATTGCAAGCCATGGTGCTTGAGCAGCAGCAACTCTTGCGAATTTTCGATACCGATGAGCCGTCCAACCGATATCGCGTCCTTTCCAAGATCAAGATTTTGGGTCGTTTGCAGGAGACGCAGGATTTGCTCCAAGATTTGGGAACGCTTCTAACTCGGCGCTCCAAAACCGCTGCTGTCGAAGATGACAAGGGCCAGGTACACTCCACTGACTTTGTGAGCATGATTATGCTCCATCTGGTTAGCTTGAATGTTTTTACTAGCATCCCCGAGATTGAGAAATGTGCCAAGGAAATGCCACCCGCTTCGGACGCGGCCCGTGCGGAGATGTGGCGGTGGGCACGCTATCCTGAAGGGGAGAGCTATGTTTTGTTCCATGCCGGGCAAATATTCCGACTGATCGACGGGTTACCAAAGGATGCGCGACCGACCTGGTGGCCGGTAGCTTTATACCGTGCCGCCATGTCGTGCTGGTCACTCCGATCTTTGGAACGGCCTTCTTCGGCATGCGCCCAATCGCTCGAAGTCTGCATTGACGCCTTGTTGCCCGCTGAGGAAGAGTGCTTCCTTAACACGACTACCGGTACACCGGTCGTCACCCTTGGCGATAAGAGACGGCTGCCCATTCTGGAAGGCAACAACAGCTTGCAATACTGTATCAGCAAGTTGGAAACACACCCTACACATTGTTCACGTAATGTTCTTGAGAAGGCTAGGTACTTCTTAGATAGATGGAGGTCATGATCACACTGATCCGGTGCCGGCGTTCTATATCAGGTCTGGAATTATATCAGGTATTGGGAATTTGGTTTATTAGAACCAAAAGGAAATGAGGGATGTCATTCGGAAACATCACCAACCGGCGCTTTACAAACTGTTCATATACCATTCCTAGTACTTGTTCTAAAGGTAAACACTGTCTTTATAAGTTCGAGCGGTCAAGACGAACTCCAGCAGATGCCACTAGGCTACATTATTCAAAAGTATTTGGTAGAAATAGGGATTTCGTATTTGTCACCCACAAACCAAAGACAAGGAAAGACCGAAAGGAAAACATCGCCGAAAAATCTACCCTACAAGTTCTTGGTAATACCAGGACTGGCTTTTTCCAGAATCTCGCTCAACTCCTTCCAGATCCTCTTACCAAGCTCGGCACCCTCAGCACTCCTCGCCAGTGGTGACGGCTCGGAGACATGGTCGTCAATGATATATTCGCCCTGGCTGTCGGGCAGTGCAGTCGCATTCACCAGCAACCGACTGCCGACTTCCAGCGGTCGACCCAACAGCTTTTTGAACACCACCGGCGCCAAACCCAAGTCCTTGACCAACTCAGACTTGCAAAGACCAGGAGTAACGCAGTTGATGACCACGGGGTACTTCGTCTTGTCTTTGATTAGGACCTGGGTCATGTGTCGAATGAGCAAGATCTCCATCAACTTGGAGACATTATACCGATCCGCCATATCTGCCTTCTTCTCGTCGTCTAGCTCTGCGAAGATGCTCTCAGCGTTCTTCTGCGGAAACTGCGTCCAATGGTGCACCTCAGACGTAACGATCGTGAGATACGGCTTCGTCTTGTGAATCTCCGCTGATCGGCGCAGGATAGGCAGCAAAAGCAGCGCGAGCATAAACGTCGAAATGACATTCACGGTAATATGCGCCTCATGTCCCTCCAAAACATTGAACTTGCCCTGTGCGATACCTGCATTTTCGAGCACGATATCGATACAAGGTAGGCTCTCGCACTTCTTCGCAAAAGCTTTCACGCTAGCGTAGGAGGACAAATCTAGTTCCCACACTTGCAGAACACCGGTTCGCTTAGTGCTGGCTTCGATGTCACGCAGAGCAGCTTCGCCTTTCGATCGTGTTCGGCAGGCGATAATCACGGTTGAGGCGCCGCAGCGCACGAAGTGGCGAGCTGCTTCTTGTCCAAGCCCGGTGTTTGCGCCGGTTACTATAACCGTTTTGCCGGTGAAGGTTGTGGATTCGGGGACTTTGGGCGTGTAGAGGAGTTGCGATTTGAGGAAGGCGGGAAAAGATGCCATGGCTGCTTCTGCGTGTGGATGATTTGGGAATCTGATTCGTATGCCTTTGCGTATGCAGCTAAGCTAGTTGGCGAGCTGAGCAAGTTTCGCACAGACCGAGAGGATTGATAAGGTGTGGTAAGATTCGATCGTGAGTGTAAATTTAGTCAGGCAAGCAGCAATCGAGAACTTGGTGGAAGAAATATGATAACAAGTAGGGCGCACGTTCAACGACATTGACGTCAAGAGCAAACAAAACAGTCACGGATTAGTCAGACTCGGTGTCCGGTACTGCGTTGACTGACAGCACGCAGTTCCTATTGTCCTTAACTTTCTTGCTGATTGAGTCCTCGATACGGATGCTAGCCTCATGTTTGTCGGAGGTCCGTCGAAAACACAGAAACGGTTAGCGTGCCATATGCACGGTGTTAGGCCCCCTGCCATTGGCTCTATTTGGAACAAGGTTTTGTCCGTCCGCCCTTGCAGGGAAGGACCGATCATCAGCCTCAGCCGCAAATAGCGGGTCTCGTGTCAGGGCAGCCTTACTGAGGCTTAATCCTTCCTAATGCTTACTGACCACGCGGTCCACCGGTCGGTGGTCACGACTCCATCGTCGATGGTGAATGCTGATATGCGGGAGCTCCGATGCTGATGGTAGGTACCGATGGATGGAGAGCCGACTTGTAAATGCGATGCGCGGGATGAACGGAGCGAGAGGAAACATCTCGGTGGTCTTGGTATCGAATGGAAGACTTGGGGTTGAGGCAGCAGAAGACGATATGCGTTGGGATGGGATATAAACGTCCTTTAGCCGCCACGACAGTGGAATCACCATCATCATCATCATCATCATCATCAGTCATCCATCTTCTCGTCCTCTGATCTATATCTCAATACCACTTGAGTTTTACCACCCCTCTTTCAAATCTACCTTTTTCCCGATAAACTTTCAAACCCGCCAATATGCTCACTTTCCAACACCTTCAGCTCGGCACCCTTCTCCAAGCCACTTTCCTCCTGGGAATGAACACGGCTCTCTCCACCATCTCAATTCCCTCCATTCTTGAGTCGCCCTCCCCCATTCTTGCCATTCGCCAATGGCACACGCAGTTCCGCTCTGCGCAGATCCCTGCGACCTCTCTATCGGGATCCAACTTGATCCTCTCCGCCATCATGACATATGGTTCTTCCCAACGCTCAGGGTTGTTGGCAACGCCTACAATCTTGTACGGCGTTGGTAGTGTGCTTGCTTTCCTGATCTTTCCGTTCACGCTGCACTACATGAACCCGCTCAATGATGTTCTTATCGAGAAGTTCAAGAACCAGCAGGATTTGCATTACGCAGATCTTCCGGAGAAGGGCAAGGGTATGCAGACTGCGAGAGTAAGTTTCTTCCTTCTTGTACTGGTGGGACTATTTGCTAATGTTTGGTGTAGGATCACGACAAGATCGCTTACTGGGGATACTTGAACCGTGTTAGGATTGTGCTTTACGCTGGATTCGTTGCTGTTCACGCTGTTGCTCTCTTGGCTTAGGTTCATGTACGAGTAGCGACTGCATGTGAGCAGGAAGAGATGTCTGTAAATCGAGATGGCGATCTTAGTCCGGGGGGTAGGGGGAGAGAGCGCTTGGAGAAGACGAACCCTGTTGGGAGTGCGTAAAGTTGACGTTGTAGTGGTCGAAAAGCGGTGTTTCCATTTGTTAGAATAGTGCTATGGCTTTCTTCACTTCTATACTACATGTCTAGAATGTTGTTTCCTTATCGAGATGAGATTTGAGCTTTATAGCAGTCAGTCCTTGGCTTTTTTCGATCAAGACTCAAATAGTCACGGTTGGGTTATGTATCTTGCGTCCTGCTTCTGCTTCTGCTTCGCTTGACTTGCGGAAGTTCAAGAACGCTGATAAGCTAATATTTGATCACGATATGTGCTATTATGGGAGATTCTACGTCAGTGAGCGACTTAGACACGGCGATAGGTCTAAATTTGGAATTCTGACATAATAAAAACTTTGAAGTCGGTGATAGCTAGTACGTGGGTGAGACGAAGGATAAGACATGCATATCGTAGGTCATTCGATTGCGGTATTCATCACGCAGCAAATCAGGACATAGAAGTTCAATGATGATGAAGATAATACTGTATATGATAGGAAAAGGTGCATAACTCAGTAATATGCGGAAATGTCGACGGTGACGCCAATGAGAAGACAAACCGAGATAGCTACCTATCGAAGAACGCAACGCCAGTTGTGATTAAGCAAAAGAGTTATAGTGGTTGAACAAGCCCTTTGGATCGTACTTCTTCTTGAGAATTCGGAGCCTTGGCAGCTTCGCCTTGCCATATACCTGCTCGGGCTTCTCAATACCACGAGCATAGTTAGGAAAGACATTACCCTCTGGGTTTCCACATGCAGTCATCATGTCGTTGCGAAGCTTCTTCACGAAAGTGTCCACTGTGTTTGTCTGCGCAGCGGTGACGCCCTCGGGCAGATTGAACTCAAAGAAGCCGTAAGAGACTGATTTGCGCCAAGCGTAGGCGGTAGAATCGTCGCTGATAGTCGCGGTAACGCCGAGGCCGAATTTCTCCAGAAGCCAGAAAGCATTACTGACATCGGGATTGGCGAGAAGAAAATTGATATATTTGGTGTATGTGTCAACCAGCGTAGACACAGTTAGGGTGTTGAGTTGGTAACCCCACATGTCGGCTCGGACACCCTTCTGGCGAGCGAACACGTCGCCTCCGAAGTTGGCAACGTACACCAGCTGGTTGTAGGGCACAACGGTAATGTTGCTAGCCCTTGGCTTCTGATCGATGAAAGCCTTGATAGCAGCATCACCCTGCTCTTTGTTGCCGAAGTAAATCGCACTAAGATCGATTGACGGAACATTGTTCCTCAGAGAAGAAGAGATTGATATGGCAAGCTTGTCATCCTGAGTTCCCTGATAAGTCTTCAGAATTTGAAAGATAGTGGCGTTCTTCTCCGCGTCGAACGACATATCGGCGTTGTAAACCATGCCATTGTTGATAGTGTCGTAGATGCGATAGGTCGCTGATGTGACCACGCCGAAGTTGACGCCTGCACCTCGCATGCCCCAGAAAAGGTCGGAGTTCTCAGTAGCCGACGCCGTTAGAATTTGGCCTGATCCGGTTACCATTTCCACGGAGAGTAAGGAATCAATTAGAAGTCCGTGTTCGCCGGTCAAGGGTCCAATACCCCCACCCAAGGTGACGCCAATGATACTTGGTGTGGAAGACCCACCGGATGCTCGAGGATCTGTCAGTATACGTGGGGGCCTTTTAGACCAATCGGGGACTTACGCATCATCTTGCCAGCCGCATACAGGGGATCGTACATATCAGCAAACGTAGTAGCCGCTCCAATGACCATGGTGTTGGCGGAAGCGTCAACTTCAACCTTCTTAAAGTTACTCAAATCAACATTGAGTGCATTCTTTAGACCACCAAGAGTGGTAGTGTAACCGTGGCCACCGCCTGTTGCCAAGAGAGAGACCTTATTCTTGGACGCATATTGCAAGATCTTCTGTACATCTCCCGCTGTCGCAGGTTTGGCAGCAACGGTGTAAGCTGGTTCAGCTTTAGAGTAGATGCTCCAACGTTGCGTAAAATCGGTTGGGTAAGAAGCATCGGTGGTAGCGATAACTTCCGATCCGTTAGAAAGAGTGGATGACAAGTCGGTTAGGATCTGCTGTGAGGTGACTGCAACTGCCTGTTGTGTAAGGACAGATGCGACCAGAACGAGTGATGCCAAGAATGCCATAACGATGGAATGGTACAGCTAGCCGCTAGCAATACAATGCAGGTGTAACAAGGATGAATGAAGCAACGATGGTACCACTACACAACGTGGTCCATCTGGTTTATAAGCTGTTCACGACTCCAGCTCAGGCCGTCCTTCGGGCCATCTCCTAGAGATAGCAATAATAGGTATTGAGACGATACAGGACCAACTCCTCAGCCACGACGCCTCCACGAAGCCATTTCCGACACATCCATGGCAAAGAAGGGCCGTAGTGACAGACTCGAGCCATATTCTGCCTCGAAGCTTGAGCCACTGATAGTGTCTTAGACCTAGGTCTTACACTAATGCAACCTATCATGCGCAGTTCATGCAGGCAACCATTCTCAACACCAGTGGAGTGGGTACCGGGTTAACCGTCAGGGCAATACGCAGCTTGCATTCGCCTACTTTCCCGTGCCTGGGTCGTATTTTAAGACATGGAAGTACGCGCCACGCGAATGAGACCGTGTGCGGTCTGGAGCCAGGGTAAGTCGGATGTCCGTCAGTATGGTACTTCACGATCGCGCTTTCCATTCTTGGAATGGTGCTCAGCGATGCTACTGCTGACTGGCCGGCGGAGTACCGCGCTCTCATCAGAAGCGAACCATTGGTGACCATTATAGATTACGATCTAGTAGATTTCCGAATCATCGAGGGAATGAAGGTGCTGGTGTCGATATACGGGAGCTGAGAGCTGATGCATCCTGCTGCAGGTCGATGGAAAGTGTAAGGCATCCTGAGGTTGCGAGCTTTGGAGTTGGCCAAGACTGGTAGCGCGGGGGTCGCACGTGTCGATCTAGCCTACTTGAGCCGAACTTGGAAGCGGCACATTGATCCCCAACCCCTGACCACCATCACGGCGACTATGAAATGGAACTACCACGACATACGGCAACTCCGCGCCTGACTGTATTACGGCTCTCCACCATCGTTTAATGTATCCGATCGGTCGTCGGAAGTTGCAGCACCGTTAGGACGAGCTTCCGGGCATCGCGAACATGGATGCAGATTGTGCGCCAAACGGGTCGCGGTCTGGCTGACATGCCTGGAGACAAGACGCCGGGAACGGTCCGAGAGGATGTGTTCGATAGAGAGATGCCAATCCGGAGTTGGTACCATAGTGAAGTTGACTGGAAGGCCTGGATCAGAAGAGCATGATAGTTAAAAGCGCTCTGGACTGACCATAGATTCGTATCAGTTCACTACCTCATCAAGTTGTCTTTCATTTGACTTTGGCAATCATGATACAAGCAAGTGTTCAATCAGCCTCACAGGCTATGCTTTCTCTCTTTGTCCCTAGCATTGCCTTTAGTATCATCGGTGCCATTCTTGTGTTTACCGTTCGCCTTCTGAGGAACGACCCAAAGAAGGGCAACTACAAACCACTGCCGGGTCCGAAAGGTTAGTTCTCCTAGCCTCATGCTGGCATACTTGCTAACATTGACATGAAGGTTTGCCATGGATCGGACCTATCCACAAGTTTCCTTCTCAGCATGTCTACAAAAAGTTTGCTGAATGGGTATGACGTTATCGAGTCCTATCGATCGCTCAGCTAACGCTTGCGCAGCATGAACAATATGGCCCAATCTACCAGTTCACTCTCTTCGGAGTGACCCACATCCGCATTAACAGCGAGAAGATGGCCCAAGATATTCTTGCAAAGCGTGGAGCACACTACTCGAACCGTGCGCCTACACCCAATATTCCAGGCGCCAAAGTCGATGCGGAATATCTCCCCCTTCTGGACAACAATGAGGCACTTACGAGACACCGCAAGTTCGCTCACCAATGTCTCGCTGAGACCTACAACTTCGATATGTTTGGATTCACACATCTGGAGATCACGCGGATGATGTACATGTTGATGAAGGACAACCGTAACTACCCTGACTTGGCTGAAGAGTTCACCCATCGAGTGAGCGCTCGTCTCGCATGGGAAGACCCTACCCTAAGTCGCGGTCTGAACCAGAGCTCCGCCGGTCTACTTTCGGCCATCTCCCCAGCGGGTCAACTGCCCAACAGATTTCCTGTCGTTCAAAAGTTGCCGAACGTTCTCAACCCATGGTACTGGAGAGAGAAGGCTCGCCACGATAAACAAAGAGAATTCTGGGTTGGTGCGATGCAAGCTGTCAAAGCCAAGATGAACGCAGGTATCGATGGACACTCTTGGTCTCGCACGTTCCTCAAGGAACAGACACGTTTGAAGTTCCCCAGTGGCGTTCCGGATGACAAGGAAGGTGCATTCGCAGTTGGTATGCTTGCGATCACAGCATCGCTACCAATGTCCTCGCCCATCCAGACATACTTCCTAGCCATGTGCCACTACCCCCAATGGCAAAAGCGACTACAACAAGAAATTGACGAAGTCTGCGGCCCCGACCGTCTGCCTACATGGGCCGATGCACCGAAGCTTCCGGTGCTAAGGGCGATCGGCAAAGAGCTAATCCGCTGGAGGCCCCCAGTCCCCACTGGTGTACCCCACGAGGCCGAGAGGGACGATGTGTACGACGGGTACTTCATTCCCAAAGGTGCGCTAGTGCACCCCACCGAGTGGGCGCGTCGAAGCGATGAGGCTATGTACCCCAATCCAGAAGAGTTCAACCCTGATCGGTACCTGAACCCAAAGTACCCTACCTACAAGGAACCCCTTACAAAGTACCCCAACGTCATCAACCACCACGTTTTTGGTTATGGTCGTCGCAACTGTCTCGGTATGGAGATTGTAGACTATCAGTTGGTCACCATTATGGGTTCTCTGGCCTGGGCATTTGATGTCACCAAGAAGAAGAACAAGATTGGTATCGGTACGTATCGCACTCTGTGGCATACCAGGCTCACACTAACATGTTGTAGACATTCCTGTACACACATTCGAGTGGACAGACTTGCTCATCACTCGACCGGAGGTTTTCGTGTTCGATATCAAGCCAAGGAATGAGTTCAAGGAGAAGAAACTCGTGTCGATGTTCGAGGAGGCATTGGCAGCTCATCCTGATCTTGCTATCTGAGTGGGTCTTTGTCTAAACCCTTGGGTGTTGAGACATTACCACCTTCGTATTATGCCATTAGGCTTGTTCCATATCCTTGCCACTTTTCTTTTGAGTAGTCTCGCTCTTTGAGTACAGAATATCATATCTTTGTTGTGTTAAATCAGTCTCAAAATAAGTCTAAGCATTCGCTTACCACCTAAAAGTCTACATTCATCTCACACTGAGTACCCCTGAACATATTGCATCATATACGCTTATTGTCTCCGACCAGTTACTCATTTCCTAATACGATTTGGGTGTATTGTCTCTCTGGTGTTGTTCAATTCTATCTGCTCATGCCTTGGCTTGGGCGAGCATGTCTGTTACCGACCTTCAGTTCGGCCTATAGATCTCTCTGTGGATCTTGCGTAGAACAAAAGTAGCTTATTTCATACATGTGACTCCGAAATACGCTCAGCGATCACGATGGATGTCGTCAGCCTTGATCCTCGAGCCTACAGAATGATAGCTAGATTCTGTGCTTATCTATGCTGCCTCAAATCTCTGAACTATCATTTAAGCTAGGCGGTAGAACGCCAATTCAAAACCATGAGCATGTTTCGATCTTCGATGGTGCTTTCACCTGAGGTTCGTATGTCGTAGCAATGCATCTGTCATATTTTAAAATTGACACTAACTTCCAGCAGTTTATGCGCACTTTAGGTAGATTTTCAATGCAAGCGCGCCCATCATACATGCTCTTTAAACGATCTTTGGAAAACCAACGGGTCGAACATTACGATAGGCTTCATGGACTATAAACATGTTGTCTGCGATGCGCGCTTCGAGCTGGTCACACGCCTCAGTGAAACGACCGGACCAACGTGAATAGGACGTCCGCGAGACATTACTGCGGCTCCTACAGCTGAGAGAAAGAACCCACAACCCCGATGCGGTCAGCGCGAACATTTGGAGCGCAGCTGACAAACTCCGAGGCCTTTGTTTGTTGAGTCGCACCTGCCAACGCGGACGTCCGAACCAAGCTAAACTACTTCTGGTTGAGAGCAGCACGCATGTCGGACATCCGCGCAGAGCCTCCAAAATCACCCTTTTCCGACACCTACCAAGCACTTTTCGCATAGCTGATTTTCGTCCGTACCCGTTTCCCGGAGCTTAGCCAAGTATAGGAGTCCATGACGCTACGGCACGGGTAAGACTACTATTTGGCTATTAACATACAACGAAGAGCAACATCACAACCACAAACACCACCACCATTCTTCAATCCTGCAAAGAGCTTACAGCTATACTGCAAACATGAAGGAAGGCGTTGTTACGCCGCCAGACTCGGAGAAGGATCTCCAGAACGTCGAAGGCTCGCTCAATACGGAGGAGGAAAAGGCAGAAGAAGCCCATATCCAGTTGAGTAAAGGGCGATTCGTACTTGTGCTCGTCGGACTGGTCTTGGCTATCTTCCTCGTAAGCAAGCTCCACAATCGTGTAGAAGACAGACTTTGACTAATCATCCTTGCAGGCTTCCCTCGATTTTGTAAGTAACAAGCTCTTTCTAATCCAGCTCCAACGCGGTGACTAACTGAACGTGTAGACTATCATCTCAACCGCTATACCCAAGATCACCGATGAGTTTCACAGTCTTCAAGACATCGGTTGGTATGGTTCGGCCTTCTTCATCACCACCGCGGCGACTACCGCGCACTGGGGACGCCTGTACACCTTCTTTCCTTTGAAGTGGACATATCTCACTTCCATCTTCTTCTTCGAGCTGGGCAGTGTGATCTGCGGTGCTGCACCCAGCTCAACAGCTCTGATCATCGGTCGCGCGATATGCGGTATTGGCGCCGCCGGTCTCTTCTCCGGCTCGTACACCATTATCGCTGTTCTGGTGCCTTCAGCAGACAGACCAAAATACAGTGGACTGATGGGTGCATCGTACGGTCTTGCGAGTGTTGTCGGGCCTTTGATTGGTGGTGCATTCACTAGCCACGTATCCTGGCGCTGGTGGTACGTTGAAGCCCTGAACGTGTCCCTAATTCCACTAACACCCTCACAGCTTCTACATCAACCTTCCCGTAGGTGGTGTATCATGCCTGTTCATCCTCCTCTTCTTCGCGAATGAACCACCTAAATCTCGTCCTGACTGGCGTGGCATGCTTCGCCAGCTCGATATGCTTGGTCTTGTCCTCATCGTCGGCGCTATCACGTGCTTCATTCTTGCTCTACAATGGGGTGGTGTTTCGAAGGCTTGGGACAGCGGTGCCGTCATTGGCACTCTCGTCGCATTCGTCGTATGCATGATCTTGTTCGTGATTGAACAGTGGTGGCTCGGCGAGAACGCTATGGTTCATAGTGTCATGATCAAGAGGAGGACGATCTGGGTCGGATCGATGTTTTCGTTCTTGATCAACTCCGCCTTCTTGGTCACGTTCTACTACTTGCCGATTTACTTCCAGTCTGTGCAGGGAGTCTCGGCTTCGACGAGTGGTGTCCGCACGGTGCCTTTCATTCTCGCTGTCACATTCTGCGTCGTAATTGTCGGCCAGATCATCACGAAGACTGGGTACGCATATCCATGGATGATAGTGGGAGCCGCCATCACCACCATCGGTTCCGGTTTGATCTACACTTTCGATACCAATTCGCCTGCCGGAAAGTGGATCGGCTACCAGATTCTTTGTGGTATCGGTGTCGGAGTCAGCTTTCAAGTCCCGGTCATGCTGATCCAGGCTACGACGAAGGATGCTGATGTGCCATTAGCAACAGCCACACTGCTATGTAAGCTCCCCATGACATCATGTCTACACTCACATTGCTAACAAACAATGTAGTCATCCAGACCCTTGGCGGTGCTTTCGGTGTCTCATCTGCCCAAGCTGCGTTCCAGAACACGCTTCTCAAGCAGCTGCCCATCACGGCACCTGGGCTTAACCCGCAAATCGTCCTGGATGCTGGTGCTTCAGAACTCAAGAGAGTCATTCCTGAACAATTCTTGCAGGGAGTTCTCGAGGCCTACGTGTCTGGGTTCCGGGAATGTTTGATTGTCGGTATCGCATTCGGCGGTGCTGCATTCCTTGCCGCGTTCGGGTTTAGATTCACGAACATCAAGAGGACGGCCGCGGCGGAGGCGTAAACGTGGGAGATCTATGCAGTAGAATCGGGTAAAGAATTGTTTCTCATAAGACGTTGGATAGGATATTAGCAACATCATCCTAGATTGTGATATTAGCATATTAGCGAGCGTATAGGGCTCTATACAGGTCCACCAAAAGCATTCCATTGCCCAAGTGCACCCCAGTCAACCGCAGCATCAGTCAAGTTTCCACTTCCGCTGTTACCAAGTCCCATTCCCAGACCTGGGAACTCCACACCCTCGAAGCCATCCAACCCAGGGCCAGAGAAGAAATCAAGGTCCAAGTCCAAAGTCTGCTGATCACTCGCTGGCGTGATCTCTTCCACGAACTTGGAATCCAGCACTGTATCTATGACCTTTGTAAAAATCTTGCTCGCTTTGCGACAAAGGTTGTAATTTGCCTCGCCATGTCTCGCTCCGGAATTCTCCATATGTGCGGCAGCGTCAAGATGTGAGATAAGTACACTCAGCATACGAATGATTTCTGCGCGAGAAATATCGGCGGGAAACTGCTGGCCTGTTCGATGCTGCTCGCGTAACGCATTAGCTAGGACGGAAGCCGCAGGTACGCCAAACAGCAACAAGGCATTCAGCATGTCACGGTGAACGTCGTATGATCTGTCACGTATCGTACCGAGAGTTAGTGTGTTGGAGAGGAGATCGACCGAAACGCGCAGCAGAGCCGCATTGAGCGTCAAAGGGCTGTAGTCGAGGAGTTTCTGGATCATGAACTCGTTGTACCAGTGTGTCAGGTGAACAATGCACAACATTAGACAGACTACTGAGGGTATGTCTTCTTCCCAGCACGTCTTCCAGTAGCGCATATGCTTTGGGAGCATTTCCCAGGAAGCACGTATACGCTCGGATATGTCTCTACAAACATATTAGTAACAGCTAAGATGTAGTCGCCACGGAGAACATACAATAGTTGGGCTTTAGCGTTCGCGTCGATCTTGACGAGCGAGAACTCCAGAATTTCTTCACGAAACCGTAGGGATATGTGACGCAGGCGCTGTGGTTCGTTAGTGCCAGGATTGGACTACGCCATTGGAACACCTACGATCCAGGATGCCCTTAACCACCTTCCTTTGGTATTCCAGCCATCCGTATCTAACGCTGCTATAGCCGAACTTAGCCTCGACTGATCACCGGTCACTTCGCTATCGGCTAGGTCGAGGGGAAGTTTCATGTCAGTATGCCTCTTGCTTATACGAATCGGTCGACCGAGGAAAGTAGATATTGATTTGTCCTGGTTGTAGGACGCACAGAAGACTCTGCGACGTGTTTCCGCCAGCCATCCTGGTGCATGGTCGCATTTCTTTTCCTGGTGAACACCCAATGCATATATCTGCGTTGATAGTTCGCCAATACGTCGCCATCCAGGTGGACCTGAGTAATGTCAGACCCGTCTCCCCGAATAGTGATTTGTGATCATACGTACCAGCATACCCACACATCATGATGGTAAATAAATAATTTTCATAGTACATCCATACTGTCAAATCATTGACTGTCGCAAGCATCGTCGTAAGGAAAAGACAGGTTGTACTGGCGCGCAGCAGCTCATCGGCGAAGCGCGACTTCATGTCTTTGTTATCAGGATCGTTGAAGATATCAGGAACGAAGCCGAATGTAAGCGACCTCCCAGCTGTCGCTAATAGAAAGCCAATCAATTCAAATCGCAAATTTTCGCCTGAACATAATGTGTGGAAGTCTCCAGCTTCGAGCGACTGTGATATCGTAAAAGGGCGCGCTGTTGTCTCGAGCACTTGACTTATAAGCTGAGAGTTGGGCGCTTTGCGTCGCAAGTCGTGCTTGTCAACAACGGCTTCTAAAGCGTTCACGGCGTCGACTTGGAGCTGAGCGGGTATCACACCTGCTTCGTTGCTTGCATTGTACCAGAGAACAAGCTCCTTGATCGAGTTATAATGTCGAAAAGTGCTTAACACGTCACATGCCATCTGGTATCGCATAGATTTCGACAGGGTGTGCTGATGTGTGAGTTCGCGGTCTGATCTCTCTGATGCGACGGACTCTTCACGTTCCCGTAGTTGGCCAGGTTCCTCATCCTGGGGAAGAAGAACGGCGTACGATCCAGGGCCAAGAAATCCAGGATGATAAACGTCAGCAGCAACAGCATCTGCAAGTTTGTCACCTTGGGCAGGAGACGGTGACGCAAAGGCGACAACAGAATTTGAAGCTTGCTTCGGGGGTCGCCTACGCAAGTCAAAATCGTTAGCTACAATGGTGGTTTGAGCTCTTCATACTTTCTCTTAGGAGGACGAGATTCGCCTGTGCCTGACTCATCGGTAGTTTGACGCGGCCTGGTGAGAGGCGCTGGATGGTAGAAGCAACGGTCTTCGATTCCACGTTGACGACATCGATCACATTTAGGGTGACCATGATCACATTTTGTTTTGTTCAGCCTGCATGGTTCGCAGGATGCTGGCTTCCCATTGCGCCTGCTGCTGCCGGCGTCCCTGTTGGTTCATTAGCGAATCAATGAACGCAGACTAGGCAGTCACCCTACATATTGACGTTCGCGCCGACGGGTACATGAAATAGTTGACGATTCACCTATTCGTGACATACTATATTGCGCAGTCGTCAGTGAGTCTGTCACGTTGAGTGGCTGGGCACAAGCAGGGAAAAGGTGTGACGCGGGCTGCCTGAAGTGAGTTATCGATAAGCTGCGCGTCTAGTTCGCGCCCTGTCACAGCCACCACACATGCACACCGGCACATCTGCAGGCGTCCGTCGTAGTATCAGCCCGAACTCAGCCTCAGCCGTCTGGTCTGGCGATATTCGAAATGGCAGCCTCTCAGAAGGTCGTCCGGCCGATGGACGGCAATCTCACTGTTTTGAACTTCGCCCTAGACGAAACGTATTCAGTCGACGACGAAAACAAGACACATCGAGGCCGTTGAGGCATGTCAGCTCCTGCTTCACTAACGATGAACCAAGCGTCTTCTACCTCAGCAAGTCTTCGAACCGACCTCGCACGCACATTGGGCTTTCCCCACCATCCGCACGATGCCACCGCCGAACCGTACCTCCGTTACCTCACGAATCGATGCATTGGCGGTTATACAATGGAGACGTATATCGAGCTTCTCATCATGGTGGTCAAATACTTCGATGGGGCCCCGGCTGATACGTCAGAGAAGAAGAGTATTCAGGGGTTGCTAGATGTCATATCTTCATCCCCCACTTACGCACAGCGGAACCGCGAAGACGTCGAGGATACCGTGCTATACATTATCGGCACCTTGACACTACTTCTGAGCTCGTTCATTCATCTGCCAATGGCTGGTGGTCTTCGCAAGGTGACAGCTAGCTACAACCTGCGGACTCATGGCAGCGCCTGTGGAACCCAATGCTACGGAGAAGACGTGAGTGGATTGGTGGTGGGCAGTGGCCTACTGCCAGTTCCCATTCACTATCTACCTCCCGACCACACAATACGCAAATACGGATCGTTCCAGACTGCTGCAACGCCATCGGTCTTCCCACGACCCTCTTCGGCATCATCTGCGACCAGACAGGTCGACATTGGTGCGTCTACCTCTACCTACACCGATGACGACCTACAAAGACGCGTGTCGCTAGGCTTTCTGCACGACTTGGATTCTCTGGAGTCGCTCACGATTAACGCGACGCGGCTTAACGCCTACACATTAAACGTCTTTGGAGCAGTAGACATTGCATGGACACACAATATCTCCAGGCATCTATCACTATCGAAACGCGATGGACGGTATACCCTCGAGATCTTCAGCCTGCCATGTGCGCTGAATGCTACCTCTGTGAGGCAGAGCGGCGTCTCCACTGAGCTTGCTCAAGAGATAAGGGAGACATACAGCTTGCTGTTCAACGCCTTCCACAAGATTCCTCGTCACGTAAAGCTCGCGCGAAAAATAGGTATCATATCTTTTTGCTGGTGCCGTTTTTGCTCGATGCGACGACACCAGAATCGTGCTGTCATGAGCTACAAGACGTTCAGTAAGCACCGGACGCTGGGCGCAACCAGAGCTCAACGAACACACGACACCGAATATGACCCTCTGCTAGTCGAATTGATGAGTAGTGAGCCCTCTGACTGGACACCGGATATGTTCCCTCATCTCTGGGCTCGTATCGTTATATTGGAAGAGCATCTCGAAGAAGCCAAACCTTGGAGCGTGTGGGTGTTATTCCGTGATCGCAGAGATACCCTACAATTCTGGACATTTTTGTGAGTTGCCAAAGGCTACTTCGCTCCACGAGACTGACGAGATACAGCTTTGCTACCATTGTCGTATTTCTGACAGTGTTGCAAGTTTTGCTTAGTGTTGTACAAGTCGTGGGGTCTTTCTAGCAGTGAACGACATCGGAGGCATTCAGCTCGTATCACGGCCGGCTAACCTGTATTCGTATGTTATGCGATAACAGGCGGCGCACGCTCGCTTATGTGATACCGTGAGTGGTTGCGATGGTGAACATCATGGACGTGCAGCTTGGCTTTTTTCAGCCTTATTCCGCCTCGTGCATAATGGGTCACAGGCGGCTGCCGGTATGATCTCTCTATCTATCTATGGTCTTCTCGCCCGGTGTCTCTCAAGAAGAAGGATCTATGCCGCATGTCGCATTTCATGATTATAGGTAAACAATATGCAGCTTTCACCTGGCGCTACAAGCTATCGTCAAAACATACTGGACTATGCCAAGCGTTCATACACACGTACACTTTTCTTCGGGTACCATTACAGGTTTCTTGGGGAGTTGTTTCGAGCGGACGAAACTCATCTAACCAAGCAGTACCCCGATCTCGAAGCATACTATCTCGCACATATATCCGTCTATGGACCTTCTACTGATGGATCCGAAGGATGTCGACGATACAGCTTCAAGTACTCTCAGTTGGTGGACATGGTGGCCTTTCCACCTGCTAACAAAGGCCAAGGGCAGGTCCTTTTTCTCAACGGGCACCTTCCGGGATCCTGGGTCTGTGAATTGGGTGCGAAGTACAACATCGCGCCTGAGTTCTTTCGCCAGCACATTCATCTTTGGCGTTCCACCGACGGCCCTGTTCTTCATGCCATAACAAGGACCCCGCTGTCTACTTCCAACAAAGGGCTCTTGCTACGTCTCAACACTCAGGGCTATTCCACAAAGAAAAGCCTCCTGTTAAATCCCTTCAGTAGCTTTATCTTACAAGCGCGACGAAGGCTTCTTCCTGATGATGCTGAGTGGATGCCGAGACGTTTGCCTGCAGCTCCTGGTGGTTCATATATCCGAAGACATGCGTATCTCAGCAACCTCCAATTCGTTATCGAACAAGACATATCCATAACTGTCGAGCGCAACGGGGATGGTTGGACTGGTAAGTGGGCTTTCCCTCCCTGAACCACGTTCCTGAAACGCTTACAAGTGCATCAGCAATCTTATGGACAGATGTGGGAAGCAGAGACCTGTCTGAAAGTCGCGAATACCATCGATTCATAGATGACATGACAGCAAATACGGCTACAGGACACCGAGATATCCGCCTCTTGCCTGTCCACATACTGGGAATGGAGTCGGCCGTTCGACATCCTTGGCCGCTGCCTTTGTTCGAACCTGAGAATCCGCAAGCCATGGATGGTTCTCTCGTTCAAACGGCCTCTCATTTGCCATCGGAGCTGCATGTGATGCTTGATGATCACGTCATTGCTGGCCAAGATCCACTATATGCCCTCGCGCCTGTACTCCTATTCGCGGCTGCCTCGGAAAACCAACTACTATCGGCTCTTCAGAGATGGTATGACATCATCGCATCGACCACTTGGGATCGGAAGTACTCAACTGAGCATCTGGAGCAGCTCATATTGCACAAACACCTTTTAGATGACCACGCAAATCGACACGAAGATGTCTTGCGCTTTATCAAATCACCCGTACTAGCTCGATGGGCGAGTGCTCTTACACAAGACCAGCATGCTGTAGCTCAGGAATCCAAGGATGCTGTCAAAGCCGACTTTGAGTTTCTTTTATCACGATATCGCCAACTTTCGTTACACTACCAGGACGCGATAACGATACTAGTTAGCGCTACTTCGCTCGCAGAGTCTCAGAAACAAATTACTCTTGCTACGCAAGTCACGAAACTGACTATCTTGGCGACCATCTTCCTCCCACTGTCGTATTGTACTTCGATATTCGGTATGAACTTTGTTGAGCTAGATCAATTGAGCATATGGATCTGGGTAGCTGTTACGGTGTCTGTCGGGCTCTCAACTCTTATTGTGTATCAATGGAATGAGCGGCAAGGACTGGGGGTGTTTTGGACTATGGTAATGACTAGAGTTTGGAGGATGCGCTTGAGACGTAGTACCTCAATGACAGTGTAGGCACGAAGTATTTGAATGGAAAATAAGGATTGCTATCAAACGATGTCATACTGCTTCAGCTCTGAAGGAACTTCGAACGCTCCGTAGAATGCTACTACCCCAAGTTGCAATCTTCGTTCAAGCGCAGGACCTTCCATATCGAAACTTTGCACTTTGCCGCAGCGCTGTACGAAGCTTTGGAAACCTACGATGCCTGGGCCCTCAGTGCCGTCCTCTCTTACTCCGTCTGCATACAGTGCGGTACCACTGTGACCGTTTGGTGGATCGAAGTCGGGATATACACGGTACAAAAGAGCGCGCGACACGAGGTCGTTCCATGTTGACGCATCATGGTCTTTTAGACTTTTTGAGCTACCTGCTGCGGCCTTCTGGTTGAGGAAGATGCCTTCGCCTACAACGAGAACATCGGATGGACGACTGCACTTTATGCTTTTGCCTGACTGGGTGCTTTCAGTGTCAGCTAGTATCTTGACCGTTGATGTTTGCTGGCGGAGCGAATCCCATGACTTTTGATGCAGCCACCCGAGATTTGCTACGGGAGACGCAATGTCCTCCACCATAGTAGGGGATGACGGTTTTATGAGCGTGATGTCATATTTAAAGCCGACCGGATAGAGCTTCACTTCTCTGTCAAAGGTTTTTTGGATGGTTCCAATCTGACGGGTTTGTAAGCATAACAGAATTTGATAGCTGCAAAATCTAGTGAAACGCGGGGTGATGAGTGATATATGCCATACACTGACCTTTTTATCGCCTGCCCAGATCTCGACATGTTCATTCCAATCATCCTCCAGCTTTTTGAAGCGATTGTCAAGACCACGGCTAAATATGGTGTCCCGATGAGATTTTGCAAGTATAGCCTCAGTAATAACGTGCGTAGACATTACTACTAATGGTTCTAAATCAGCTTGTGCCACTCTAAGACCAACCCGTCCAGAAAACCTCTCCCTTCTATGATTGGATAGTGGGCGAGCTTCTATAAAGTCGTTAAGCTTGAGTGATGGATATCTGGTGACGGATTGGGTCGACAGGCTGGCAGGCCGGAAAATACCCGAGATATCATGCGACCCGACGGGCGACCCAGACGTCGTGGCCCTACTCGTATCAGTTGCACTCGGCAACATGGTGGGCTCAACGTCTTGTTCGATGTAACAGACCTTGAGGCCACCGTATCTGTGTGGCAGGTGTGATGACGCCCAGCTAGTATCATAGTCTCCCGGCACAATGACTTGGAGAAGACCATTTATCAAAACATAAAATCCAATACTGTCTTGAAAAGTCAAGAAGAGGTCTTTCACTAGTTCCAAAGGTAGCGTCGCCCGGCAGTCGATCGGCGTTGTAGCTCGCGGATCAGGTGGTGGCGTGATTCCACTTTCCGGAGGCCATCTATACTCCACTGGAAGTACGACGGGTCCTCCAGCAATAGTAAGTGGATAGGGATTCTGCTTGTCCGGTTCAAGAGGCGTACAAGTCCAAGACCCATGCTGCCCACCGCGTTTGGCGTTTGTGACGTGATACTCAACGTCCCATTGCCAGGCGAAAGGAAGCTTGGATTGGATCTCTCTCCAATTATACAACGAAATTGTCTCAGACGACATATAGTGAGGTGTGTATAACCAAAGTTCCGCGAGAATGTCATCGGATTTATCATCATCCCCGGCCTCTTCCACGTTCTCTGAATCTACTGCCTGCAGTGGAATAGTAGAGTCATGAAATTTGTAATCAACATCCCAGAACGTATCGAGGGCGTCGTCACCTACGCCCTCGATACTATGCAGACTGTCGTTATCAGACGAGTCATCAGACGAGTCCTCGATGTCTTCAAACATGCGTGCGAAGCGCTGATGCCCCTTACGCTCCTCTTCCTGAGTTTTCCTGGAAGCTGAAGGGTCGTCGGGTTCCTGAGTTTTCTTGGGAGCTGAAGGGTCGCCGGGGTCCTCCTCTGCTTCGCGCGTCGATTCAAGTTGGGCTTTGCGTCGCGCGAGTCGGATAGCAAATCGGCGACGGGCCCACGAGGGAGGGTCATCAGACTGCAGAGATGGTGGGGTATCGGGTCCGGGATCTATGCTAAATACGCCGTATGGATTTATTCCTTCATTTGAAATGGGAGTAAGCGAGCCAGTGTCGCTGCTGCCTCCACTGGATGAAGTCTCATCCTGACATCTCGGCAACGCTTCATAGTTCCAAGCTCTGGCATGAAATCCTTGGCCAGACTGCTCGGAAAAACGAAGCGGAACTGGTGGATGGAATTCATGCAGTATAAAAGACTGGTTTGGGCGATAACCAGGGCATTTCGTTCCACGTCTCATACAAGTTCCGCATTCTGGACGACGTTCGTCACACCGAAGTTTCCTCTTCCTGCACTCAAAACAACCCGTTGCCCTCTTTGGCATAATCCGCGATGTCTGTTCGCCACCGTCAGTCTACAGACCTGTCCTGTAGATATTTCATGATAATGTCTTCACCTGGTCAGGCCAGCAGCTGCGGACCATGAGCGCGAGGCGATGGACGAAAAGAAACCAACAAAAGACAGGTGCGTGAAGTTTAGAGGTGATACTACTCACGATAGACGGTTGCTTATGAACGAGCAAATTCCAACAGCTTTTTGCGATGGTGTAGGATGGTGTGAATGTACAGGAATGCGCAGCTGAACTGCGAGCAGGCTGAAGTTTACCTGCAAGGTGCTGCGCCACCACATCTGTTCAGGCGTGCGCCAAATGAACGCCACTGAACCAACCTCTATTGCGGCAATACTTTGCACATCAGCCGAAAGATTGTCAAATCCATAGAAAGGCTGAGTTATGTCATTTTGTCGTTTCATCGTATGTAGAGCATGTCGCACTCCGTCCTCGCACGCTCTCCGTTCATCACACCGTCAACATAAGCGAACCCGCGAATCACGTACTGCGCCTTCCCGCCAGTCTCACTAGGTCTCAATATCATCGGATACGTACTTCCCAACGCGACGAACACCTCATCGCCAGGCTGCGTAGTCGCGATAGCGCATCCGACCAGCCTGCTCCTCGTAATGAAGATGCTGGACTCAGGGTACTGTAAGTCCCACACCGGCTTACCAAAAGCACGTCCGTCTGCACTATTTGACTCTTCCAGCAAATCACCGGGGATAAATGTAGTCAATATCGCTCGATCGTCAGCCAAAACGATGGCCAGATATGCGATGAAGTTGTGCAACAGCTCGAGTTGCTCGAACGGGTTGATCTTGTGGCTTAGACCAAAGGACAGTGATACTGCGGCAGCCGTGAGGAAGGATCTGGTAAGCGGTAAAGTGCCGTTAAAACTAGCCGCGAAGGTGTGAAGATTGCGTGTCCATAGACCCTTTAACTTTGTTTTCCCCTCCACTGAGTCGATGATGGTATTGGCAAAGTTGAACTGGTTGTACGATTCAGCATGTGTGATAACATCCAGGCTGAAGCCAGATAGCGACAACATATCGGTACCCTTATCGATGCTCCACGCTGATTTCGTGTCGCCAGCGGGCTTCCACGGCATAGGCTTACCAAATCGGAATGGGTTGCGGAAGAGCATCGGTATGTTCCAGCGCGGAATCCAGGACGGCTCTTCTTCCCCTGTAATGTAGAGCAATACATCGGCCTTCTCGAAGTTCACGAGCGCTGCCTCAACCGAATCACGGTATACTTCAAGCGTTGACTTGCTGTAATCTGGATCAAGCATATGGCCATCCTTGGACAGCTTCATCAAGCCTCGCAACCCATAGATAGTGTCTCTGGCATCCAGGCAACCATAGTTAGATGCGAGGTAAAGTATGTTGAGCCATCGCGTCGGTTACGCAATCAATTCTGAGGTAGTCGCGACCCACCAGCAGTTCGCAGTAGAAAACCCGTACGCATCCGAGAATGCAGGCTCCATTATGATATAGCTGGCAACAAGGTCGACCCTGCTCCACACTGACTTCGCATGTCCGACGTTGACCTCCCGGTGGAGGTTGGCGCTGATCTCCTGAATCACCCAAACACGAGTGAAATAGGGATGGGAGTAAAACCACACCAGCGACTTCCACATAGTATCCGTAACGAGGTCGATATCGTTGGGTAGAGGCACATCGGCTCGACGCTTGAGCAGATATTCCTGATATGTGTCTTCGCCGACTCTATGCTCTTCGATCGAGATGCCGAGTTCATCGCAGAGGAAATCAGATACGATTCGGATCGCGTTGACGGCTGTTGCGGCATCGTGATCTTCGGTATCAGCCCCAAGCCAGATTTGAACCTTTTGCGCGTTTTCGTAGATTCTCTTCATCTGCTTCACTTGCAGACCGCGTTCTGGTATATCCCTTTGGTTGATGCTACGCATGGTTAGCTCAGGAGATAAAACTAGGCTCCGTCATGACTGCAGTCTTCAGAACACAACCTACCATAATGCATCAGCCCACAAAAATCGCGACCTGTCCTTATGACGAAAGTGCGACAAGGCCGTGTGTAGATTCTGAGTGACCTCAATGATATGCCCATTGCAGAAAACAGGTGCCTTCAGTGTTGGGTCGCCCCAAGCGTAAGAGATAGCCTCGTACTCCAGTAGTGACTCCCACTCAACTGTATGAAGCTGTATTGAAACAACGTCGTCAAAGAGTCCGAGAAGAAGTTCCGCGATTCTGAGTGACTTCTCACGGGGCAGAATGTCGTAGGTGTAGCTACCGCCCAAGTCGGACCGAACAGCGCCTGCGGAATGAGCCATTGCGGATGAAGTGGAGAATGACACCAAGTGGGGCAGTGGACGAAAGCTTATGTATTTTGGGCTACGCGCATCTCCGTAGGCCGCCCCCCACGAATTTTACTCCACGCCCAGCTTTCAAGATTCCTTCTACGATGAAGTGCAGCCGTTCATGCCCGAAATCTCGTGCTGTGCCGTAATGCTGCAGATGACTACCTAGGCATGGCGACAAGGCGATAGCTGTCTGTACACACGCGCTGTACGCACGAAGCAACGATTCGATTATCGCACGAACATCGTCACTCGGAAGTGTCAGCAGCACACCAGGTCATAGCTGTCCGTCACTCAGAATATGGCGCTTCCTGCATCTTCAGCAGCCCTCCACCGAACAGTATGCCAACTGAGATGGTGGATCCCACCCTTGCGTGGAACCGCTTTTGTCACATCCTTGTCTCCATGTCCTAGACGCGCTTTCGCCTCTTGCAGAGTCGTTCAGGATGAACACCAAGATGACAACGAGCTGTTCGAATATACCTCCGGTCGACGGATGTACATGAATCAAACTGCAGACCACGCATCGATAGGCTGACTAACATGATCACCTAGTTCCAACGAGTCTCTCCGCATGGCTGAACGGCGCATGCCTTTTAACGTGTCTGAACTCAAGGAGGTCGCTGCGAAAGCACTCAACAAACCTGTTGAAGACATCAAGATGCTGAGAAAGATTGCTGAAGGTGGCTTCAATCGTATCCTGGAGGTGACAATGAATGATGGCGCATCGATACTCGCACGTCTTCCTTGCCCGTTAACCGTACCACGACGATTAGCAGTAGCAAGTGAAGTCGCGGCACTAGACCTCCTTCGTGCGAACGGAATACCTGTACCTCAGGTTCTAGCTTACTCGACTGGTAAGAACGCTATTTCCGCAGAGTACATGTTAATGGAGAAGATGACAGGAAAGCCGCTTAGTTGTGTATGGGTTCACTTGACCGATGATGAGAGATTCAAGATCTTGCATCAAATAGTCACCATGGAAGCAAAGCTGTTCGCTATGGAGTTGCCAGCCAGTGGCAGCATATACTACTCTTATGACTTACCTCCGACAATGCCTCGCATCGATATACCTGGATTTGACAACGGCTTGTGCATTGGTCCATATGCACACTCAGTGTGGCGGTACGGCGAACGCAAAGATCTGGAAATCGACCGTGGTCCTCATACTAATCCTCGGCTCGTCCTTCGGAGTTTCGCGGACAAGGAGCTAGCCTGGATTCATGCTCACGGTCGACCGCGCTACCCGTTTGATCGTGAATACATGGACTCATTCGATCACAGGAAGCAAGATCCTCAAGAACATGCTAGTTCGCTAAGAGACTATTTGAGTCTTATACCTTACCTTGTACCCGCAGACTCAGCAGCACACACTCCGACACTTCGACATCCCGACCTCAGCCCCAACAATATCTTGACAACCGACGATCTCATTATAGCTGGCTTCATCGACTGGCAACACGCCATGGTTCTCCCTGCTTGGCTGACCGCCGGCATACCACCAGCCTTTAAAAACTACGCGGACGAGGGCTCACGTGGTCTTCAAATCCCAAAACTCCCGGATGACCTTCAGTCTATGGACAAAACCTTACGCGCCAAGGTAGAGGAGCAATACCGACGTTGACACATACATTTCTGGTACCTTGCGTTAACTCGGCAATTGAACGAGCAGCATTGGCAGGCTTACATGGGGCACGACGGAGCTTTCATAACGCGTAACATGTTCCTCCAGGCTGGTATGATTTGGCAAGGCAATAATGCGCATCTCCAGATTGACCTTTCACAGGTTGTTCGCAATTGGTCAGTCTTTGCAGCATCCACCGCCGACGGCAGTATACCGACATGCCCAGTTGTCATCGAAGAACAGGAGATGCAGAGAAGGGAAAACCTCAGAATTTCGCTCAAGGAGGGTGATGTGTTTAGGAAAAACATGTCGGAGATGATGGGCGTTTTATCTGACGGATCTATATCGCACGAAAACTTCTATGTGGCGAAAGAAAGGGAGAGTATGATCAGGGAAGGTGTTGGAACTAAACTCAAAGACGATCTATTGGAAGCGGAGAGAGTGCTCCTGGCTTGGCCTTTTCATGACTTTGACGAGGATGAGTAGAGTGATTCTACACACATGTCACTTGTATTGTATGCGTGTCCTTGTATGACACAAGACACCGCGTTATGTGGAGAAGATAGACATTTCCACTCATCATGCGCCGATGCTGTAGAGCCCATGCCGTTCGCAATGTAATCCCAGTATAGAGGTAACTCTAACGCCCTCAACGCCTCCATGTCTGATGCTCATTTCACTGTATGTACAAACGCCGCAAATGCTAAAAATTGGATCGAAGAGGCTGTCATCTCTAATCCTCATCGACGTGCCTCTCGGCATTCTGAGCATCTAAGATACCGTCTCTGCACTTCTTGCAGACAAGCAAGGCACAAGAATAGCATTCGTACGCAAGGCTAAACTTGGCTGGCGATTCAGAAAAGATAGTCGATGGTGTCCTGTGGAACTCACGAAGCGTTGAGCCCTGATCATCCCGCATTGGGACGATCTTGTTGGAAAACGTCTCGTCAGATGCTCGGTGCCGGAGTCCCATCTCTGAGGTGGCGATGGTGTTACCATAGGTATCTACTGTTCGTTCAGAAGAATACTGAACGTCCTCCATCGGGAAAGGCTCGCGTGCTGGCACGCTTTGAGACAGCAGAGAGGACAAGGTGTGGCGGAGATGAGGTGCTGTTCCGACGGCGCCATGGGCTTCAAAGAGTCCACGTGGGGGTACATATGCTCCCCGTCCCCGTCCCCATCCTCGTCCTCGTCCTCGTCCTGCGGCCATGCCCCGTGTAATTCCTCTATTCGCTCCCCTCGCGCCCGCGGGTACAGTCCTCACGCTCGTGTTTGTGTTTGACGCCGCATTAGGTGGTTTGATCTCTGGATGTATCGCACACCAGCATTTCACACATTCCATCTCGGTCGAAGGGTCATTGTTCAGCGCTTTGGCAAGGGTGATTTTGCATGAATCAAATCCGTGTTCGCAGTCCCATGAGCGGTCTTGGTAGTCTTCTGTTGGTTCCTCGCCGAAGTTCAGATCCTGTCGCTGCCAGTAGCGGTGTCCTCCGCCGTCAAGGTTGCGTGGTTGAGAGGCTGGTTGCGGGAGTGCAGTTGCTGCTTCTCCAGTAGTGCCTTGAAGCTGAGTCGCTTCATTAGAAGCGTCAGGTGTATCATTCGTGTCAGGCAGGAGTCTGGTATCATCGTGTTGTTCGGGCGACACATCTTCGTCTTCATCTTCATCTTCATCGAACGACTCGTCATCGTAATCGTTTTCCTCGCCGCAGCCTCCGTTGCAATTGCTGTAATCTTCCATACAGGCGTAGCAGAAATGGGCACCACATCGACACTCCATATCTAGGTACAGGCGCAGGAAGTTAGTGTATGTCGCATACGATCTTTGTGCAGGTGAATTACTTACGGTTGCACCCGAACATCCGCTTCAATCCATGTCCACACTTTGGACACTTCTTATAGCCCCAGCTCTTCAATAGTTCTGTCGTCTCTGCATCGATGCCGAACTCAGAGATGTTGCATAGACTGTCCGGATGAGCGACTTGACGGCAATCAGGGCAGATACCCGTTTCGCAGGCTGGACATGCGACAGATTTTGAGGTTGGTGTTCCGATGCCAGAGTCTGCGCGCTTTCCTTTCCTCTTTGTTACTTCCTCTGGGAGAAGTCGTTCTGGGATGAATGCCGAACATGTTGGCATCGGACAGTAAAACGGATTTGGTGTGAGCCACTCCTCGTACTTTGATCTGAAGTCCGCAAACTCCTCCCTTGTCAAATGCGGCTTTGCTTGATGAGGTTGGATCTGTACGCAACACCTCGGAGGCATGCGAGTGGTGTCTTTGCAACATTCCGTGAACATCCTCTTTATGCATGATCCGCAGTATGCGCTTCCACATTCTCTGCATGGCTTGATAACCTCTTTTGCATGCTTCGGATCTTTGGAACTCGGCAGCTGGGTGCAGCATACGATACACTGAACTCCCGTTTCTTGGACAGGAGCTGGCGGGGCTGGTGCTGGAGAGGGCGGGACCGTGGCGACTGCGGGCGGTGGATCAATATCGGTGCTGGTGTACTCGATGGACATCAAGTCACGTTCTGCTTGAGCGAGGCGAAGTTCAGCAGAGATCCTGTATATCTGTTCCATAGCGACGGAGGCTGCAGATGTAGTCGACAAGGCGGGCGCGCTGTTGCGTCTTGGCGCAATGGCAGTTGTGGTGATAGAAGTTGCAATGTTGATATCGTCATAGGCGAAAGTGCCTGGTAATTGCGGAGTGATCTCTTGGCGACCTTTTTGCGCGTTCACATGGTCGATGTCGTGATGTTGGCCAGTCGCGACCGGTGAGGCAACAGCCTTCACCTGCGGTCGTACCGCGCGAGACAACTTAGAACCCATGATGATTGAGATGGCTTTTGCAACATAGAATACATGGAACGCTCTGGAAGATACGGCTTAAATGGAAAGCAAACTATAATGCGATACGGGGAAGCTTGACTCAGAAAGGCTGTTGACTCAAAGAAAGGCGTTGTGCTGCCTGCAGGCAGCCTTGCGGCGTTGACAGCCATTGGCTTGACCAAGACATCAACAAGACACCCCACATTTTCCATACACATCTCAGCTGCGACAAGGCTGTGATGCCTGGAGCTGTGACTCGCGCGTCTTTCACGTATGTTGGTTGGATAATTGGCGTTCGTATGGTAGGATCTGGGGGTAAGAGAACGAGGCTGAGCACGTCATCCAAAACCAAGCTTCAGCCCTTGAACCACGCTAAGCGACGCAGATACGTACAATACCACAACAGCCACAAAGACGATCTTATTTCGCCCTTTTTCGTGTGGACAGTGGTGCATGTGGGTGATGACGCTAGGTATCCTATGTGCGATCGACTTCTGCACTCACCCCGCGCTGCTACCTGGCGCTATACTGAGTTTAGCATATCGTGAGATTGTTCTACTCTGACGTCTCTACTCAGCCTCTATAAGAACCACAATTCCCACCTAAATCCAGATTTCGTATGGTAGAACTTGCACCACATCCTTCGCGGTTCGACAATCGTAATTTTGTTGAACGTCTTGCGGCCCATATATTTGGAGATATAGGAAGCAGCTGTGATTACATCATGTCACCCGAAGAAGTCCTGAGCGGCACTTCCTAGGCTCAGAATCCTGCGATGTTTTGGAATGCGACCGATCGTTGGGAGTGCGTATTCCGTGACTCGGCAAATCTTGACCCTACCCTACATCGGCGGAAGAAAACGTACCTCTGGAGACCATTTCGATCTATACAGATGATGTTGCAATTGCGTCTGGATCGTGTCGAACTTCGACATTCAGGGTAGGTGAAATTGACCGTCTCTTGTTGATCAACATCAACAGCACCGGAGAAGCCGTATACTCTCCTTCCTCTTTGCTTGAGTCTATCCTCTATCTTACCGCGCCCGTTCTTACAACACCAACCGCCCAATGCGGACCAGGATGTGGTAATGTCAAAGTTCTTGAACAACCGGCTAGTCCACCTGCTCCCGGCTCAACGATATCGAATTTTGGATTCTTTTACTATGACTGTAACACAACGGTATCAGCACCAAGATATCTCGGCTACAAATGTCGCTGTCGCTGCTCAAGCGATTGCACTTTCTGGGGAGCGCCATCCCGAAATATTCACATTGGGACCGGAGACAAGTGAATCGGGGTCTTGCACTGATGGTATGACATTCGGAGAACCTCAAAACAACAGTGTAGTAGGGATGGCAAGCCTGCTTTCACGATTCGCTATCGGCGTAGTTGCAGCAGCGGCAGAAACGAACCCGAAAGCGATCGTCTCCGGGCATGCGCCAACACAAGAAGTCAGGATTCAGCTGCATAGTCCAGTGCTATTCAGTCTAATCCTCGTATCCATTGGCCTGGCCCAATCGTGTTTGTTCGTTGTTGCGGTAAAGTTTGGTAGCAGGCTTGAGATTCCTGTGGTCGCGATCTCTCAGCTGGGTGAAATCCGGAAACAATTTGTCGCTGAGCCTGCAACCTCTTGAGCTGATAGTCACTTGATCGGTACATGAGAGTGGATTTTCTGGGAGGCAAAAGTATCTCTGATGATGCTTTCCTATGTCGAGTAACCAATGTTCGGAGACACCGGCTGCTCCCGTGCATGAGTAGCTGTTCAGCTCAGATGTGGCGATAAAGACGCCAATCTGCTTTTGGCCTAGAATAAGAGGGGTCCAAATGGCGCACCTGGGGCTCCGGGCAAGCTTCACGTTGCGACTTTTGCGAAATACGTTGTATCCAGTACAAGAAGTGCATGGTGCCACCTTGAAAGTCAAACTCGAAAGCTAGGCCCGACTGCGGGAATGAGGATTCGGCTCGGTGTAATACGATGTGACCGTGCCGAGATGATAGAGTAATCTTGGGCAAACTTGCAAGAGTAGAGGCTCGTCAAGTCTCCTTCACCAGCTCTCGTGAGATGCGCAAGTATGCTCGTATTGGCATCTTGCCATAGAGCTCGTGAGAGTTTGGTAGACTGCTGCAGCTAGACGTAATTTGTGCCATGGAGCGGGGTACGTAGCATGAGCGACTCATGCAAGACGTCGGAGGAAGACGACTTCTAGACTGACCACAGTCAGCGGAATACCTTGAACGCGCAAGGCTATATATTAGCTTCCACGTTTATTAAGTTGAGATCGTCACGCTGAGAGACGGGTTCTTGGGTATCGCTAGATTATTCTTAGGACGCGCAGCGAACCTGGCTAGTTATGCCTCCAAGTGTCAGAGTTTGCAAGCTACTGATGTACCCTGAGGCGGACTTGAAGTCGAAGGTACATCACATCATCTTCAACCTGGTGACTAACAGAGCGGCACAGCCAAGTTTCGCGGAACGCTGGTAACATGCCGAACGTCTTACCGACGGATCGCGATGCCGCCTTGTATCGACGCGATACTGCTCTAAGGTAGAAGAGTAGCACAACTGGGTCAGCGTCGGAGACAGGTTACTCTGACAAGATACGTGACGTGAGTGACTTTCCCATGTACTACCTGCCGTGTGGGGCAGTCGACGAGAGCACCCTGGTGCTTACTAGATCACCCGGTGGAAAAGTTCTCAAGCGCACTCGATCGGTTGCTAACTTGCTGGAAACCAAACGCCGAGGTAGGAGTCGGAACGTTATTGTGAGCTTACGAACGGATCCAATTCCGCAAACGGTATTGCCGAAGATTCGCCAATGTATAATGCGGGTGCTCCATGAAAATACTGGGTCTACCCCGAGGAGCTATACCAGCCGATTGTACAGCCCAACGGAGTATCGGACCTCACATCAGGCGCTACCATGTAGTTGCTAGACACCAAGGCTTGCGACTATGGGGCGCAGTTCGATGAAAGCTGGCATACGACATCGACCCCGCACTGCGTGTCTCGCCCTGGGCTTGGAGGTCGTGGGCCAGCCAAATAGCTCGCCTCACGCACCCCCAATTCCCTAGCTTGGCTATGTTGTGGCGTTCGGAAAGGGCTTTCGAGAGGAGCTTATATGCACGTCCAGGGTTGACGTAGGTATATGACGATGTACACGGCTGGGGCAATTGACTGCGACCGTGCACACAGGTTGAGCGCGACGGGACAAAAGCAATACTTCTGCTCTTCCCTTGTGGAGCTTCCCTGACGTGATGCAGCTGCATGTAGGCCATGGTCGCTGCATATATGCAGGACGTTTGACTGAGCAGAGAGCATGTGATGGGACTTCCAAGGAAACATCGGGGCCAGAAGACAGAGCGGACGCCCCGGATTGAGCTCCATCGAGTCATTGAGGGCACCAAGGGCGGAGACCAGCAGGTTCTGCACATGCTCCCCGCAAAAAAAAGAGCCAGCCGCTTGCGCCTGGGGTTGTGACGGCGCATGGTGCTAGGGGACGGGTAGCTGGGGAAGCTATGCCCTGCCCTTGTCACTTGCTGCTCATCGCAGTGAATAAAGGCTGCCATGGTGCCCGTGAAATTTGGCCTGTGTCTGCGAGCGCTCTCAACTCCTACTTACATGTTAGCACAGTAAATTTCATTATTACTGTGTACTTGTACATCTCAACTCGCGTTTCCCAGCCAGCCAGACGTCATGCTGTGGCTTGCACAAGCATTATTGGCGGGCCTTGCCCATGCCCAGGTACGTTTATTTGTTTTGTAGCTACGCCTCACAACAGCGTTGTCGCTGCGAAATATTCATGTCAAAGCTGCCGAAATGCTACCTGATCTTGCGCATCTTTTTGTTGCTCTTTTCCCATTCTTCCGTCCAGTACAATTCAACCTTGCAGTCGTGTTTACGAGCTTCCGCTGACGATAAACAAGTATTCTAACAACACCACACCGGGCGCAAATGACACCAGCAGCAGTCCTTTGGACTTTGCTGACAGCCCGCCTTTCTACCCATCTCCGTACGTACAAACCCGACGTTTTGCGCAATGCGACCCGCTAGAAGTGCGCTTGACAAGTGTGGGGAAGAGCGAAGGAGTGCAGGCTCCACTAAACTTCACACTCGGCAGTCGCATTGCGCGAGACTTTACTCCGACATCCGAAGACACCTTTACTGACTTCACAACAGCTGGGTGGAGGACACTACCGGCGACTGGGCCGATGCCATTACCAAGGCAAAGGCATTCGTCAGCCAGCTGACTCTTCTCGAGAAGGTCAATCTCACCACCGGAACAGGATGGCAGAGTGAGGCCTGCGTCGGCAACGTCGGCGCCATTCCCCGTCTCGGCTTCGACTCTTTGTGTATGCAAGACAGCCCTCTGGGTATCCGTTTCGCGGACTACGTCTCCGCTTTCCCAGCAGGAGGCACTATTGCTGGATCATGGGACCGTGGCGAGTTCTACCAACGTGGTTACCAGATGGGTCAGGAGCATCGCGCAAAGGGTGTCGATGTGCAACTTGGTCCCGTTGTCGGTCCTCTTGGTCGCAACCCGAAGGGCGGTGTAAGTTGATCAACTTCATCACCATGATATCTACTGACTTCTACTCAGCGTAACTGGGAAGGTTTCTCCCCCGACCCCGTCCTGTCTGGCATTGCTGTCGCCGATACCGTCCGTGGTATTCAGGATGCCGGTGTGATTGCTTGCACCAAGCACTACATCATGAACGAACAGGAGCACTTCCGCCAGCCCGGACAGTTCGAGGACTTTGGTTTCGTCGATGCGCTCAGCTCCAACTTGGACGACAAGACTCTGCACGAGCTCTACTTGTGGCCCTTTGCTGACGCCATCCGTGCTGGAACTGGCTCGATCATGTGCTCTTACAACAAGGTCAACAACTCGCAGGTTTGCCAGAACTCATACCTGCAGAACTACATCCTGAAGGGCGAGCTTGGCTTCCAGGGATTCATCATGTCTGATTGGGATGCCCAGCATTCCGGAGTTGCTTCCACTCTTGCTGGTATGGACATGACCATGCCCGGTGACACCGACTTCAACTCCGGCCAGTCCTTCTGGGGACCTAACCTTACAATCTCTATTCTCAATGGCACCGTTCCCCAATGGCGTCTCGACGATGCCGCTGTCCGCATCATGGCTGCCTACTACTACGTTGGACTTGACGAGTCCATCCCAGTCAACTTCGACAGCTGGCAGCGCGACACATACGGATACGAGCACTACTACGCGAAGACTGGCTACGGTCTTATCAACCAGCACGTTGATGTCCGCATGGATCACTTCCGCTCTATTCGCCGCACTGCTGCCAAGTCCACTGTTATGCTCAAGAACTCTGGCGTTCTCCCCCTTACCGGAAATGAGAAGTGGACTGCTGTGTTCGGTAATGACGCTGCTGAGAACGAGTACGGCCCCAACGGATGTGCTGACCGTGGTTGCGATAATGGTACCTTGGCCATGGGCTGGGGTTCAGGAACCGCTGACTTCCCTTACCTCGTCACTCCTCTCGAGTCTATCAAGCGCGAGGTTACTGACAACGGCGGTGTCGTTACTTCTGTTACTGATAACTATGCCTACACTCAAATCCAAGCTATGGCTAGCCAGGCTGACACCGCTATCGTCTTCGTCAACGCCGATTCTGGTGAAGGTTACATCACCGTTGATGGCAACGCTGGTGACCGCAACAACCTCACTCTTTGGCAGGGTGGTCAGACTTTGGTCCAGAACGTCTCCGCGCTGTGCAACAACACCATTGTTGTCATTCACTCTGTCGGCCCTGTCCTTGTTGACAGCTTCTACGACAACGAGAACGTCACCGCTATCCTCTGGGCCGGTCTTCCTGGCCAAGAGTCCGGTAACGCTATCGCCGATATCCTGTACGGCCGTGAGAACCCCGGTGGCAAGCTTCCTTTCACTATCGGCAGCTCCGCAGCTGAGTACGGTCCTGACCTGATCTACGAGCCCAACAACGGCCACGGCAGCCCCCAGGACAACTTCGATGAGGGTGTCTTCATTGACTACCGTGCCTTTGACAAGAACGACATCACTCCCATCTACGAGTTCGGTTTCGGTCTCTCTTACACTACCTTCGAGTACTCTGACATCAAGGTCGAGAAGGTGGCAGCCGGCCCATACCAGCCCACTACTGGCCAGACTATCGCCGCGCCCACTCTCGGCAACTTCAGCCGTGATATTGAGGAGTACCAGTTCCCCGCCAACGCTACCCGCCCGGCTACTTACATCTTCCCCTACCTCAACTCGACCGACCTTGCTGAAGCGTCGCAAGACCCCGAGTACGGTGTCAACCACACCTGGCCTGCCGGTTACGCCGACGGCTCACCCCAAGCTCGCATCCCCGCTGGTGGCGCTCCAGGTGGCAACCCCGCTCTGTGGGACGTCCTTTTCACTGTTGAGGCTACCATCACCAACAACGGCACTGTCTCTGGTGACGAGGTTGTCCAGGCTTACGTTGCGCTTGGTGGACCTGAGGACCCCAAGGTCCAGCTTCGTGGCTTTGACCGCTTGAGCATCCAGCCCGGTCAGAGCGCTACATTCCACGCCGACATCACCCGCCGTGATGTTAGCAACTGGGATGTTGCCTCCCAGAACTGGGTTATCTCCGAGTACCCCAAGACAGTGTACGTCGGTGCTAGCTCGCGCAAGTTGGTTCTTAGCGCTGAGCTTGACACCAGCGACTACACCTCTTAGAGGGAGTCGTGGAGGGATCTTGTATTTTGGATAAAATAATGTTCAATCCTTAATTCTCTAGTCATAGCTAGTATTATGAAGACACGATACTTGTACATATAGCACGAATGTGTTGAAATGAAGTGCACTCGCCTTGCCTGTCAAATTTCCTAACGAAACCGCCACACCCATAGCTGGACCAATCGAGAGCACACGCTCATTGTGCCTCATCCCTTTGGATTGAGGGGTAAGCCGTATCGCGGGCCGGGGGCGCTTCGGCGCGGAGCTTCGATGACGATGTAGAGTTGACAAACGCGTCTACGAGGTCACAAATGCAGCTAACGAGATGCAAAATCAATGCGTCACGCGACGAACGCCCGGGGTTGCGATCGTATGCAGGGTAACAGACAAACATTTCTAGGACGTTCTTCATGACCGTGTAGTAAACTACAGGAAGCGAGTGAGTAAGCGTCAGCGGATGGAAGCGGCAACGATTGGCGACTTTTTGGTGTTGGTGTGGTGTGGTGTGGGCCGTTGGCAGCGATCCTGTTGGCGACATGCGAACGGTTTTCAAGCCCTGATGCATAGCGTCATTGTTTGCTTGGCGAATCGAACGCGCACAGATTACCAGCGTTTTGGAGTCGCGATGGGCAGAAAAGAAACCCCAAGCATGCAGCGACGGGAAACGGATGTCATATGGCCATCATCCCGTCCGGTACCGTCGCAGGGCTTGAATGCAAAGTCTGGATCGCTCAGGCGCAATTTGGGCGCGCTCAGCTACCGCGTTATTTTGATCACGGGCTTCCAAGGTTGTGCGCACGGATAGCAGCTTGGTATCCTTCGACCAAGGCGACGTAATTTGTCCCCTTCTGCGGCTCTGCTCCATTATCTCTCTATCGATAGCCAATTCATTATCCTGACCCCTTCACGCGCCTCGGCCAACTGTCATCACCGTCCCCCGCACGCGTCGCGCATCGTCTCGCTGCGAATTGAGGTCATCGCCACGTTGCGCTAGCCAGCAAAGTCGCGTCGTGCTTGAATAACAAACACCTGGAAACGTCGACGCTTCCGACGCCGACCGCAGACTTCCTTCTCGTCACCACCCAGCTGCGACGCCTGCTCTCGGACTGCTCCCACTCCCTGGAAGACGCTTTCCTAACGCGCGCATTGTATTGGGAACCCGAAGCCAACGTTTCGCGGTAAGCAGCTCCCCATTTCCGCGTGTGTCGAGTCCCTTGGTGGGGCGGGCTGGCTGGTATTCGCACCCGTGTCTGTGGCTGGCTCGTCCCTCCCATGGTCCGCTGTCACCACCACAACAAACAAATGGTTGATACATATACACAACACTCGCTGATTCTTTCTCCTCTCCGTACAGAGTCTCTCGCCCGTATGCAACATGTCGACCCGTAGAACTGGACTCCGCTCGCGTAGAGACGCTCAACAGCAGTCTGAACCTGACACGCCAGATGCCACGCCCTCGCGGAAGCGTAGGCGGGTGAGCAGCCCAACCACTACCAGTGTTGCGGCGAACTTGTACTCACTCGCACAGTTGAATGGCTCCGCCCAAGAGGCGCCTGCCCCGGCCGCCGCAGACCCTCCCCGTACACGCATCACCGAATCCGTCGCTAGTAACGACTCCAACACGACACTGCCCAACGGCGGAGACGCAGACACTATGGATCCCATAGAGCGCCAGAACCTCGTTATCGCTGCTCTCCGCGTGCCCAGCTATGTGCCCAACGCCGCTATCGATTATGCCAACGACCTACAGTCTCAGCGCAATGAGGGTAAGAACATTGCGGCCTTTGCCAAGATTGCTGCGCGCGACTGGTGCTTCTTCGTTCAGGACACGCAAGTTAGAATTGGTCGTGTAGACTCGAGAGAACGCAACAACCAGCAGGGCTCCCAGCCTGATATCGCTGGACTGCCTACCAGCGAGCCTCATCGCCAGGACTGGGGCGTGCACATAGATCTTGGCCCTGAGCGCCAGATTTCCCGCGTCCACGCCGAGATCAACTTCGAGATTGATGATCAGCAGTGGTACATCACTGTCAACAGCCGTAACGGCCTCAAGCTGGACGATCGCCATCTGACCAGAGGAGACAAGGCGCCTCTGCACTCGGGTATCTGCATCAGCATCATGAGCACACAGATGTTGTTCCTGCTTGCCAATCAAGAAGACCACTTCCATCCCATGTTGTGGCGTCAAGTCAAGAGCGAGGATGCTGCTGAGTCTGACAACGATGGCAACCCGCCGCCCAAGTCGCATCAGCATGCCCATCCTAGCGGACCTACACCCAAGCGTGATCATTACGACCCGTTTCCACCATCTTCACACCCCCGCAACAAGCACCAATCTTCACAAGCATACTACAACCAAATGACATCCACACCAGGCTACCCACAACCTGGCACGCCGATGACTTTCCGGGGCGAGAAAGACCCACGCGGCAAGGGCTCTCCTGCTACCTTCTCTCGCGCAGTTGTGTTGGAGACTGGAGACAATACCGACTATAGTTTGGACGCCAATAAAGATGTCAAGCCGCCCCACAGCTATGCCCAGCTCATCGGTCAAGCAATCCTTAGCAGCGAGGAAGAGATGCTCACACTTGCAAACATATACGACTACATCAAAGCTCGGTATGCCTTCTTCCGGTACACAAACAGTGGCTGGCAGAACAGCATCCGGCACAACTTGTCTCTCAACAAGTCGTTCGCCAAGGTTGCACGCCGTACCGATGAGCCTGGCAAGGGCATGAAATGGAAGATCGCGGATTCCGAAAAGGAAGAGTTCATCAAGAAGCAGCTGCTGAATCCTCGTAAGGGAGGTGGAGTTCAGATCGGATACCGCATAGAAGGCTCCGGGCCTAGTTCGCCCGCGCTAGGAAATCCGTCTCAGGCCACCGAGCGCCTCGTTGGTGCTCTGGAGTGTGATACTCGCAGTGGTCAATACTCTGCCCGTGTCAAGTCACCTCCACGATCTGCTACGCCTCCGCTATCGTCCGTTCCAATGGCAAACGAATCATACACTCCGGATCGCGGCCCACGTCCGTTTGGAGGCTTCAAACAATCACCGACCATACGCGACCAGGATCGCTTCGTTACTCCAGCGAAGCGCCTCATGTATGGTGCCAACGAAAGCCAAAGCCTTCCCCATATCAAGCAGGATGATCGCAACTTGGAATCCTCACCTGGTGTAGACCCTGTCAAACAAAGCGTCCCAGGTATGAAGACTGACGTGGGAAACTCACCGCCGACTTTGTACTCGGATGCCGGATCGCATCATATGAGCGGTGGTTACGATGCCGGTCGAATGAACAACGCACTTGTAACGCCACTTGTCTCTCGCCATGCGCCTCGTCTCGCACCTCCCAGTACTGCCCAGATGCCTAGCCAGTACATGGCATTCTCCAGCCCTGCACCTTTCTGGAAGTTCGTCGACCTTCCCAGCACACCCGCCAAAGCACCCCTTGAGTTGAGTCCTATCAAGCTACAGCGTCCAGACTTTAAGGATGGCGATGACGAGGACCATCCAAGTTCACCGCCCATGCTGCCAGACAATAGCGCAGAGCCTGAAGATGAGGAAGACCGAGACCAAGACGGTGATGATAAAGCCGATGAAGATGAGGATGTTGGTCCAGAAAGTCCAAGCCGTACTGTCTCTCGACCTGTTAGTCGCCGGGATCTTGGAAGTCAGCATCAACGCTCGCGGTCGAACAGTAATGTCAACGGACTTGGATTGGGTATTGTCGGCAATGGAGGAATGGTACGTGGTGCTAGCTTGACAAGCTTCGAGGAAGAAGCCGAGCCTGAAGAGGAGAGCTACGATCTTTCAAAGTAAGTCACAGTGTCGTCTCCATTGTGGGTACAACTCGGTATACTAACAAACAGCAGGGGTTTCCAGAAAATTGGCTCCTTCCACCGCAGCATGGCACAAGCCCACGGCCTCGGCAGCATCGGTAGTCGGGCTACGGCTACACCGCCTCCTCATCTGAGTCGCACAAGTGTTCCTGCGAACATGTAGAATTTATCAACGGAGCCCACGAGGAGGTCTAAGCACTCCTGTGTTGCGCTGTGGTACAAAATCCACGCTTGCGATCACTGATGTTATGCGGGTATATCTTACTCCAGGAGTTTCCATGTCAGCCAACATTTCCAGGTCGCCAGGCTCGGGTCCTCATGGTTTCGAGGACAATGCTTACTACGAAAAAGGAACGTTGATCATGGATGGTTTTACGACGACTCTCTCATTCTGCTGTTGAGTTCAGGTGTTTGCGATGGTGTACCTATCAGCATGGAGTTCCAGGGTTGTTGATTTATTCGCTGTATTCTTTTTCCGTCGCATAGGCATCATGTCGATCGGTCGATTCACTCCGCTATGGCGTTTATGGGTCGTAGCATTGACTAAATATGGGAAGCGTTATGATGATGATTGCCCGGTCAGTCTTTTCAGTTTTGCATTATTCAGAGGATGGATAGCATGTGGTATTCGGATGGCAGAGGTGGGGGATTCATGAGTACATCAGTAGTACTAGAGAAATGAAAGCATATTTGTAACTTTGGTGCGACTTGGTTCTGATGTGTATCTGGATGTGTATCTGGATGTGTATTTGAGGATGAAGAGACGGTCAGATGTGATAACACTCAGACGCGCGTTTCTCAATCACTAGCAAGATGTGCACAACCATGTATCGACACGAAGGATAGCTTAATCTCTTCTCATTGTCATTCTTCCAGTTACCCATGCAAATATATATGCTACGGTATCCCTATCTCCCCTCTTCTCAGCCGTCCGTGTTCCTTCAGACCATAACGTGGTCTGGTCTAGTTAATCTCCTTGTGCGGGAACCACTTGCTCGGCTTGAGGTTCTTCTCCTCAAGCGGCGCATCCAAGACACCCAATCGCCTTATCTCGCCCGCTGAAGGTGCGTCGTCGCGTTTTATGTTGGCTTCGGCCTTGCGGTACGCGGCCTGGAGGGCGAGGGTACGGGCGGCCTGGATGGGTTGTGAGTCGGTGTAATTCACGACTGGGTGAATGGTAGCGAGAATGGGTAAGGGACGGGTAAAGAAGGAGTGGGAGGATGGGAGCTGGTAAGAGTTTGATAGATAGGGTATGTACGCACCTCCTTCTTGTGGTGAAGGCACTCGTAGTAGTCCTCAAGGACGGGTGCGCATTTTGCTTTGCCCGAATCGTCCTCGGCGTTTGTGTTGGTGGTGTAGCATGCTAGGACTTCTTGCCAGAAGGGGAAGCAGCGGGATGGGCCTGGAGCGATGTGTTAGCACTGGGCCAGGTTTTGGTGTCTGAGGTCTGTGGTTAGAGAGCTTTGAAGGGCTGAGGCGGCGCGTGTGAGAGGGTCGGCGGAAGCGGGGAAACGGAGCGGGCGAGCGGATGGCTCTGGCAACGTGAGAAGCGGACAGGCGTTTCGAGATATGTTGTCGCGCCTTTGAAATCGAGAGACCCTCTCCGGGCTGTCGATGGTGTATTTTGTCGTGTTCGCGCGCTTTGGTCTCGCCGTAGGAGCAGCGCTGTCTTCGTATGGCTGCGGCTTGCCTACGACCAAACGCTGCTGCCGGATCTAATTCCACCTGTTCTTCCATGTATGTTTAACGGGCTCGTGTATTCCGCGTGTGTGATTGCGTCGTGTGGTCGTCGTTGTTGCTCTTCGCATTTGTTCAAGATTCGCTCTTCGTGATGCCATTGCGCTCGCTCGGGTGCGTCCGCCCCCTTCCAAAGCTCCAAATAATGACCCCCAGAAAGCGAAGTGTACGTACCACCAGCAAGTCCGTATCCTGAAGCCATTGTCGCGATGTTTAAGTGGGGTCTCAAGTCGCGATGTGCAGCTGCTGTGAACTCGGCCAGCTTTGGTTACGTCAGCAGCGCACGGCCCCTTGTTTGCAATCCATCTAATGCTGTTGGTGAGCCACGCCGTGCACACTTGACAGCTTGGTACAAGTATGCCAACTCTTGTCTCAGCAAGCACCACATATATCAATGGCTCTTGCGCACCAATGTTCTTGCCAGAGCTCTCGCAGAGGACCATGACGAATCACTGCAGCGCTGCAAGGCGTTCACAATGCTGTTGGAGTACTTTTCTCGTATCACGTTCATGATACGCTGCAGGCATGCAGGCTTACTTCCGCTAATCGTTACATGTTCATTGCATGCATAGAACCGCACCACAGCCACGCATCCTAGCTGCATGCGTCATGTGCTCTTTTCCAGACAACCCTACCAGGCTGCAACCTTTCATTCATGTTCTTCAATCTGATGCGGAGGCACTTCCTCAAACCTCGGTTGCATCGCGATAAAGACCAGTACTCTTGGCCGAATTCTCTTGTACGCTGACTATTTTATCCGATTTCGAAACCTTATTACCAACACAAGTGTATCCTTCCAAGATATGTCTGCTAGAAAAGGCTACTGTGCTGGCTGTGGAACACTACTAGTGGACAAAACCATGAAAGGAGATTTAACGGGGATTCCTTTTACTGTCGTCTATCCCGAACAGACGCATAATGTGAGAAGCAAGAAGAATTTTGCGAAAGTGGTAGCAGGGTCGAACCATGGTTGTCGCAATTGTACTGTGGTTCTAGATGCTTTGTCTTCTATTTTTAAGAGCAAGGAGCGAGAGACGTTCGAATTCGCGGTAGGGACTCAAGGACAGACTGGGACTTTAATGATTGAATGTAGTCTTGACATGGACTTCAGCGAAGGTCGACACGTTGACCCTACTCACATGGAAGTCTTTCGGCAAACTGGTATGTCAGGCTGAGTTGAATGCCCGTTCGACCTGATAAAGTGAATAGACCAACCGCAAAGGTCTGAATCCTGCAACTCTGTTACCTGGGACCTCGAACAATACCGCGCACTATCGGGAAATACATCCTCACACGCAACTCTTGGTCTGATTGCAAGTTGGGCAACTCATTGTGTGGAACACCACGAGCATTGTCCACAACGATTAGTCAGTCGATTGCCTAAGAGGGTCCTCGAGATCACGGCTGATCACGTATCTCTCAAAGAGAAACCCAATACTCCAGCTACCTATGTTTGTCTGAGTCACTGTTGGGGTCCAGATGGCCCGGCTATCAGACTGACTGCTGATACTGTGGAGCTTCTCCATAAAGGCTACGTCACATCCGATCTGCCCAAAACATTTCGAGATGCTGTCGATGTTTGCAAGCGTCTTGGGATTTGCTACCTTTGGATCGATGCACTATGTGAGTTCATATGCAGAAATGGAAGTCTGGAGAAAGATGTGGCTAATAGGTTTAGGTATCTTCCAGGACAGCCAGGAAGACTGGAAAGAAGCAGCTGCCACGATGGCAGGCATCTATGAGCATGCATATATTACCATCGCAGCCACCTTTGCTCCAGACAGCAATGGCGGTCTGTTCTCTTCTGTTCGACCTCTCGGGACACGCCTGGACAAGCATCCCCACCTGTATATTCGAGAGTGCCTGCCAACTTTTCCCGATGACTTTTATACGAGAGATCTAAAATCATGGCCGCTTCTGACCCGCGCCTGGGTGTATCAAGAGCGAAGGCTCTCGCCCCGCACCGTGCACTTTTGCAAGCATCAAGTGTACTGGGAATGCCAGACCAACTTTGACTCCGAGGATGCTAGCGAATATAAGGTGTGGATAACAGACGCTGATGATGTTGATAGAGATCTCGGATGGGGTGATAAGGTCGTGGATAGTACAAGACAATGGCAAAAGATCGTGTCGGAGTACACCAAGCTCGAACTGACTTATGATAGCGATCGTCTACCAGCTATCGCGGCTCTGGCGAATCGAATGTCACGGCTGCGACGAGCAGATGATGTCTACATCGCGGGAATGTGGAGGAACAGCATACTTTCGGACTTGTTGTGGGAGTCGAGACCTTTCGAAATCGGGAAATGGGGGCGGCCTGTCGAACCGCGCTCTGTGCGACTGGTCCCCTCTTGGTCTTGGGCATCAGTTCGAAACGCAAATATCTCTTGGCGTGAGTGCGCATTTCCAGACACGACTCAGATCGTTAGCCTTGATTATACTGCGATAGGTGCTGCTCACCTTGGCGAAGTCATCAACACCAGCATTGTTTTAAGGACAAATGTCCTTGACCTGACTGGCGTGGTAATTTCGGATTCACACCGGCCAAGTGATTCCATCCACGAATTTCTCAGATCTACTCCGCGCATGGATTCTTTCCGGCGTAACAATGACGCAAGTATTCATTGTACTTTTCACCAAGATTACAATTTGGCCACCGCCGACCCTCTGTATATGCGTGGACACGATCCGAAGCTTCTTATCTCGAAGGCGACCCGTGATTCCCTAGGCGGAGTGGTTGTTCGACAAATCACTGAGAAGCCCGTACAGTATGAGAGAATTGGCTTCCTTCATATTTTCACCTTTAGTCTAAAATCTAGTATCAGTGGACCTGACGAAATCGGGTGGAACTCTAATGGCGAAGCTCAAAGACGAGTTGACGAATTAATACGGTCATTGCCTGTGGAAGAGGTGATGATCATCTGAAGTCTATATCGCCAATCACGAAGCGATAGCGGAGCCATCGTGGTGCTAGTCACGTACAACATACGACAATCGCGAGCAAATGATCAAAGAGTTCTAGTTTCATGAAGACCACAGAAATAGATACAATAATCCACTTTCGTTCTAGCTATCTAGTCTGGATACTACATAGACCCGCAAACTAAGATGCTGACACATGAACCTTTTCCATATCCTCCAGGTTCAGTCATAAGAAACCCGAAGGATATGAGCCTGAACATATCCTCTAGTTTAGATATCAGGATCCGCGCCTACATAATGGGTACATTGATACCTCGGACACGACGAAAGTATCCAGCCTCATCTGCTTTCCATTTCTTCTTACCCGGCTCCGCCATCTTAGCCTTGACTCGCGCTGCCAACTCGGCATCCTTCTTCTTCTGCTCATCCCACTTGGCCTGCTGAGTTGCTGCCCTCTCCTCCAACTGCTTCTGGCGCTGCTGATACATCAGTCTAGCAGACTCTTCCCGAAGCTTTGCCTTCGCCTCAAGCCAATTCTTCTTGTCAACGTAGGTTTGGTGCTTCTGCATCTTCTTCTTGGCCTCTTCCACCGCGACACCGAAGCGCTCATTGGTCTTCAAGTACACCCGGTAGTCATACGGATCTGGAATCTGGCCCTCAAAGTCTAATCTCGCGATGGCATTAACGACTTTCCGGAAGATGCTATCGCCGACTGGGGTTTGGACGGCAGAAATGGCATCGATATCGGCGTAATCTGGGAGGGAACCGGAGCTGATACGTGCCCAGTACCAGTTGAAGAGATGCTGGGTGTAGACATGCATTCCGAGAAAATCTGCAGCGCTACACATTTGAAGATCCCAGTACGTCGACTGGTAGGGGTGCAAGTCCCTGGCGAACTTGTTCCACGTAGTCAGGTCTATGAAGTGCTTGATCAAATCCTTCACTGGTTGGACTTCGAGATTCGTGGGAAGCTTGATGATGCAGGGCCCAGTGCCATTGGTACCTGCTACCATTTCCTTCTTGGTCGACGTCGCACGGAAGAGAGCGACGGGTATATCTGTAACGACGTTGCCTTCACTGTCGATGATCTGCGCCTTGGGTCCTGTAGCCAGGAGTTTGCGGTCACCAAAAGACAAGGGGTAGATTTTGCCAGCGTCTACGACCTTGATCTCAGCTTCCTGTTGACGCGCCTTCGAACCAGGAGCGGTGACAAAAGCATTGGCGAGAACGGAGGATGCCGCTGTAGGAGATGCTATAGATGTCTTCTTTGCGTCTCTATTGGCAAGCTTTTGAGCCAGCGACATGGGAGCCATCTCTACACTGTGCTTCCCAGAAGGATAGTCAGAGTCGTAAGGATCGGGGTGGATCGATGTCGATATGTAGGTGGATTGGTAGAGTTGAGAATGAATCTCGTGTCCGGTATGAGTAGAGCTAGGCAGTGGAGAAGGGGGACTTTATACGCAGAGGAAGGTGCCGAAACAACAGTGAATGTACGACACCATTGGAACACTGAGAAGCGGAGGTCTGCAAATAGTCCTTTCCACGTACCAAGGAGCGGCGGGAAACTACTTTCACTGCTTCGACTCGCTTCACTAAATACATTCCAAATGGTTTAACTTTTGGCTCATTTCATGCAGAATCGCCTTCACGCGAACCAAAACACTAAGATGGCCGAACAGCGTTTACAGATCCATACCGATCGCGTCGTTACCAATAACAAAGAGTATGCTGATCGAGAGGCGGAGGACCTCATGTTGCGTACTCGGGTACTCGAGAAGAAATCTCCTGGTTCAAAGATCATATGTGAAGAAGGAATGCTGGAACAAGATATTCGAGAAGAGGGTTTCGCTTTAGATCACTCATTGTCAACTTCGCGGATGACGTAGTCAATTCAACATCTATTAGCATAGACCTTACTTGTAGATTGTCGACATCCAGATCCACTGTCAATGCCGCGTGCATTTCTCCCCCCAATCGTAGACTATACTTTGTTGGTACAGATTGGTGAAATTGATGATCCAAGTTCATGTTTTCCCCTCTCGGTTCGTGTCATGCTCGAGTGAATGTAGCGTAAATCGCGCACATGTGCATAGTAATACTTCTAGGCAGAATCACCAATGATCCTAGCATAGTCAGCTGATCATGTGGTACACTGTAGACGATCTTTTGGGAAATTTTCCTTGCAGTACATAACTCTGTCTGCCTTACTCATAAAATACTCCATCACGACGTCCAGGACAAAATTCTCGAAGCAATATTGTCTCACTCTCACAGTACACTCCAAACATTGTTAGTGGCGTTCAAAAGCAGCCTAAGAATGACTAAGATCGGAACGGACATCAAGATGGCCAGTACTGCGCGAATCGTGAACACCTTACCTCAAGAGCAGGATGTTCCTGGCAGTCTCCGGTACGTCCAAAATCTCGGGTATAACAGGCGCAAGACTCTGGTGTCTGGCAAGAAGGTCCAGTTCGTAGACCCTCTGGGCAAGTCCATCTTGTCAGGAAAGCATGTTCTCGAAATGCCAATCGCCCTGTTCAAGGCTGTCTCGGGAAAGCACGACCTCGTGGTCGACGGCAAGATTGTAGTACCGGAGGGCATCAGCATCGCCGCTGCGATGAGGGTCGTCAAATTGATACTGGAATTACCTTTTTCTAAGAGGGTGTATCAGTTTCAAAAGTTTGTGGTAAAGAATGCTCAGGGCCAGCCCATCAAGGACGCCGAGGACCCTTTCCAGGACCTACAACTTTGCTGCGCCGCAGACGCCTTCGGTATGAGCTCGTTCACTCAAGGTATTTTCAACAGCTTCTTCAGTCGTGTCAACTCTACTGTTCCCTCGAAGGTCATCATCGACATGATTACCGCCACCCACAACCCGACTGGCAACAAGTTGTTCAAGCAGATGGCGTATACCATCGCAAAGAAACTTTACGAAAAGACTTTCACGACTGGAGACATGTTCGAGGAGCACTACCTTCCGACCAACCCTCGTCTTTCAGAAGCTATTTACGACTTCATCGCCAAGTTCGAGGAGAGGTCCATTCGTGATGCCGCTTATCAGGAGCGTGTGGCTAAGCGCGAAGTGCTTGCTGCGAAAGAAGCAGAGCATCAGCGTCGCAACAAGGAATACAACGCGATGAGGGCAGAGGTTGCGCAGATGACTGCCGAGAAAGCTGCGCAATTATCGGCAGCTGGCGAGTCTTATCGACAGAAGCTTCGCGAGGGCAAGAAGAACTTCACCCCGCTCGAGGCAAGCTACGCTTGGAAAGTGACAGGGAAGCGCGTTGCTGCCTCAGGTAGTAACTGATTGAGCGCGATCTCGAGTCGTTCGTTGCATGTTGAGCAATCGATGGAATGAGCGGCGGGCAGAGGCAGAAAGTCGAGTGACACAGCCTACGGCTCTTCATCAGGCATACTCTTATGCGCTTGTTAATGCATACACCTCGAGGAAAGTTGTCATTTGTGAAGCTACAACATCAATGTAAACTCTCAGTTGACAGATTTGAACAGCATTGTGTCCCGATGAGATACCGAAAGTTGTCCGTGTGCAGGGTTGATGACGTGACTAGCGCCCGAATCCCTTTTTAACGTAATATATAAAACTCATCTGTGATATACTAGTGCTTCGAGACACTCGAATTCAGTGAGACTCGAGTTATTTGCCGCTTGCGGCTATGAATCCAATCGATCGAAGCAATCAATTCATGGCAAATCTCACAATGTTTGTGTGGTCCTTATAATCACATCAGAGCCGGATGTTGCAGGTCTTAGAGATATTAATTCGCGAGTTTAATGATCTTTAGGCACAAATTTCGGTATATATTGTTGATCATCTATCAAATATTCCACGAGAAAATAGAGAAAGCACACTACAACATCAATATCTGAGTTAAACATAGTGGGAAGGCGAATAGGTGGGTGAAGACCTGGTAACGACGTCGTGAATGATGTTATGAACCGCTATTTATCGGCCTTCGCCACTGGAAGTGATATGGTTGTTGAGCGCTTTCACTTTGCGGACGAGCCCCTATTACAGTCCCTACTTTAGGCACCCGCACCTGCTGTTGTGGATGAAGTCGTCACTTGCTGGCTACTACTTTTTACCCAAAAACACTCCGTCCACTACCGCTCTTCCCCTCTTCCTCACCAGAAACTCTCAACCCCGCGACTCAACCCATAGTGACGAATCTCGAAGACCAAGTCAAGTACTTATTCACGCCCTCTATCATGGCGAACCTTTCCAACCTCCCACCCGAACTCTTTCAGATGGTTATACACGAGCTTGTCATCACTTCCAAATCTCCTTCGGATTCTTCGCACCCTTCTCCCCGCCCAAGAATCGGTCAGCTTTGGAGATTACGAGGCGTTTGTCGTAGCTTCGCTGCGGAAATCGAACGCGAGGTCTTCTCTCAACAGCCAAGAGAGTTCTACCGCCACCGTAACGTTCGGCGCCTGGTCAGGGCGCACTTCTCGCGATTCATGTTGCAAGTTTCCCGGAAGCCAGGCAGTGTAAATGAGAAAATGTTTACACGGCTCCAACGTATGGTTCAATACATTGCGAAACAGGTCGAGTATGAAGACAAAGAGCAACGCAACGAAGTCATGGACAAAACCTACAACGGCTTGAGTAAGATCCTTCCGATGGATGATGTAATTCATGCCTTGTGGTGTGATAATGTTGGGTGTCCGTACTGCCTCAATTTCCTCGGTTCGAAGCTTCCCAAACGCCTTCCCTATCACGATAGGTTCTGCGCTGCCCTAGCCGCCGGCAATCATCGTCTTCTTTCCCAAATTCTCCCAAAACTTGCTGGCTCACACATAGATCAGCTCATCACTACGCAGCCTATCTGGTTCGCAATACAAATGCGTGACTTGACATCGCTCAACACCATTCTCCGTTATCTCGAGGCACAGCCCCCGTCAGCTCAAATCTACCTTACGCGTACTTACGCAAGGTTCTCCATCTCGAAGTGCATTAGCAACACACTGTGGGAGAAATATCTTCCCGCAGCCCAGCTTCTGCTCGACTACTACGAGAAAAATCTGCCGTGTCCTTCAAGCAAGACCTACAGCGGATGGGTCGCCGAAGCATCTGCAAATTGCTCGCTCGATCAGTTACAAGCCCTCAAGGCTGTCCTCCGCTTCAATAGTGGTAGCACGAACTTGATTGAACATGACACACTTGCTGCTGTGTACGCCAAGGGTAACTCTGCAGCTATTCAGGAGGTCCTCCAGCATGTCGGAGATATCAACAAAGGAACAGTTAGGACAGCCCCTATCTTCATCGCTGTCCGATCTGGACGTCCAATCGCCATACAGGCCTGTCTTCAGGCAGGCGCTGACGTCAACCTCTCCATGCGGCCCAACATGCGGGCGATTGGCAGAACACACATGACGCCTCTCGAAACCGCTGTCCATCGACATGACGTCTCGATTGTGAGAACCCTTATCGAAAATGGCGCGACGATTCCGCATATCTCAAAATGGCCGACACATGCTCGCACGTACCGCTTACTATATGAGGCTGCATCAAAACTCACCGATGTCGTACTCCCTGACCTGGAGCATTTCAAAAGATGTAACAAGAACGATCTGAAGGCGTTGAAATATTAGAGATTGCTAGAATGTAGCACACCCTGGAAGATGCGATGTGGTGGCCTTGAGAATCTAGAACAAGAGTCCCAGCGACTACCTAAGGTCCGTTTTTAAGGTAAGGTACATAGTGAATGCGGGCAGGAACTTAAGTAGAAAGCGTCATCGAGGTATTTACTGTGAAAGAAGCTGCAACAGTAGATGCTATGTTGAAAATGTCCATGTCCTACAAATCTCGTTTATACCAGATCCATTGTTCAACCAACAAAGATTCGTCAGATCTGTGCTGTAGCGCCTTATGACTACGTACCTTCATTCATGTTTGCGATTTGTTTGCGACATTACCGCCATACTTAGCTGCAGACTTCTGCCGTCCGTAGAAGAGCAACCGAGCCAGCATTAGGAAATCGGCAATCGTTCAAATCACCAGCGCTGCCACTTGTACTATAGTATGAATACGACCTCTGCACACACATGTGAAAAGATCTTCATAGCATGTGGAAGGTTCTCGGAGCCTGAAGGAACTGACTATGCGTCAAAAGGTCATCTGTCTCTCAAGAATTCGAGCTCGCTTTCGTAGAAATGCACGCTACACCATAATTGGATCGAGGCCGGGCACATCTGGTCAACGGAGACATCTTCATCGCAAATATTCGTTACATTCTCCGGAAACTAGACAATCCATTTCCTCCACCACGACAGATTTTGTTCCGCTGAGTTTAATATCTGCGCCTTCTCGTGATCAACATCAGCAATCTCAGAGAGATCAACGTCTTGTAGAGCGATGATTCCGGACCTCGCGTAGCAGAATCCAGCAACCCACAGGAAGATGAAGATAGCAATATCAATGTAATACGTGAGGAATGTGCCCACGCTCCATCGGCCCGGAAAGAAGACGCTGTAGCCCGAGAACAAGATGACAAGGACGAGCGCACCTCCGGTGACCCAGGCGAGATATGGCTGCATGGGGCTCTTGTACGCCAGACCTGAGAACATCAGCATTATTTCGGCAAAGGGGGCGACGGTCAACTTACGGTCTCGGCTGATACTTTGAGCTTTCAAGGCGTAGTAGAACCTCAGGTAAGTACCTTCGATGACAAGCCACCCGATAAGTCCAGCAATGGTTGTGATGTTGACGAACCATCCAAACACTATCGAAGAGTTGCTCCCCAGACTGAGATACACAAGAGGCATGAAGATGAGCGAAGCTCCAATCGCCAAGTATGGTGTTCCAAACCTGTTGGTGCGAAGCAAAACCTTCGGAGCTTGTCCGTCCTCTGCTAGTCCATACAGGGTACGTGATGCAAGGAAAACGCATGCAGAGCCACAGCTGAAGGCCGAAGTGCATACTATGGCGTTGATTATCGAGGGAAGGACGTTGATACCAGCGCGCTGGAATGCAATGACGAAAGGACTCTGCTGAGCGTCGCCCGTAGCGATGCCGAGATTCGGGTCGTTAAAAGGCACAAGCATGCCAACAATGAGGATACTGATGACGTAGAAGATGAGCACGCGCCAGAAAGTCATGCGTATCGCATTCGGGATGATGACTCTTGGGTTCTTCGTCTCAGCGCCAGCTATGGCAACCACCTGGATGTTGGCGTAGCTGTAGGCCGCTGAGATCAAGGAGCTCCAGAACCCAAGAAACTTGCCAGTATTACCCGGCACGATATATTCGTTGAAAGGTCCGGGATTCTTCCAGTATCGAAAGCCGATTCGGTCTCCACTAGGAGACCCTCCCAAATCTACTACAAGGCCAGCGATGATGAGACCGATGATGAGCAGAATTTTGAGAGCTGCAAAGAAGACCTCGCTCTGGGTTTTGTCAGACAGGAAGTCAAAAACGATGTACATCAAGACTCACCTCGCCATAGACCTTCACACCACAGAAGTTGATGGTCACGATGATGACGATAAAAACCGAGTACCAAATGGCAGGGTTGATGCTGTTGTCCCAGAAGTTGATCAAAGTTGCAGCGGCAGCGAGTTCGGCTGGCGCTGTAATTGCCATGGTATACCAGAAGTTCCATCCAGTGGCAATGCCGAGTGCTGGCTGCACAAATCTGGTGGCATGGCGAACGAAGCCTCCCGTGACGGGCATAAAAGCCGACATCTCTCCAGCGGAGAGGGCAACACCGCAAGCGATCAAACCCATGCATAGGTATCCTAATAGAGCACCGACTGGTCCTGCGGTAGCGATTGCTTGGCCCGATGCCAGGAACAATCCGGTACCCTATATCGTGTGCGTAAGTATAGGGCCAGGTGCGACGGATTTGGAGAAAAGTTGACTCACGATCATGCCAGCTATCGCAATCATGTTGATATGGCGACGCCCAAGGTCGCGTTTCACTTCATAATTCGTGCCCATGGCTCCATTCTCAATGTCCGAACTTGACGCACAGGTTTGGGCGAGTTGCGTAGCATCCTTCTTTGGAAAATCCATGATGTTAATCACAGCATGAAAGCATGCGATGTGGATTGAGCGTAGTGACCTCGACGCGCAATAACAAGTATGATCAGGTCTCCGCACTTAGTCGTATGTTCTTGATGTACAGAGGACCGGCCTTTAATCCGAGCAACGATGTTAGCAGAAGCACAATGCTTATCTCGCTTGTCAGCTCGGCATTCTACGCTTGACTCCGTGACTCCTAGTTACTGATAGCGGGGTCTTGCAATTTGATAGGGGCAGTGCGTCCGAAAACGGCGATAAGCTGGGGGTCTTGAGATGCCGGTGGTACTTGCCCTGCTAGAATGCCGGTGGCCCCACCCTACTCGAAGCGGGACAATAGAAGTCAAGAGAGCACGAGATGAGCATAGTATTCATTGCAAAATATCACCAGCTTCCCAAAGCCAACGAAGATGTCATCCGTCAAGGACGACTCGTTCCAATTGTACGACTTGCGGGTCGAGGTGGTTTGTCCACCAGGCGAGCGCATTTTGTGCGGAGCCAAAGAAGGAGATTTCTTTACTGTTCAAGGCGAGATGCTGCATCTTCCTGACGGCCAGGGCATAAGCTTCTACAGCCTAGGTGAGTTGTATACACAGATGCTGCGTACTTTCGTAACTGATGAGTTTGTGATTCAGCAGCAGTACTGCCTCTGCTAGCAGCCAAGCAGAGACCAACTCACGCACATGACTGGATGTCCACAGATGCATTGATTGCATGTCCGGATCCGAACTGCAAATCTCAGCTTAAGATCATACGAACCGGGTTGCGGACCTTCAGTCATGCGGATACCACGGTAGTTGGTCTTGAAGGAAACTCTTGAGTTTTGGATTACCGAGGAAGATCCCGAATTGATGTATGCATGGTGTAACAGTTTAAATTGCTTCATTCAGCACATTGCCTTATGCGGAAGTAGTCTCAGGAGCCTTGGTGGGGTTGGAGGTATGGCGGTAAGCACCTCAAGGGTGCTCGGGGCATGTGGTTGTATGCAGTCGTCACACTAGACACGATCATGGTGTCAATATATCCAACTTTTAACGCGTCGCAGCGTAGCTAAAGGCTTCAAGAAGTCTTGCAGGTGATCTCAACTATTGTCACCAGGATGGTTATCCTCCCCATCGTCATCATCATCTCAATCCTCATGCTAGGAGTATGTTGTGGCTGCAGCAGCCACGCTGCCCTCGAAAGCGCAGCGATGTCTGCACCTCGCTGCAACACCAAGACATGCGGTTGGAATGTTTGTAGTATCTCGGTAGTCTGAGTCGCAGTGATGGGAGCGGCGACGGGGCGACGACGACGGACGCTGGGGTAATGGCAGAGTAACGCGGCGCGCGTATGTTTGGCGGTGACGTCAGCTATGGCAGGGGAGGTAGGAGCTCTTGAGCGTCCGCCAGTTGCGCATTTTCCGGAACGCAGATCGAAGCGTCCTTATGGGAGATGATTCCGTCGTCGTGAGCATCTGAAAGTGGTCGTGTGGTGGAGTGCAGGCAGTGATCGCACAGGACTGGCACAAGAATAGGGAGCGAGCGCACGGGCGGATCTAACAAGGGCTTGGAAGACGCTGTTCCTACGGTCAACACCAAAGCACTTTGCTCTCATATTTTTGCCAGCTACACTAAGAACTTTCGAAGAACCAACATCCAAACGGACCAGCCGGTATACCTGGTTGACTGGTCCACTACCGATATTCACTACCGCAATCACCCATGACATTGAAAACCTCCTCCCTCCTACTTTCCTCAAGAATTTCTTCGATATGCTTCTGATCTTCGTCATCAAGTTTCCATCCATACGTCTTCAAATTCTCTTCTGTATGCTCACTGACACCCATCCGCGCGCCAATGATGACTGCACCCACGTATGGAAAGTCGAGAACCCATCTCGTAGCGACATTCGAGATGGAGACATTATGCTTGGTCGCTATAGCCTTCAGAGTCTGTAGCAAGGTCTGGAACAGATCCCAATCGCCCCATGTCTGGATCATCTCAAAGTACTTTCTTTGCGAGGGAGTCGTATCTGGACCAAACAGCTGTGGCTCAGGTTTACCAAGCCACTTCTCAGCAAGGAAGCCTCCACAAAGGGTACCATATGTGAGGAGTTTCACATCGTGCCGCGCGCAGACCTCGCCCATTCTGAATCGTGGTCGTGCATCGATAAGAGAGAATTGCACCTGATTGGTGACAACATCGATGTCGTTGTCTATCACTTCTTGAAGCCGTGCTGTGTCGAAGTTGCATAATCCCAGATGTTCAACTCGTTCGTCCTGCTGTAAAAGTCGCAGTGCTTCAATATACTGGTTGTCGTTGTAGTCTTGCCAGTGAAATTGCAAAAGGTCGACCTTGTCGGCACTCATGCGCTGACAACGCTCAGTGACATTTGCACTGATCACCGCAGGTGTAACGGTGATCTTGTGAAACACGCAGTACTTTGTGGCACCAAAGACGGCATCAGGTTTGGGCAGCGAGGATCTCAGCCGACCAAAGATGACTTCAGCATCGCCGTAATGATCAGCCATGTCGAACGCAGTGAAGCCGCCTTCAATGTATTCGACGAATTGCTTGAACATTTGTGTCTGAGATGCAGTACCCCAAGATGGACTCGACAACTGCCAGAGACCTGCAAACAGTTTAGGAAGCTCAATACCCTTTACTTTGAAAGTCTCCAAGGATTTGGATGTCTTCCGTGGATGGATTCGGTCTTGATGAGAACCATTTTGACAAGCCAGTGTCGGTATACCACTTTCACGGCCGAGCATCGTTGCAAGGACTGCTGTGCTTCGGTCAAAAGGGAAGTCCTGTGCAGAAGCAAGCCATCTTTGACGACATCGAAGTAACGAATCGAAGAGGGAGTTCATTACATGCTTCTCGTCGTCGTTAAGGTCCCTACTGCCACTATCGGATAACAGGCGTTTTTGGATCGCAGTTAATGCCTGCACTATATCGCCGTCTACGGAAGCTAGACATCGGTCAAGCTCAGTCGACCGGTGCACGTCGTGTCCATCATTCAGGCTGGAGGATTCTTCTACAATATTGTTAAGTATTGGAAAGCTGTCGAGGACCAGTCCACACCCTATGGCGGAACGTAGGCGCTGCTGGGCGCATGTGAAGTTCGATGTTGATACAACCCCCTCGGCTGTCGATTGAAACAGCTGACCAACAGGCTGACTGGCGGTGTTCCTGAGATAAATTCGCGTTTGCTCCTCGAGAATACTTGTGACTGATGGCTCCGTTGTCAAGATGACTCTGATAACGCTTCGAAGTGCGTCTGCCGGAAGGTTTGCTATGATGGTGTCCGTCATCATGTTGACGTGCGCCGTCTTGGCTTTGGAGCGTGGTATGACGGCCATGTTATCCGATGCGTAGTTTTCGGATTCGTGTAGAATTGATGCCGACTTGCTTGACTGCTCTACCCCTCCGTGCAGCAATGAGGACTATTGAGGCAGAGCGCACGTGCCAACCACCGGCGTCTCAATCTACAGTAGAACACCGGCGATATGCGCGAGTGATAATGAAGTGGGCCGAGATCGCAGCAACTTTACCGAAGAAAGTTGGCGTATTCGTCTGGAGATTGTGCTGAATCGCGTCGGTAAGAGTGGTGCGGGGCCAACGTTTCCGAGAGGTTCATATTACTGTAAGAGCTTCACGCCAGGCTCGCTGCCGACGGTTGGGAGACGCGTTCGCGTAATGGCGGCATGAAGCACCCATGACTAGAGGGAAACGACTGAGGTGGAGAATGCGATGAATGCTTGGTTGCTGCGGAATGCTGCAAGTGTCATCGTAGCGAAGGAACGCGTGCCGATGTGGTTAGCGTAGAAAGATAACACAGATAAGACATCTTACCCGTTCGGCAATATACTACACAGATGCTCCTACAGTGTCTGTCTCAGCTCGAGCTGACCTCAATGTCCGACACAGAAATTCAGCATGACGGAGGCTGATGAGGCACCTGGTACACAACCTTCGAAAGCTGTGTGAGCCAGCTCCAGATCGATTTTGCAGTTGTGCGTTTACTGATCTGTTTGTTTGAAGACCACATGCTTGCCTACAATGTCGCAAAGTCAAGATGAAGTGCCACAAGATGGCGCAAGACACGCGGTGCGTTAGGTGTACGCGCAAATCGTTGCAATGTGACTTCCTTGGACATCGGCGGGGCCGAAAGCACGGCTTCAAGTTAGTAAAGCATGCTTATTCCAATCCGCAACACAACTAATATGCGTTGTAGATTACAAAAACCAAGCTCAAGAGGTCAAGAGAACGTTGCGACGACATCAGGGAACGGTGAAGGTGTTACGAGGCCTGCAGCAACATCATCCAGGTGGTCTTTGCCTCAACATGCCAACCATGGTGTTATCGAGGCAGGTGACGCGGATGCATCCATAGATACGCATGCCGCTCAAAGGTCAACTTCCAGATTGGGTTCCCGTCCCCATTCAACACAACGTTCAGGTCATGATTTCTGGACGGAGAACAGAGGTTTTCGACTTTCTGACATTCTCAACCGGCAGATTACAAGAGGAGACTTCTCTTTGCAAAACGTGCTAAGTACTGAACACGGAAATGCGCCGGAAGAATGTAACCAGAATATATCGGAAAATGATCCAGTTAACAAAGGCCTGGTCAACCTCCATTTCGCTACCGAGCTGTTCGGTGGATTCATGAAGCACCTAAATCCTTTCATCAGCCAACTGGATCCTTCCCTACATACCTTCGGGTATGTCAGGGAGGCATCTTGTTTCCTCTTCACCGCTGTTCTGGCGGCAGCCGCAAAACTACTGCACCCTGCACTACAGAAGCCTTTACTCTCCCATGCTGAAGAGCTTTTCTTGGAGAGCTTTCGTTGTGGTTTGAAGTCGCCAGAGACAGTACAGGCAATACTCATCCTGACATATTGGAAAGAGCCACGCGACAATCGTGTATGGCTGTCTGTAGGCCATGCTATCAGAATGGCCATCGAGCTTGGTTGGCATAATCTTGGGAGTGATGCAATGAAACCCCCAGAAAACGCGTCTGACCGCCAAGCGATGCAATTCAGGAACATCGAGAGAACCTGGCTAGTCTTGTTCGTGTATGACCGAAGGTAGGAAACGTAAGATTGTCAATCTCATGAAAGAATACTGATCGACGCACAGCATCAGCTTGCAGACCGGCAAACCTTGGATGATCGAGAGAAGCAGCTATCTAGAGTCAGTAAGCAATTGGCATCTACACCCTCTCGAAGTGGCCAACGACAGGCTACTTTGCGCATTCGTATCCCTACGCCTCATCACTTCCACCCATTTTGAGATGATGACGACCCAATATGCACAACATCAACGCCAGGACCCCTCGCAGTTCCGATCACTGCTGCGCGTGCTCGATCGAAAAATAATCAACTGGCAAAGGAGATGGACGGAAACAGTATCCGAGCGGGGCGAGGATTGTCATGCCTTTTTGGTACCGTTCTACGGCAGCTACGCACGGCTGCTCTTATTCACTTCCTCACTGCGCGCATCGATTAGGCTGAAGGATATCGAGACGTCAATTGATACGGAAGCGATTTGGAACAGCTACTCCAGCGCTGTCGATATGCTCAAACTTGTATCTGATCCCTCTTCATCACAGCTCGTATACTTTGCGCAAGACTCTGTACATGTCATGATCGCTTACGCGACAGTTTTTCTCATCAAGGTATCTAACTATCGTCGACGCTCGCAAGCTGATACACTGACCCCTGATGTAGCTCTTGCTCTCAGCGCCGTCATACATCCGAATCGAGATGGAAATGCCAGCTTTGGACGGTATACGTAACACAGCGGAAGTCTTCGACAAGCTTCAAGCACCAGCAGGTACAAGCTGCGCCTTGCAAGCAGCATTCTTGCACAATGTTTTGATTCAACACGAAGCAATGAGAGAGCAGCGTTCATCCTCGCGTTCGCACATCCCCGCCGCACCCGCCGCGTACACCGCACCTACCGCGAACGTGGACACTGCAGCCCACGAACCCACGCTGCCTCATGCACAAACTACGCAAAGACATGAAGTTGATACAATGTACGATGATCAGGATGCGCATCATTATGCATCGGAAGATGCATCAACTTTCGATATGAATTTTGTGGACGACGAAGCCTGGGCGTTCATGTTCGCTAACGCTGGCTTCAACATTGGCCAGGGCGCATTCATGTCACCGACTTGAATGTCAGCGTTGACTACTACCAAGTTTGAAAGCATAAATGGTATCGGTCACAAGACTTTTCACGTTCATCGCTGACGATGTCATACACATAAGGGTTCCTAATACAGTTATACGTCTAAGTACCATCAATTAGAGTGCATCTAAAGAATCATCTTCCCCTCTACCTTGATGTCGCTTGCTGAGAATCCGACAAGAAAGCTATACTCGCCATGTACAAACTCCCAGCCATCCTTCTGCTCCGACCAGATCTTCAAATCATCCTTAAGCACTTGCAGCGGCACCTCTGTACTTTGGCCTACCTCGAGGTAGACTTTGGCAAATCCTTTGAGCAGCTTGGGGGGCTCCCTGGCTGCCTCTGGATACGAAACGTAAAGTTGAACGACTTCCGATGCAGCGACCGCTCCAGTGTTTGTCAACGTTGTGGAACAAATGACAAATTCGGAGCTAGATGTCACCGTAGAGTTTGCTAGGTGCATTGCGAGACCTTCCAACTCGAACGTCGAGTATGTGAGTCCATGGCCGAATGAGAACAGCGGATCGATTTTGTGCTCGTCGAACCACCTGTACCCAACGTTCAGACCTTCTTCATAGGGTACATTCAGGTCTGAAGTGATCTTTATGGCGTCGTCTAGTGTTTTGGGGAACGTCACAGGCAATTTTCCGCTTGGACTGACATCGCCGAACAACAATCTTTCAAGCGCCAAGCCGATTTGCTGGCCTCCGTACCAAGACTGCATCACCGCATCCACCTCGTCGATCCAGGGCATGAGTATGGCCGAATTGGTGTTGAGGATAACCACAGTCTTCTTTGAGCGTTTGGCGATTCGAGATATCACAGCGTCCTGGTCGCCAGGGAGAGAGAGGCCAATGTTGCTGTCAACGCCCTCGGAGTGTCTGTCAGACGCAAAGACGATGCTCAGATCAGCTTTCTCCGCCAGCGACATCGCTTCTTGGTCCCTTGCTTTATTGCCCACATCAACTCCTAGTGTGACACCATACGCGCCGGTGGACAGTGAGTAGCCCATGGAATAGTTCAGAGACAGAGAAACTTCCTCGCCTGCTGTCAGATTTGCGATGCCTTGGATGGTATTTCCAAAGTTTGCTTTGGACATGTTGGCGATGACCTGCCCATCGATGTAAAGTACAGCATCTCCTTGGCCGGTGAGCGAGAAATGGTACATTCCGCTAGTGTTGGCTTTGAAAGTGCCTTCATAGACACAAGAAAACACTTGCGGCCACGACACCCAAAGCTCTTTGGGAAATGAGGCTGAGGTGATGTTGGGGACGAAATCGATTTGGTTAATAGGCCCAGAAAAGTCGGTAGTGGTGTAGTATGTTACATTGAGACCGTCGTCGACAAACATGCTGGAAGGTACCGTCGGGAATTCACCGGTGCCAGGATAGGCCTCCGCATAAGTGACTGTCATGTTGCCTTCTTTGCTAGCTCGTTGTTTCAAGGCACCCAAAGGTGATTGCACCACCATTGTCGTGTCGATCACGAAGCCTCCATGGTTTTCCGTGACCTGGCTTTGGTTGGTCCCGTCCACGCCATATACGGCAACATGCGTGTATTTCTGTGGCGAAAGAGGTAGCGTTTGATCATCATTCTTCAGGAGAACAGATCCGTCCTCGGCCATCTTTTGAGCCAGATCAATATGGGCTTGTGTTCTTGCCACAGATTCTGCGTTTCCGGTGACTGGGTTGTCGACCATTCCAAGCTTGAACATATATCGCCATGTTCTTGCGACCATATCATCGATGCGTGAGGCTGGTATAGTTCCGTTGTTGACAGCCTCGACCAAGAGGTCTCCATAGTAGGCTGGAAATCCGTATGAAGTCTCCAGGGAACCTCCAGGCATGCTAATATCTAAACCGGCCATGACGGCACCAACAGTGCTTCTTGTGGAGAAATACCAATCGGCAACAACGAAACCCTGGAACCCCCATTCTTGCCTCAACGTAGTGTTTAGAAGCCAGTCGTTCTCGCAAGCGAAGAAACCGTTCAGCATGTTATAAGAGCACATAACAGAAGCGGCGTCAGCTTCTTGGACAGATGCCTTGAAAGCGGGTAGGTAAAGCTCGTGAAGCACTCGCTTGTCGATGTGAACGTCAACGGTATCCCAAGTGGGGCCTACTCCGAAGCGATTCGTGTCCTGATTGTATCCAGCAAGATGCTTTGGACAGGCTAGAGCGCCTTGATTTTGAACGCCCATAACACCAGCAACGGCCATCCGAGAAGTCAGCCATGGGTCCTCCGAAAAAGTCTCGGCTGCGCGGGCCCATAGCGGCGAACGCAGGATGTTGATGGTTGGTGACAAAACGACATTGCGACCTTTTGCCATGTGCTCCTGGGCTAGTGCTTGGCCGTAGGCGTATTCGAGAGATGTATTCCACGAAGCGGCAGCGGCGATCGGGGCAGGGAAGGCGGTAACGTTGTTCAAGTTGTTTCCGACGCCAGCTGGGCCATCGCCCATGCAGATGGACGGTACTCCTAACGTCTCGTTGCCGGAGATGTGCCCTATGCACGGATTGACACCAGTTCCGTTTTCATCGAGCTCGGTATCGCCTTGTACCATGGCATATTTCTGGGTGCTGTTCAACTGATCCAAGAATAGCTGCAGTCGTTGCTCGTTTGGCACAGTTGGATCCAGCCATGGTCGATACGCTAGGGTCTGTGATGATGCATGTACCCGCGTCAAGGTATAAAGCAAGCCTGTCCAAACCGTGGTGGAGACATACATCTTGCCGAAAGACAATCGTGATTCGAAGATGACCTCGAGAGGAATACTTGGAGATTATCGGACTTGTATCATCACTCGGGTAATATACCCAGGTATGAACAGCTACGAGTCAAATGCGCGGAGTGATTACTCTGGCCACTCCACACTCCGCAGTTTGTCCACAAGATGTGGTAGAAGGCCGGTAAAAAGCCAAGATACCGGCATCGAGACCGTTAAGCCAAACAGATGCCGATTTGCTGATAAGGTTGACCAGTAACATTTCTAAAGCACTATTCTATATCTGGAGAGGATCAGACAATCCGAATCGGCCTTTTGCTATCGCCTAACGGCTGGTATGTAGGCCTGGAATCAGCGTGGTTGGTGGAACACCGGCGGTGAAGATTGAATGCCGGCGTCCTCAGGCTCGTCGACGACATCTTGATGCAGCCAGTTCCATATACGACAGCATACGTCTCACATAGTCCTCTTGTACTCGGGCGTAAGCGTTCCCTCGCTTCACGTCGTAGCTCAGCATACAGCCGTTCATGACTCTCTCTATTGAGTGGTGCGTCATACGCCGAAGTTGCCATGTGTTGTTATCGGCCGGTGCTGCTCGGTAGATTCGTGGATGCTGTTATTTGGCTGACCGACCGCGAGTACTGTGCTATCTGGTCTGGAGCTCGATGAACATGTCGCGTCTATGGTGTCGGAATGCAGGCATTGGACATCGCTAGCACTCTTTCATAGAACGGAAATAGTTGAAGACAGAAGGCATTGCGGGGAAGCTGGGGTGCCATGTGGGAGCTGCATGCGCCGTAGGGACGGCCACTCAATACGCCGACATCCGACGCTGGGGGTGTCCCAGATGCCGGGCAACTCCAACTCTCGCGTCCGCCACGATCGCAAACCGAATAAGCCTCACCCTAGCCAAGAGGGGAAAACATGCATCATGATCCTCTATCTCCCTTGCATCTCTCGTTCATGATCTTCTCAATCGCTGTCCACCTCGACCACCGGCCGCAAGGCATTCAGTGGTTACCGCTTACTACTGTCCATTAAAGACCATAGTCCGTACCACTCGTGCTGACTGTTGCGATTACGACTGCGGTACCAAGCAACTTGCCGTTGCTCAGGGACACGACTATGTCAGATAAAAATTCATAACAACCAACTACAGAAAACGTCATCACAAGCCTCTGCCGCTGTCCTCAACCAGAACCACGCCGACAAGGGCCACCAACACTCGAGCGCGAAAACGGCAAGAAGTCGCTACCATACGCATCACATGAAGCCTCCCGCCTTCTATTATCGCATGACGATCCTCTGCGTACACTATAGTCAGAGCTGTGGAGGAAGGCCCAGCTTTGCGAAAGCATTTGCACATGCTGGATAGGCGGCGAGACATCTGCACCAGCGGGAAGTCGCTTCGCAGCACATACTTGTACGCGCTACCATCGCAACCGCCCGCCATGCACACGCTTGCTCATACCCGATTGCGCCAGAGCGATCAGCAGCCACCCAGAAAGCGAACACAAACGGCCTATCACGAGCAGAGTCGGCGCAGCTCGCAACTCCAGGAGCGTGGGCTGTACGATGCACGATGATGCACTCGTAGTACAAACTAGGTAAGCTATCAGGTCGAAGCAATGGCAAGACTTCCCATCTCAGTCTTCTTGATCGAATTGCCGTTATGGAAGAACTGCGCAGGACTACCCTTCGTTTGTCGAGGCGCTTTGCATGGACTTCAACAAGAGCGGGGTGGTTGGCTATATGAAGGTCAACATCAGCCACGTAGTGTTATAATGCGCTACTCACGACTGCGCAGGAGAAGAACGTCAATGTCCTAGAGAATGTGCACATCGAGCTTCTTCGTTAGGCTACAGACGATGTGTACGAACTCGGTGCGCACAAACACCTACTCTTGCGCTTCCAGTCATCATACCCTGCCGTCATCTACCTTACTTTCCAATAAAGCCCCAAGACCCGTTGTCTCTTCACCGAGAGACGCACTTTATCTTGGTGATATCTAGACTCGTTGCGCTGTGCAAGATTAGCATAGATCTTTTCATGTGAAAAGAGTGCGAACGAGACATAAGGTAAGAAGAGAAGATCTGGGGATTTGCTCGAGTTTGGAGGAAACAGCTGCGGCTAAGACTTACATTGTGCACTAGGAGAGTATGGATGTACGTTGCTCGTTTCTGCGAGACAGTGAGATCCACAAATACGCACTAACGCTTATGAACTGCAACACTTCTCTTTCTTCGGCATTACCTCATCGAATGAAATATGTCCGGTTTTGTAAGGACATGTTTCAAAAGCCGGAGAAGCTCCTGTTGCTTTGCTGTTCTGATATCCCTGGTTTTTCCAGACGCAATATCCTTTTGTGATACATGACTATGCCACTTTGAGTAGTCAAGATCGCCAAGCCATGCCAGTCACAAAAGGTATATACCATCAGTAATTCATCTATTGTATCGTACCTACCCAATACCGGCTGCTCCTTTACCTCGACTGCCATGCAGTGATTAGTGTTCAGCGAGCCGGATCGTTCCGCTTTGTTCCAAGTGCTCGCGAGTCGGCTATAAAACCATCCAGTACATCTCCCATCTGAGTTTACTCTATCATTGCCCATCCCGATATTCTCATTGTACAATGTCGTACTCTCCTCCTAGCTCTGCGAAACCTTTCACGCTCCACATCCCCGGTCAAGACATCTCCGAATGGCGTCAACTCCTGGAGCTGTCAAAGCTCGGTCCGACCACATACGAGAACCAACAATCCGAGAAGAATTACGGTGTTACGCAGAAATGGATATCTGAGGCTAGAGACTACTGGCTGAATAAATATGACTGGCGTGCACAAGAAAAGCATATCAACTCTTTTGACAACTTCCTGATGCAAATCGACGGAATCGATCTTCACTTCATTGGCCATTTCTCAGGCAAGAAAGACGCAATTCCGATTGTGTTCATGCACGGCTGGCCCGGAAGCTTCATCGAGTTCCTGCCGCTACTAGGCTTGATCAGAGACAAATGGACCAAGAACGACTTACCTTACCACATCATCGTTCCGTCTCTGCCGGGCTATACACTCAGTGCAAGAGGTCTGCCGATTGATAGAAATTGGACCGCGCAAGACAGCGCCGATATCATTCACAAACTCATGACTAATCTTGGATTCGAGAAGTACATCGCTCAAGGCGGAGATGTCGGTAGTATGTTAGGGAGAATTCTAGCGCAGAGCAACGATGCTTGTGTTGGCGTCCATCGTACGTACTCTCGAGTCTTCGTGTTCGACAGCCGTCACAACTAATCGTCAAAGTGAACATGATGCCTGGCTTAGACCTCAGCGACACCAGCAAGCTCGATCCATCCGAAAAGAAAGCCATTGGTCGCGCACTAGACTGGCTCGACTCCGGCAACGCGTATGCTCTCGAACACAGTCATCGACCGAGCACAATCGGGTTCGTCCTGTCGTCTAACCCGCTTGCACTACTAGCATGGTAAATACACCCCGTCATAATTCTCGACCCGTATAATTCATCCATGTATCATCAGAAATGATAACGCTACACAGGATTGGCGAAAAGATGCTCGAATGGACCGATGTCGACCCCACCATCGACACCATCCTCACCAATGTCTCACTCTACTGGTTCACAGGCAGCCTTCCGACGTCGCTCTACATATACCGTCAACTGTTTGGCCCAAAGCGCCTGCGTTACCAGCACACTTCTACGCCAATTGGAGTTTCGATATTCCCTTACGAGCTGCTTCCGGGGATCAAGAGTTTGATCGAAAAAGAGTGCAATGTGGTATTCTATAAGGTGCACGACCGAGGCGGCCATTTCGCGGCGCTAGAACAGCCAGAGCTTCTTTGGGAGGATGTCCAAGCATTCGTTAAGAAGGTTTGGAAAGTATGAATGTAAGCAACAGCCGATAGAAGTGTAAGGTCTTATGTACAAGTGTAGACTTGTGTGTGTGTGTGTGTGTGTGTGTGTGTGTGTGTGTGTGTGTGTGTGTGTGTGTGTGTGTGTGTGTGTCAAGATGTTCTAACGCCATATTACACGGGGTTAGGCTATACTTCTCTAATCTCGGTCCGTACTAAGGTGCATAGACTGCTAGAGTATCAAAAGTTAACTATTAGCAGTTTAAATAAACCATTAGCTAGAGTATAGAGGTTTAGCTTAAGCGTTGTTTAGATGCGTATAGTCGCAAGCCGTGCGCTTGCGCACGTGACTAAGATATCATCGAGGATTTGCCTACTAGGCTCCAGCCCATCACAAGGACAAGCACACCGCCATTCCCTTGCACCGAGGCTCGAGCGAGATTCAGCTGACGTGTTGGTCTTATAAGTATACAGCGTCTTGCGACTTCTAAGCTTCGCATTTGTCAACCAAAAGCCGAATGGTCCACATAGTGTTATTGGCGAGAGCCAATTCCTGCTATAAACGATATGCTCCCATGACTATGTTGAAAGAATGTGTGATCATATGAAGAGAAGCCAATGTCGCTACACCAAGTATTCCATGGCGATGCCGAGCCTGCTGTGCCACTTCTCCGGATCAGCATCAATTGGTATCATATCCGCAGCCTTGTTTGCAATACAAGCTTCGGCTAACGTCACCCTTCCATTGTCCACAAACCCAAACTTTTCATACATGTTAACAACGCCGGTGTTGTGACAATGTACGATCAGTCTTATGCGCGTGTGCACTTTATGTCCACATGCTTTTTCCATCTTGGTAGACGTGAGTTTTCCGAAATGGATTGCCGTCTCGGTAAGTCGTTTCGCAATACCGCAACCACGATACCCAGGTAGAGTAAATAGGCCGGTGAGTTGCCAGCGCGTCTCAGAGCCTTCGGGACCTGGTGCCGGTTGGCCGGACTCGGGGAAGATGTAGTTGTCCCGTGGGACTGGGCCAATTATGGTGAACATCCCTGCCCAGTCACCGTCTAGCAGCATCTTCAACTGGCTTGCTCTATCTTCCGATGCTTGCTTTGCTGTGTCCGTCGACATTGCGACGCAGATCAAAATCGATGTGCCCGGTTCGGTGATTCTCTCAACCCATGTTGATTGTGGGAGCTGTGACTCAATGTCCAACTCAGATGAGAACGCTTTAGGGTCCGTCTTAAGCGCATGGATCTTGAATTCGCGGAACTTCAAAGCTAGTCGTGCGAGTTGCTCGCTTCCAGAGCTCTTAGGTATGGATGTTGTTACGTAAACGAGGTCTTGATTGGTCGTCATAGTCGAATATATGTCCAGATTCTAGTTGTTTGAGCAGGTCCGTACTTGGCGAAGAGATATTTATACCATCGATTTTTACAACTCATAAAGATAGTGAGTTTTGGAATATGCTCCAGATGCACGCCGTTATCAGGTATCAGACATCGCATGTTGAGTTGCGATGACTCAGTCGGATTTTTACCAATGCACAATGCATGACGCTAACTCTTATCTAGCTATCACCGAGGCACGATTACTGATCTACCTCGATACAACTACCCGTGCCCGCGTGTGCGATGCGCGCATCCACGCAATGTGCAAACAATGTTAATGTCACCTTACTTCACTGCCTTATCAAGCGTCCTGTAGTGGTGTACCAAAAGGTTTTTTTTATAGATTAAAATACTATTTGCGCATTATTACCTTAGTGCAACAACCTGTTACAGGTAACGCGAAGGATTCCTTCCTTGACGAGGGGTGGTGAGGTTGAAGATCAACCACGGCCTCGTTAAAAGACTGTAATCACCGCGGGGTGCAGAGGATTACGTGACCTAATTATTATAGCCTAACTCTGTCCCGTCAGCCATACGAGGTGAGTATAGCGATCACGTGCACTTATCTTCCCTGCCTGTCGACCCCGTAACATACTTACGACAGCCTTCATATAACTTAATTCTAGAGTAATAGAGACCGTAACCACAATCGATGTGTATAGTGCGCGTTTAACATCTTCATGTGCGAACTACGGAATCATAGGAACGAGTTCTCCGAAGAGATAGAAGTCCTGTGCTAAGGGCAAGATCTAGAATCTCAAAGCCCCTATTCATAAAACCTTCAACGATTAGCCAAACGGATTCGCGTTCCGGCCTATGTCCAGCCATAAGCTCAAACATCTCTCTCTCCTCAGCTTGTAGAGACATAATCAAGTCCCTCCATTCTCAGATTTCTTCGAAGCAATAGTATTTGTTTTCCGTGCCTGGGGCCAGAAACATCCCAAGACCCATTGAGATGGACCCCGCGAAAAGCTCAGCAAGGCTGCCAAGAATGACAAGATGAAGAGATTTAACGATAAACAGTCTGACAGTGAGTGAGAACAGGACAGTAAGGCTGTCAGCGAATCCGATTATAATAACTGGAATGACGTCGCTATGATTGCAATGGCTTTCTTGGTGTGGGGTTGTTCGACTTTCGAAGAGCTCAGCAATGTTGTGATCTCTACGCCTGGGTCTGACTTTTGAACCTGCAGATTCGGCAGCCATGTTGTTGTTTTCTGTCATCGATATGCTATAAATTGCAAAAGGATAGAGCAGTAGTTGAAAAAGAAGAGAGAAAATCTATCAAGACTTAAGGAGAGTAGAAAGCCCTTAGTAGGGAGGGGAGGGATATTTATAGTTAGACAGGGTCTGGCGAAAACGCATATCTCTTGTTACCAGCGATTTAATGGTATCAAGGCTGTCAGCTCACCACCAGTAGGGTCATCATAGGTAGCTGTCTCCAAGTTCTTCAACGGAATCGCCAGTAAGAAGCTACGTTCTGGCGACAAGTGGAGCCTTGTATTTCATCTGATTATTTGAGTGAGTTATCTGATCAAGTCAGCGAATGAGAACAAAGGCATTTCTCCGCATCGATGCTCGTGACGCGTGAGTAGCATACGTAAGTGATATTGTCAGGCAAATGGGATGAGCCAGAACTAGATGAATGACGCATATATACGCCAAGTAAATGGACAGTGTGTGGTCAATGGTCACGATATGTGGAGGGTACAGTAATTCAGCTCTTAAAGAGCCAGCGCGCATATCAAGCCTCCTGTTCTCACACACGAAGTCGAACACAAAGCTGTAAGGCTACCATAAACCTTTACTTCATTGCGATGTGTCAGTCTTATACTACTTGTATAGATATATACAAGACTAGTCACAGCTGTCGGATAGGCACGATGAATTCTTTGACTCAAGAATTGCAACTGGTCAGAGTCACCTAACGCACCACGCAGCCAGTCAGCTCATGCAACGCAAGGCACCTGCTTGATCTTGTGTTGAGCAATAATACAATCGAGGGAACGCGTTTCTCCTCGCATATCATTCGGCGATATTATGCTCTAGTTAACGTGACGTTGACATTGAAGAGTGATGCACGTAGCGGTGATGTCAATAGTTACCACTTTGATTGGCAATTTCAGGACAACGACTGGTCACCTGTGTCACGGCCCTCGCTAAACTCTATCGACGGTCCGTTAGCCGTCTAGAGGCAGTTAGTCTGAGCGAAGCTTGTGCTGTTCAAGCCTTCTCCAAGCACTTATCCAGGGATAGGTAGTCATGTTGGATGAACTATGGTTAAAGCATCCACTTAGCAGCACGAACGTGTATTATAGGTTAGAGTATCATCCTGCGCATACTCACCAATTTCCGGCACCCGTGTCGGCGACCATAAACTTTGCTAAATCTAGCTAAGCCTTTGTCGCAAGCTTTTGTTCAAAGACCTGGCATGGGCGGACGGATCAGGGGGACATCGTGGCAGCAAGATGTCATTGACTCGCTGTGATTGGCTGACTGCAGCCTTGACGCACGACACCCGATAGATCGTGTACGCTTGGGTGCCGTACCCGTCGGCCTGACTTTACCCCGCTACGCCACTACACCAAAACCATGTTGCGGCGACGATTGTACACTCAGCCTCAATACATGATACCAGTGCTAGATGTGGTACGCGTCACCCAGACAGGCGACAGTGTTCAAGCCAACATCTCTGATTCAATCAGCATGGAGGTAATTCCGACATACAAAACATAATCACTCTGGCTGTAATTGGCTAAGCTCTCTGATGCACTTGCGTGCTGTGAGTGAATACTGGATGGGCAGATATATGTCGGCTCCGTTCTTCTTTTCTGTCGTAAGCATATCATTCTCAAGCATCTTTTGTCGTCTGCAATTGACTAATCACGATGACGACTTCAAGAAATGCATTTCTTTTATGTTGCGGTTTGGGTGAGTATGACGATTTAGATCCTTCTATAGTTGCACTACAGGAGTAAATGCTAACAACAACATGTCATGCAGCTCTTTGCTATATCGATGCGTTCATAGCTGTGGTGCAGGCACAAGACGCTGCATATTCAACTTTTATATATCCCACCGACCATGGAAATCTCACATTTGCCTTGAGCGCTGCAGAATCGACTGGCGATGTCTACTTACACATGTCTGCACCAGCGATATACCAGTGGGTTGGTGTTGGTACAGGAAGCGAGATGGATGGCAGCGTCATGTGGATTGTGTATGAGAGCTCGGATAAGAACGGTCAGCGCTTCGGATTTCTTGCCCTTGTTGGCCTCATCATCTAACAATTATTAGGCGTGACACTTTCACCGCGAAATTCAGATGGTCACGTTGAGCCAAGCTTCGACAACAGCATCGACTGCGTGTTGGTTGAGGGAACTGATTATCACAACGGGATCTATCAGACTTCCGGCACCCACTACTACTCCGCCAACATTCGCTGCAAGAACGTCACTACGTTCGGAGACGGCGACGGGAAGCTCGAATTTAGCAACGCCAAACAGCCCTTCATTTACGCATGGGGTCCTACCGACGACACAATCGCGAGCGCGTCAAAGTCTGCGCATATCAAGCGTCACGAGGCATATGGAAATTTCTGGATGGACATGACTAAAGCTACGTCTAACCAGACGAGTATGGTCAGCGTTCCAAACGGTGCAGTTCTCTCAACTACGAATAATGCCGGTGGAGACGAGAAGGCAGAAAGTGACGGCGATAAGGTCGGCCCAGCCCATGCAGTCATCATGATTGTTGCATTTTTGGTCATCTTCCCACTTGGAGCGGTTCTGCTTCGATTCCTCGAAAGTGTTAAGATACATGGCATTGTGCAGAGCGTAGGTGTAATCACTACCGTGGTTGGAGTGGGACTTGGAATTTATCTGAGCACAATGTACAATCACGTAAGCTTGCTCTTCGCTCACATGGCGTTGGATATCACGGACTAACACGAGATTATTTTAGTCGAAAGACTTCACATCAGGCCACCAAGTCTTCGGTCTTATCCTCTTCGCCTTGCTCTTCCTTCAATGGGGACTTGGACTCTACCATCATCTTCGGTTCCGCAAGTACCAAAGGCCTACAATTTACGGATATATTCACTTGATCGCTGGTCCAGCTATCGTCTTGGGTGGTATCATCAACGGATTCATCGGGTTCAACTTTAGTGGTGACCCGAGGAATAACATCTATTATGGTATCGCTGTGGCTATTATATTAGTCGTGGTTCTGGGATTGTTGTCATGGAAGAGATGGTCAAAGAGAAAGCAAGGCAAGATCGACAGGAGTACAGGACCGGACAGATCTAACAAAGACTCTTATGGACTTAATCTAGTTTCGGGATCGTACAATATGCATTAGAAGAAAGGATAAGCCTCTGTGGCGCCTAGTCACTCTCGCCGGATGAGGATGATGGCACGATATTGTATAATAATTATTGTTATCTCCCTAGAGATAGACTTAGAAACATTGCCTTACAGATGAGAATTGTTTAATTTCGATATCCAGGACTCGGATGCTGCTAATCTTTGCTTGTATCTGGATGGTTGGACATATGATTACTTCTCCCTTTCTACCCTATCCGAATTCCATCACGAACGTGATGAAGACGACAAGTGTCTCTCCGCACATGAAGTTCGTTTGCTTATATATCTCTTTCACCCTGGGCTGTATTTTCATCTTGGCAGAGATAACCCGTTAAGATGGTTTGCCAAGTGCGGGGCAACGGTGGTGCTACGTATTGAAGAAGCCGCGATGACTTCCACTGGAGCCACCAGTCATGCATACCCTGGCAATTGCTGTTCATTGAAAGAATTCTCTCGGGATCCCATCCTTGAGCGTAGCAGTGCTCGAATGACACCAGTCCAGTGCCATTAACAACATCTTTCATCATCTCCGGATACCCTTTGAAAAGGTAGCAGTAATAACTCCGATAGCCCGTCCCATTCCGTTGTGCAGATGAAGGTACGATACCGTGGCCTGACCATTGCTGTAACGCATCTTGCCAAATTGCATCTTCGATCAGCATGTCAAAGACTGGTTGTATGGCGTTTGTCTCACCTTCGAAGATGAGAGAGAATGACTTGATAGGCGTACCTATGGATGCGAGCGCTGAAGCTTCCATCAGCCATGGAACAACTGACCGGGTAACATCCATTCTTTCCATATCTTCCAGTGGTGTTCTCCCACGACCAAAGCTACAGCGATGCGTCTCGAGACGAGACAGCCGCTCTGAAGCCAGTACGGTATTCCATAGGTCTACGCGACGAACAATCCTGAGATTTGGATTCCCAACAGCGTACGGTATCAGGGCCCTAGCATGGCATTCGGAGTAAGCGATGCATGCATGTTTCTCATGTAGTTCGATATTGCGTATTTGAGCCCGATTTTGCCGTGAGAGAGAAAGGAGGAATCTCGCAGCTTGTGAGGCGGCGGATGTGTAGTATTTCGTGCTATCTCGAACTGGCTCACGGGCAGGCCAGGTCCCGCGGAGTGGCAATCGTTTCTCCAAGGCTGCGACCTCATGTTTACTTGGTAAACACCATGGTTTTGGGTGTGGGGAATACAGGTCTGTCATATCTTGGTCCTCCTTGAACTTGAAACTAAGCTGAGAGAGAGAGCTCTGCGAGTGACCTGACTAAAGACAGGGTTCTCTGCAACCCTCCATAGCAATTCAGCCACAGCTTCGCGATGAATGGACGGAGCCAAATCCCATTCCTCGAACCTATCCAGTTGTTCATAGTGTCTACACTTCTTTTCCGTTGTTGTTTGTAGATGGCGGATAAGGTTCTCGCTTTGAGGGAAAAGCTCGATAACCTTGTCGGCGACGAAGTTTGTTATGAAAGGCCGGGCGTGAGGCAGTATTGATATCCTTGCGATATAGATTTCTTCCAGCAGATGGCCGAAGTGTCGAGTTCTTGGAGTGCAACGGCCAGTGATCTGCGCCGTGTTGAAGTGAATTGCATTATTGTTGAATGCAACTCCTCGCATTTCGACAGCAATTGTCTTACATGTGTACATGAGGGATAAGTCGATATGCTCTCCGGACAAGCATCGCAGTCGTCCTGAATTGGAGTCGAAATAGTATCCTGCATCCTGAGATATGTAATAGTCATATATCACATCTCGGAGTTCGGGGGGAATTTGATGGAAAGACATCGAGAGTGTGATGCGGCAGGTATGTGGTCGATGTTACGTGAACGAATGTAGGATGACTCGCTCGGGTAGACTTAGCTTCGAGTCTAATTGCTCAAATCTTAATCCGCTGTCGATGTTCGAGGAACAAGTATCAAGATTATGGTGTTGGGGATCTCGGGATTTTATACAAATACCACCAGGCACCAATCTGACTAAGAAGCATGTGACCTGTCCGCTACTTTGGAAGACTGACTTTGGGCCATGGTTACATAGCCTGATGCGCAAGCTTTGAGTCAAGACAGTCACCGAGAACCATGTTTCATAGGCAGAGAAATTACAGAATGGTAAGGAAGAAGCGAGTGTTACGTGGTATCGGTTTCTTTGTTGAGCGTCTAAAGGCTTCTACTTTTGCAAGCATGCTGCCATTCTGTTATAATCCCGTGATTTTAGCTGTATTAAGCATTTTACCCATTGCTTGTAATCCATAACAAATCAATACTAGAAAGCAGTTTTCTTTTTCGTGCAGAATGTTGTCCTATATACATATATTAGTGGGAAGGTTGAGCAACACGCTGGGCAACTTACACGGCGATTCGAACTGAAGCTCTACATTGCATCTTTCGAATCTGCTGGTGGCGAACAGAGTTAGTGGAAGGAACTTCAATGCTCAGTTACCAGCGACTCACCGTGGTACTGTATCGCGTCATGAGTCGCCAGCGCGTCACGATTACACTACGGTCGCTGTCAGTGGACATACCGACGACAACTGCTCGATACGTACCGTGACCCGGCACCTACAACATTGCCCACAACGTTGTGCGGGTGTGAAAACCCCTCGAAATAGCTTTATGACATCAGCATTGGCTACTTGAATATAGGCAGCAACGATCAGGGCTTACCGTCGAGATTGGTTGTGTCACGTGTGTTCGGCTGCCTGTCTTGCCTGGGCTGATACCGTGGAACTGCTCAACATTAGTGCCGGCTGACCCAATTTTCTTTTGTGCCTTACCACGGGTGGGTTTGAAGACTGATGACGTTTGCGCATTCCTAGAACCCTTAGCCCCGACTTGACCAGCCGTCGCTCATAGCTTACCCATGGTTCCGTGGAGAGTCAACATTCCTCGATTTATCTAGAGCTGTTAGGACCCTCTGTTTAGAGGATTGTGTGTGTGGCTTACCATTGGTCGCGATCGCAGCTGTCTGGAAGGGGACTGTGGGAGACCTGGATCGTCAGACAGAATCGGGGACAAGGTAATTCGGAGCTTACCCTCGAGTGACTCCTGGCAAGTCTGTTAAACTCTATGGATTCGTCAGATCGCTCTTGGGTATGACTCTGTGTAGCATACCGAGAGGAGAGAGCTCATTGGACCACAGCGTCGTGATGTTGTCGTTGCTGGGTTGTGTTGGGGAGATGAACCATAACACCCTGTTGGAAAGTATCAGCGTGATGTCAAGAGATGTGGAGCTCAAGAGCAAGGCCACTCACTAGAGAGAGTCCGCAAAACCTCGTAATGCACTCATGTATCCGTTAGCTGAATGTCAAAGCGAAGCAATGATAGATGGTTGAAGAACGCGCTACTTACAGACTCAACGAGCAGACGCTCGAAAGCATATAACATACCTATGCCCCTGAAGACATTAGTAGACTTGCAGAGAACAAGGAGAGCATGTCCTACCCCGGGATTATTGGCGCCGGATATCACCACCATACCCACAATCAATCCGCAATCACATCCGCAATCATGTGCTCAGTTGTCACTATCGTTTCGTCAGCATGGGATAGTCGAACCATTTCAGTTGCGAGAAGAACGTACACCGTCGCACCCAAGTCCACCCCTTCGGGACAGCCATCACCTGTCTTTGGTCAATCGATTATCATGAGCGATTCAGAGATGCAATGTTACCTGTAGCGATTTCCATCCCGATGCCGTCTTCGACATGGCAACAACACTTTGCTGGTACTTCATATACCTGGGGGTATGGGATACTGAGACAACGCCTCAAATCCACATTCGCCATATCCCAGACCCGCAGGAAAACCCGATGCCAGCGATCCCTAGTCACTCGTCAGTCGACATGTGTATGAAGCTTGTTTTGCAAGAAACATACTGCTTGGACTCCTGGCTTGCAAGCTTCTTCGTGCGTCGCTGCTGGCCAAAGCTGTTGAGGAAGAACGTGACTTGTCGCCTGCTGAGCAGCAGGAACGTAGTCGTCTGCGACGGGAGTTGTCATGCCTACAACTGTTAATAGATGCACAGATAAACCTCCCTGAGCGACTACGTACTTCTACGTGATGAAGTCAAGGACTGACGACCTGCAGCTGTGGGAGAAAGAATATCTCAAGAACGCCTGCACATCAGAGAAGGACGGCTCGTGGTTCTGGTCCTTCATGAATCTCCGGGACCTGGTCAGATATTTCCTCAATAACCCTTGAACGAAGCTGCTCCGCCGTCGCAAGTTCTTCTCATTCTCATCCTCATCCCTATCCTCGTCCTCCTCTTGAACGAACCGATCGAATGGACCGATTGCGCGCGCGCGCATACGAATTGAGAAAGCTTTGGAGATGGCTCACGTAGGCGAGTCGGATACAACCAACAAGTGGACGGCTGAAGGACGGAGACGGAAGGATGGATGCAGTATTGGGGACTGTCATGGTCGAGCTGTTGTCCGTCTGGGCGTGTCGGGAACGATGATGTACCTGATCTTGCAACGTAGTACCTACCGGAAAGAGACAGGCAGTACTCATGATGTTGATGTAGATGTGTTAGTAATGAAGTAATGTGGTATCGCACGCGATTCTGATAGTGCAATGTGAAAGGCCCAAGCTTCAAGCGCCAAGCGTCAAGCGCCACGCCTGGCATCGTCATCGTTCTCATGCAAAGAAATCAGTAGTGATAAAGCCGTGATAGACTTTCTGATCATACGTTCGAAATATTGGGGAGGCTGGTGGCACTGATGCAATTGACAGGGTCAAAGACGAATCCCACCACATTTGCCTGGCTCGCCTCCTCTCACAACTTACAGCCCACTAATCCCGAGGTGATTCCGTGCTTGGCAAGCCGTGATGCTCACCTCTTGACACAAGGTCACGTTATCGATCGTTCGTTGGGTACGTTACATGATCGTCAAGTAGTATCTATGTCAGGCTTCTGAGGTCAGTAGCTAGGTAGCGGTACTGTACTGCTACTTGCTGCTTTCAGGTCTCAAGAACTAGTAGGCGCGGCGCAGGTCTTGTATGGGTAATGCACTTTCTCTAATGAATGGATAGTCCTCGAATTCGCCCGTTGACGATGTGGTGTGACATTGATCCGTCCCTGTAACCCAAGCAGGTTTTATATACTTAGGTACTAAAGTGCATGCAAATAACGATCATACAATGGCCTATCAAGATCTTTTTTGCATGATAAACAACCAACACTTGGCTACAGTAGCCTGCAAGAGATTCTCATACCTGCACATCTAGTTTTTAAGGCTTCTTCACTTCCGAAGAAGGCGACTATCTTAGTAAACGTTTGCTAATAGCTCATGGTAGATTCGAGTAATAGTTTTAGGCTCAGCAACCCCAAGATAAAACAGTCACAAGATGTCACGGTTGTAATTTAGTGCCATACGCTTCCTATGAGTGCATCTCATTGCAAAAGCATAGTAGACCGTCTATAAGGCTCCTGGACATGCCATCATCTGTGTCGTACGTCGGGCTGATATGAGATTACTTGCAAGTTTTGACACGCGTGTAATCATCTGCGTTTCGTGAGGTATCCTCGGACGCCATGCTAACATCGCAAGGTCTAGCGGCTGCAAACTTGAACACAAGAGACAATAGAAGCGTCCAGAAAGATGGTAAAAATAGTCTCGTCCTCTAGCCTGCAATCTCAAGATGAATAAACTCCAATCTAGGTGCACTATATAAACGAGTGTCCAGGTGTTATAATGGATAATTTACGGTTGCAATCAATGAAACTTCCAAATGAGTATATATACAGCTGCATATAGTGAAGCCAAGTGTTTTGGAACACACTTCTACTGCGATACAATACAGTGTAACTCAACAGCGTTGTGCCTGCGTCTTATCACCAGCACGTCAATCAAATTAATAGAAAAGTCCCACCAATAATGTCAACGACAAAGCCGAGGGATATGATGCGCGTGTAACGATTCGCCCCGTCTCACTTTCGCACAGCTTTTACGCCTTATACTGACGCCAGTCTTGAAGCGACACCGTGGTCGTTCCATGATCCAAGCTCATCGTTGATAACGCTCTTGTTGATCGGTAACAGATATCTGACGCTCTGTAAAACTCACGGCCTCAGCATATCCAAGGGCGATATTTCTTCTTTCATAAACCCTGTTGGTAGAACGTCCCAAGATCTGCATAGCGCAGAATGGGTACACTGTTCACACCCACACTGCACGGATGGAATATCGCGATCATCCCGTGAAGCGGACAACACCTTGATTGCAGCAGTCCGGGTAAAGATCGGAAAGCGTTGATGATCATTGGTTCCAGTCTTTCGAAGATCCTCAGGCTTGGCATCGACAAACCCACACCCAGGCCGAACGCCAGGATTGCCCGTTGTCCCGTTCCGCGGTTGCGTTCGTGGAACATGGTACCGATTCCCAGCCACCAGTCTCCCCATCCCTTCTTCCCAAACACTGCTGTATCACATCTACAATTCCTCGACCGCAACGCGACACAAATGTTTGTGCGGCCTTGCAGCACGATGGTGACTACGACTACGATCATAGCGCAGTTGCATAGCTTCCATAAGCTTCCTCGGAGCTGCGTGATTAGACCTACGAAAAAGATCTACCACCGAAGTTGCTTTGGTACATACGTACCGATGCTTTCATTTCTCCCTTCAGGTTCCAAGGGTAGACTGGCCAGGTGACTACGTGGGTAACCTTACCTAGTGAGACTCTATAGCGCAACCTTTTCAAAATTTGGAAGCTGAGTTTCAGGTATTGAGCTAGATATGCGCTGTGCATTGGATTGTATGTTTGTTGACAGTACCCATGGTAGTCAGATACTCGATGCTGAGGGATTGTAGCCAGTGAGCGTCTTTCCACAAGGACGCCGTTCCGTGGTACGTATTTCGCGACGCCTGGTACATGCCCACATTCACGTGAGCCGGTTGCTGCCTCCGGATCCTTCAAGTAGAAAAGGCCGCCTGTTTGCCGCATACTTTCCAACACACTTTTTCATCTCGACCCGCCGTCCCCTAACTATCATCGCGGTATCACGACAACCATGGCAGACTTCTACAGCCTTCCTCGCGAGCTTCAGAATCATATCTACAAATTCTACTTTGAGGTAGAGGGCGGTTATACATACAACTTCTCCACTGGAAAACTCACGTCTGCAAGCGGCCAACCCATCTAATTAGCTCTCAGGTCCGTAAGCAGATTCTTCCGAAACGAAACGTGCGGACTAGCACTGGGGCTCAATACGCTTCACTTTCCATCGAATACAACCATTCACTTCAAAGGAGAGCTGGCCACCTCAATGGTCTCCTGATCAGACTGGAACAGTTGGAGGCTCGCTACTTAGTATGGAGAGTCAGTAGGGCAGGTCTCTTTGACGATACAGTATATGCCCATGTCGAAGCGCGGCATCCCCAATATACATCGCTGATCCGAAAATTAGAACAAGGACGTGTTTACGACATCTCACTCAGCAAATATTGGAAGGACACGCCTTCAAAGACGCGTCAATTTGTCACGTCTACACTCGCCGCTGTCGCAGCGCATCCAAAATTCTTCAAATTGACAGAAAACTCGCCCAGGTGGACGCCAAAGGAAAGCGGATATGATGATCCCAGAGAGGTAATAGTGTACAACTACATGCCATGGAAGATACCAACTGAAGAGGATATCATGGCTATGAAGCATGTTCTAGGACCTGAGAACGGAGTCGACGACATAAACCGGAATGACATTCGCTATCGTGATCGCTTCAAATACCGATTCTCGGCAGCAAGTGTAGCAATATCCTTCCTGAATTCTATGTCTCGATTTGCGCAACTTCAAATCCGCAAGATTGTAGTACATGAAGAGAACAGGGCCGTGGCTTGGCCCCAGTGTCACGCGCAAGGCTTTATCCCGTTCTGTCAACGCAACCCAAAGCTACGAATCGAGCGAGTCGATCTCTGGAAGGCGACACTACCAGCCGCATCGGGCTTGTTGATAGACAACGAAAACCCGCGACCTTACCATTGGGGGGGAAAGGCGTGCGATTGTGCGCAGGCCGACTCGATCACGTCGGGGATTCACGACGAATAGGGCTGCATCGCCAGCTGGATCATGGAAGTGATGTCCCTACATTCCCTTGGGATGCCACCTCAATCCTTCCGCATGGTCATCGATGGTGATCTTACTCCGACACAATCGACACGCATCTTTGATGTGGCCAAACGCGATGCTGCATGGCAAATCGCCTTTGAAGCGTGCTTGTCTGACCGTAGGATCTGGCAAGCCCCTCTAGATTGGTGGAAGATAAGGCCTAACAGCGCGTATATCATGGATGGTTTCCCGGAAGCTTTACGCGCCATGACAAATGGCCAATCGCCAGTCAGTTGCAACTTTGACATTGGCCAAATGCCGGATACAGAGTCGCTCGTAAGTCAGGGCCGCAAATGGACGTTGGAAGAGTGGGAGAAGAACTGGAGGGCTTCTATGCCTGCTAATATCGACACCGAGGTGCCCTCGTGCAGCTGGCTCGATCTCCAGCGCGAGAACACACTGTTTTGCATGGGAAACGTACGTGCGCATGTGATTATGCACATAGAATGTCTGGTTATTTGATACAAAATATGATCACAAACGTCTCTACACCTAGAATTCGGTATCAACAACCAGTGACATTTCCATTGCCGCGTCGCTCTCACGCGTCAAGCGGCTTTTCTCGCGCAAGATAAAAGCAGAAAAGCATCGATCGAACGCTTTATTGAGTCGTGATTACTAGAGAAACGCGTTCACAGTGTAAACAGTTCTATTGTTACTCATACTATGAACTTTGCGTGATGCCTGTTCTTTACCCGACCTACCTAGGTAGCGTCAATATCACATATAGACAAGAGCGTTTCTGGGTACTGAGGTCTAGTGGTAAGCAGAGATAGAGGCTTTGTCGCATATCAAGGGGGTGTGGTCGGCGGTAGTCTTTTATCAAGCGCCATGTCACTTCGTGTTGTCGTGCTACACAGCAGAAACCCCGTAATTTAAGACAAAGCTAGACATCTGCATTCGTGAGGCTCTGGTAAAAACGGCAGCGGCAGCCTTGGATACTGCTACAACATCATGAAACCACCTGAAGCCGATATCGTTTGTCCCGAGATCCACTTTGAGTCTTCACTTGCTATCCAGCATACAACCTGCGCGATATCATCTGCAGTTCCCACACGATGCTCTACTGCCGTGCCTTTCAACACATAATCTCTCGATTCTTCTGGAAGGTTTTCCAGCATGTCTGACTCTACCGAGCCAGGAGAAACACAGTTAACAGTATGGCCCTCATCTCCTAGTTCATGTGCAAGACTTCTTGTCAAGCCTTCGACGGCTGCTTTCGACGCGGCATAGATGGAAAGGTTGGGTGGGCCGGCGCGCGAACCAGCGGATGATATGTTAATGATTCGTCCAGGTTTACGAAGATGAGGAACCACAGCCTTAGTCAAAAATAGTGGTGCGCGAACATTGATGTCGAACATTCCCGTGTAGTCTTCAAGGGTTGTCCCCCCAATGGGATTTGCCCAAAGTACACCGGCATTGTTGATCAGGACGTCAATCTTGTCGCCGAATGCTTCCCTGGTTGACGCAACGATAGCTGTAGGAGCCTCAAGTTCTTTGAGATCTGCTCGGATGATGTGTGCTTTGCTACCATTTTTTAAAGCTGATATGTCGGACGCGATCGTCTTGGCCTTTTCCTCACTACTGGGGGATGTGTAAACAAGCGCGACCTGTTTGCATTGTTAGAGTTACGGCAGCTTCTTCACTCTTGACATTAGGAGACACTTACCTTTGCGCCTCTACGCGCCAATTCTAGTGCTATACCAGCTCCAATTCCCCGGGAAGCACCAGTAATGATGGCGACCTTTCCTTGCAAGGTGAGAGGAGTAGAGCGAGTGGAACTGAGTGTAGCGGACATGATGAATGTATGATGCTTGTGAGACAGATAACGGCGTGTTGTTCCAAGTATTATTTGCCCCCATCTCTCTTCTTATACTGTTTCCGCTGTACGTCACTCATCCTTGAATGGATTTAGGAGTCGGATTTACAACACCATATGGTTTTAACTACTCCCGTTTGACGTAGTAAGGCGTGAGCACTATTAACGCGTTACTGACACCCGGAGCTTTGATATCGGACCGTTTAAGCACCCTTACCTTTGCAGGTATTTTTGTCAGCCAGTTGCATCAATGCACGGATCCGTGGCGCCCAGGCGGAGTAATATCTGAGCACGTGAGCATACCTTAACGTTATGGTATATTAGGATTCCAAACGGTCTTTTTTATCCACCTAAAGAAGTAGTGATCAATTGCTGCAGCTGTCTGAACAACCTGCCTTCCCATCTACGACCCACCAAAACCTTTCTCCAAGCCCCTTAGCCAAACCCCGGCCGCATACGCCCCCGGATCGGGGATCTTACTTCTCTCGCTCCCATCCTCACTAATATATGTCGCCCGCCCGAACTTGGCTTTCATATCCTTTGTACTGTCCGCCTTCTTCTCCGCCACATCCACACTCTTACTCAAATCCTTGCTCTCAGCCAATGTGTTGATGAAAGGAATCAACACGTCCATGACCGTTCTGTCGCCCTCCCGTGCACTAGTATAGTTCTTCAGGTTCTCGAGCGCAATCGATGCGGAAGACGCCAGCGTCGAGATATCCAGTGGTGCGTTTTGTGATAGAGTGGCTTTTGACAGCGCGTTTGTGAAGGCGGTGACGAGGATAGACAGAATGGCACCGAGAGAGCCGCCGACATCTTCGACGTTCTCGCTTATGCTTTCTAGCAAGGCGAGGATGGGTGGCGGGTTACTTTCCACGGCGTCGACATTGGCGAGGATGGACTTGCATACTCCGGCCACAGCTTCTCCGCAGTCACCGTCGCCCATCTGTAAGTCGTATTGTGTGATTGTGGGTTCTGCTTCTAGCGCTGCTTTGCATGCTGTGCGGAGAGCGGGGATGAAAGAGGGTGGTGTAGCGGGTCCCTTGTGGAGCGCGGATTTGTCGGCTGCAGCGGCGTTGGCTTTGTTGCGTAGCTCCTCTGTTTCCTTGTTGACTTTGAGGGGCTGGTAACCGTTCTTTGGCCAGGCCGGAGCGTTTGTAGGTGCGTCTAGCAGTTCCATGACATCTTCGTCTTTGAGATCCATGGCCTTTGCCATGCCGCTCATGTTGCCGAGTGTTATGCTGAAGCCCTGGGCGTTAAGGGAGGTTTCTAGTACGCCAGCATAGATGCGTGTTGGTACGATCTTCCAGTCGCGCTTCAAGGCTATCAGAGCGAGATTCACCAAGGCATCAAATTCGAGGTTTGAGAGGCCACCGAAGTTGTTGACGAGCATGACGACGTTATCGTTGGGGTTGAAGGTGACGAATGCGCGGTCGGAGTCGGATGGATCGAGGAGGTAGCGAAGCATCTCTTTGATGACATCTTCAGGGCTAGGCATTGGGGAGATGGTTCGTAAACCCTAGCATCAATCAGCCTGTGATACTTGTATAGCTCGAATCGAGTCGAAGGGACTTACAGGCTCGTTATGAATACCCATACCAACTACACAAGCATCATCCTGCACACTCTCAAACGCGTCTCGTCCTGGAACATGGCAATGATCGAGACTCGTCCCGATAGTGACCAATTGCGAGTTACCCAACTCGCCAATCTTCCTACACCTTTCAAAAGCCCAGCCTTTCTGTGATGCGGCGCCAGCAAGCTTGATAACTAGCAAGTTGCCAGCCAAACCCCTCCTTCCAACCTTGCCACTCTTTTCGCGACCCAGAGCGGCGTCTTCTGCCATGCATACAACGTCGACTTTGTATCCTAATGCCTGGCCCTTCTCTCTAGCAAGACCAAAATGTAGCATATCTCCCGTATAGTTCGTTATACATAGAATAACGCCCTCGTTACTCGGCACATTCCGTATTCCAGCCATGATCTGCTTGGTGCTGGGAGAAGCGAAGATGTCACCGCATACAGCAGCTGACAACATGCCATCGCCGACGAAGCCAGACCACGCCGGCTCATGGCCTGAGCCACCACCAGATATGATAGTGACCTGGTCCGGAGGGTGTGAGAGATTGTAAACGACTCGGTTGGCCTCGTCGAGCGCCATGTGGGAGTTGCGTGTGCATAGCGAGCGGAGATTATGGAGGACCACGCCTTCGGGATTGGGGAAGAAATGTTTTCTAGACATCTTGACGACGCGCCCGAATGTGTATGACGTAAAGATCTGAGGTTGTCAGCGAGTGAGACCCATGCCGTATACTATTTGGCAGTTGTAGTCTGGAATGGTAGCTGAAGGAACAACATACCTCAAATATGTCGAACACACAAAGATATACACGGCTCAGAATTCTGAGGATGAAAACAAGAGACCAAGCCACGCGACATACCATCAATTCAGCCGGCCATCGTGCCTTTTAAACAATCCCCCGCATCCCCCGCCTCGATCAACATTATGACCGCGGACCCCGCTCGTGGCACCCCATCACGCCCGTCAAGTCATTTTTTCGGTCCTCATACGCGTCTAATGGCACGTTTACGCGCTCAGATTAACCCGAAGCTTCGTCAACCTAGATTTCGCAGCTTGGGTATACTGCATTCAGTCAAGTGGAATACAGGTGGGTTACTGGAACCTGGGGAGATTGATGTGTTTGCGCCGGGATTGCTGCTTTGGGAATGCCGGGTGGAAGCTCGGCCTTGGTGGAGGAAGCTCGCATCGGTCGAAGCTCCGAGAGCTACGAAATGTTACGCCTCGCCTCGAGGCGCTATCAGCACCTACAGTGTCCACATTTCACCTTTTTGGAGCAGGCAACTGCGATCGACTTTGTAAACTTCAATGATTTTGGCGCGATTCTGGAAATAACTGTTTGATCTGGGCGAGCTGACCCTATTGACGTCGTAACGATAGGTAGCTGGGCCTGATCGCTCGCCATCGCGTCTGCAATTTGGAAGGCCTCTTTTGCGAAAGTACAAAACCATTACCATCTGTTTGGGTGCCACGGTCACAACGACTTATCATGTCCTGCATACCATCCAGAAGCCTGGGAAACCTATGAAGCAACACAAGAGCATAACCCTTCGTGATCCGAAGCACCTAATCAAACATGATCTTGGTACCCTTCAGGAGCGTGCCACCGAGCAGTTTGCCGACTGCATATCCGATGTAAGCGCCTGTAACAATGGTGACGGGCCATTTTTGCCATTCGCGGTCCCTTGTAGTCGGTTAGCTATGTTTTCCGGTGTCGACATGTGTAGAAGTACTCACCAGTCCAATGGAATAGGCACAGCGCCCAGCCATGCACCAAGCACAGTGCCAATCAATCCTCCGTAGACTTCGTCAATCGGCAGAAGCAGCGCGACAATCTGCCTCCAGGTCTCGCCGTCTACACCGTGTACGTATACCAAGGGAAGTGTACTGAGAAGCGCAATGTGAGCGCCGCAAAGGAGAGTATGCCAGTAATGCGAGGAGACGGGCGCGCCGAAGAGGACGAGGGTAGCGGTCAGGAGCGGGGTTGCAGCGATCAGGGCAAGAAGGAGGGATAGGAATGCCGGCTGTATCGTTTGTCAGTCTTGCTTTCTCGAATATCGGCCGTGGCAGGCTTAGTGTAGGGTGTAAAAGTCGTAGAGTACACGTACCACAAGCTTCGAGTTACCCCCTTGCTCCGGCTTGCCAGGAGCCTTGGCTTTCTTCTCGGTGGGCTTCTTGGGTGCGCCTCCAGTTGGTGGTAGGCATACAGCCACGAACGCTATCTGTAGCACGGCGAGGTACGGAAGGGTGCTAAAGAGCGTCGATACCGGGTCGGCAACCAATGCATTGAACTTGAGGCCATAGACGGAAAGGACAAGAAGCGGGTGAATGTGCGTGTAGGTGCGTGCCAAGTCATTCTTCAATGGCTCGATTGGCGGTGCGGTAGAAGGTTGGACCTTGGATGTCGCGTTTGCGTTGATGACAGTCGTGCTGGCCATGTTTGCGAATGAAAGAAGAGGATTGGCGGTGTGCGGCGTTGTCAGTACGATGCGGATGTCAACTAGCAGGGCAAGGCTTTACGATGGGCGTCTAAAGGAGCGGAAGTGGCGCCTGGCCTGTTGGGTTGGTGCAATCGCGGTGGTTGCGGAGGGATGTCGCGGGTCGGAAACTTTCGTGATGTTGTCCGTGCTGCGCGCTCATTGGACACATGTCACATCACCACTCGAGCACCTCCATGGTTTGTAGCAAGGACTACAAGCGTTTGGGGAAGAACAGATTACTAGTCTTGTATGTAGATTCCCGTTGTTCGCTTCGGCTTCTGAATTCCATGAGACGAGTATCTACTTCGTGACGATGGACGCAGCGCTCCTACTGCAACACCCTGCGGTCCTCTCACTGCTTCTGCTCTGCTTTCTTAGGTAGCAAGTTCCTCAACGACAGATCGTAGACTACATCCTCGACATCTTTGACCCTGTACTTCAGACCATCGCTACGGCGGCGCAGACTGTCATTTTTGAGGTTGAGGATCTGGAAACCCGCGTGCAGATCCTTGACGAACTGGTTGATGAGAAGCGGACGCTCGTAATCACCCAGCGTGACGGCGTTACGTGCAAGGCGTGTCAATTCCTCAACCAGCGTCATAAGAGAATGAAGGTACTCTTCGAGCGAGAGATGGAACTCATCGCGGTCCTTGAGGTTCACGGGAACTGACCGCGTTAGCCGTGCGTATATGAAGCGGGATTTTGAGCATACTCTTGAAGATCTCGCCGAGCTCCTCGATGGTCAACAGACGGCCGCATTGTACTTCACCGCCATCATACTTGAAGCCGCCGAGCCAGCCCCAGAACAAAGCACTCTCACACTGTTATGTTGTCAGCTTCGTCGTCACGGGTCTTGGGTGCCTGGTGGGCTTTACCGCGCCCTGCATCTGACGACTCCACATGTTGTTGAACTTGTAGTACGGCATCTTTGACGCAGCCTGCGACAGCTGGCCGACAGTGGCGATTACATTGTCAATCGGTTCCTGAGAAGCCTTGAGAATATCGGGTACTGTGTTCATATTAGGCGTGATATTGCTGGACCTGCGACATACCACTCACGCTCGTTCACCGGTGTCGAATGGGCTCTTGACAGCACAAACGAGACATTGCGGTCTGGGATCTATTAGAAAAGCCTATGCACTGATTTCAAGGTGCCTACTGTGCTTCTCGAGTGCCTGTATGATGTCGCGCAGCTCCTGTCGCGTTGTGAGTACGCTGTCACGTGCAGCTCTATCAGGCGTCACTCACATCCCGAACGGCGGTGTCTTCGTCTACGCGCGCCTGGAGATCCTGGAAGATGGCCGGGTTGACCATGCCTGACTTGGATGCCATTTTGAAGTGTGAATAGATGTAGAGATGTTGTTGCGAAGAAGATTGTGTAGGTGATGTCGTTGTTTGTTCGTCACGACAAGCTACGAAATTTCGGCCTCTCACTGTTCACCACGCAAAGTTGCCGCTGTCTCACTACAAGTGCACATTTCGGACTCCGGGTCGCTCAGAAAATATTTACAGAACAAAAGAGCAGAGCTTTACGTCTCATGAGCCAATTATCCTTGCGTCATGGTATGGCCCATATAGAGAGCAGCGGCGGTGCATATACGCGCCACCGACCCAGCTACACAGGAACGCGGCTTCATTTGATAAGACCGCAAGCTATACACAAAGCCATACATCTGAGCTGGACTTCTACATTACTTGCTACCGAGACATGGTTCATAGTTACAATGCATATCAGTATTGCTGCCTGCACCACGTGACCAGAGGTACTGACCGGCTCAAACATCACATAAAGGAACTTCTTCCTCAAGGTTCTCGCAAGCGAAAACACTCAATGAAAAGGTAGGTTCGCGTCTGCCAGAAGTAGTGTGATACTGGCGACACTGTGCCAGGGAAGATGAGCAAGCCCAGAGCCTCTCCGGCTGATTTCAAAAATAAGGATAATCTTGAATTTTCCCGTAGGAAAGTTTCAGAGATTAAACTGAAAAGAACAGATACTACACTTGATCTAAGCCAAAAGGCAAAGAGAGCTAAGGAACAGAACAGGAGGACGAGGGAGCGCGGTGTTATATAGGCATTGTGGCCTTGGCGCGCTAGTGATCCCGTGACCTCGCGTAGCGTCGCACGGCTCTCATGTGTGGGGCTTTTCGGCAGAATCTCGGGGTCCAAGCTTTATCCATCAGACAGTGCTGGCTAATGAAGCACGACACATTGTGTCTGCCTAGTTGAACACTTCTAGCAATATTTTCACCCAGATTCACGGAGAACATCCAGCGGTAGTATCGCGGATTGGATTCATTACATGTCAGCAGGACACCCACCGAGGCATTCACAAGGATACTTGGAGGCAAAAGGGACTGGCAAGGCAATCGCTTCCACGTTGGAGTTGTTAGTGAGGATTGTTGTGGGCAGTCGCGATCCCTCCTGCTCCTCCTATAGGCTTTGTGCTCATATCAACGATGACGTTATGCATGTGCATTGCGAGATGTGATGTATTTATGTTCAGTTGTCCTGTGCGCTGATACCAAAGAGATAGAAACAGTGTGCATTAACGACGGGTACACCTTCTCACCGTTCAAGCGGGAGTCACACCACAACATCGTGCGCGCAACACCTTACTGAGCTGCTCTTTCATGTCGTGATGCTGGAACGCGATTTGAAATGACTGGATCCAAGTAACAGACCAGCTCGACTTCTGCTTTCCTGCCACGACGCGCCTTATTCGTCCTTCTCCTACCTCGGTCCCTTCATAAGAACTGGTCTACCATGGATCATTTGGTACCTTATCCTCAGCTTGACGATGCGACGCTGCTTCTGGGCCGCAGCCCTGGCACGAGTTTGGCGGAGATCGACCTGCACGGGCTTAACCACTGCCGGCTTCATACTGACAGCAATACCCAGCGCCTCCGCTGCGGCCAGCTCACGAGCATGAAACTCACAGTTCAAGAATCTCGCCTCGTCGCGGAACCAGTGGAAGCTTTGCGCAAAGCCGGCCTGTTTCGTCGTTATGTATTGCCGTCCCTCGATGAGTGAAGTTCCGCCGTATAGTAGTTGAGTCGCCCAGCTACTGTCGTCGCGTACGATCATCATGTTCAGCGCGTATATGTTGATGTCTTCTGCTTTGATCAGTCCGTCGACTCTCAGCGGATTTGTCGCGTGACGTAGTCGCGGACTTATGGCGTAGAGGAAGAGAGGGCTGCGCAAGAGGAAGCAAAGGTCGTCTTCAGCCGCTGTTAGTAGCCATACAAGTATACGGACATGCCCACTCACCCAGAAGCTGCTTTCGATTGTATGATGGCAATCTGCCTGGTAACTTATCGAGCAAACCCTGGAGATGGTTACGCAATAGATCTCCTAGGGGAGCGCGCCGTGGTGATATGACGAGCCGGAGTTTCATCTTTGTCGCGGGTCTGATTCTTGCGTCGAGTCTGACAGTATTCTCTGTAGATCCTTGTACCCGTTTCGGTGATCACGCTGATTGAGTGAGCCAAAGGTCGTGGTTAGCGAAATGCTCGTGGCAGTCCGGGTGGGGCGAGTGTCACTCTGAGGGGGCTATGCCCTTCAAACGATGATCAAGCTATGTTTCACTTCTCCCGTTATACCAGTCTCATTCTCACGTTGTCGTTGCTGAATCACATTGTCACTATGAGGTGAAGGGTGCATTACCTGATGAACTTCGTAGAATTCTCACGTCAACCTAACAGCCATTGCCCTTGACGATACGCACCAGAATTCAAGGCCTCACATACCGCATCCCGCGTCTCTTTTGCTTTCTTTATCTTTACACGTTCCTCATACATCTAGCTTGCTTCCTTTTCCATCTGACGGTAATCGTTAGCGAGGATATTTACGTGTCTGAACAGCTCGCTCATTGCTTCTTCCTCAGAATCCTCTGCCGCACCTTTCACGAGTGTGTACTCATCAACCTTGAGCCGAGCAACATAGTCGTATCCCCAAGTCATGTCCGCGAATATCTCCTTTTCGATATCACTACAGGACTCACCAACGTCCTGCTTTCCCATAGTAATGAATATACGATCGTTATTCTGTTCCTCGGATGGATCGAGATTGGCGGGATAGACCGTATCTGTAGATGCGTTGTGAGGTAGAGTGATACCATATGCATCCAGAGATGTAGAGCCATTCGGCGAACTTGGTGAATGGGCTGGAGCAGGTGAAGTTGATGGCGTGGGTGCAGTCCCGACTTTTTCATCGCATTTCCAGGGGTAAAACGGTATGTTCTTTCTCTTTGTATCGAGGAGATAGACAAGATCATCTTTTCGTAGTGTTAACCATGTATCTATCTTTTGGAAATGCTGAGTTTACCAACAAACCTCTGGCGATCCTTCAGTGCTAAGACAGGAAGCCCGTAGTCTGTTAATCTTCCCATCAAGAGTGCCTCGAGAGACGACAGGGATCTGAACCTGAACTGCTTCGTCTCCATGGATCCTACGATTCTGCTTCGATCTGCGAGCAGCTGAAGCTGGCAACTTGTAGTGCCACGCTTATTACATATTACCTATGTTTGCTGTCAAGCATCACCCGTGGCCGCATCCATGTGGCTTGCCCACCACTGGCGGTGAAAACTGACAAACTGGTCATGGTATCAAGCAAGAGCTCATGAGCGGATGCACGTGATGACGATGTTTTCGGAAGTCAGTTGTTCAAGCTAGAAACCACTACAATCTTTGACACACACTAGTCCTGGATGCTTGCAAGTGTCCCGCTCCCCCTTCTTTCGTCAGTTCAGGTTCAGGTCGCCGGATCCCAGTCGTCATAGTCCTGTGGATCCAAATTCTCGTACTACCAGAACACATGATGACGAAACGCCAAATGCTTTATCGCCTGAAAAAGCTTCCTCATCGCGTCTTTCGAAGATTCTGTTGAAGTAACTTTTTGGAGGAGTAGATTGTCGACCTGAACCCATGCATCGTATCCCAGTATCTTAATCTCTCCATTGTTTTTCTCCCACAGCTGCGGCTGAATCTTGATAGCGATGCGATCCACACTCTCTTTCTTGGATGCATCAAAACCCTTGGGGTACGGTTTGTCAGGATCTTGTTGTGTCTGCCTCTCAGCATCTTCCTTACGCGAGCTTCTATTTTCTTTCAGACTAGCGACTGAGGCGAGGAGATCTGCTTCAGCGGGGAGTGGAGTGTCGCTGACCTCGAGTGCCCAAGGGTCAGCAGATAAATGATGTCCCCTTTGCATCTATTAAGAGAGTATCAGGATCATAGATGTCCTATACTTACTGCAGAAAGACTGATAAATCTGATGATCCTCTGGCGTGAAGATCGGAAGGTTTTCGGCTTTGCAGATATAGTCGAGGCGATCTTGAATTAGGATGTTGTCTTTTCTTTCGTCCATGGATGCTAAGACTTCGCGGTAGCCTTTGCGTGTAAGGGAACATGTAGCAGGCGAGGTCAGCGTCTTATGCAATAGTTTCGTTTGCTGGCAAGCGGTCCTGATAATCATTATGTGAGCTACAACTAACTTACAACAAAGGGGTGGCCAGCTGATCTCAACGCACACCAGCAAAGTGCTAGAGGATATTTCATACATCATCGTTTTGGTTACTCCATAACTATCAGCTGGAGTCACACCTACCCAGCTTCGCTTCAGAGCCACAAACAGAGGAGGATACTACATCGAAAGTCACGATAGCCAACACACGCCAGTAAGCTCGATGTATCCCATAACCCGGTCACTCCCACTGCCCCGCCATCGCGACAACCTTCTTCAATGCAAGTAGCAGCGCATCAGCGGCCCACAAGCTGCTCCTGCCCTTCGCCAGCACATGCCCATCTACAGTGATGCGGACTACATTGCCCACAAACACTACCTTGCCACTAGAATCGAGCTCCTCGCCCACTTCGAGCCGAACATCAAGCTTGGTCTCGCAATCTTCCTTGATCACTGCATTGAAGGTGGGGCGGCTGATAGAATGCTCAAGTGTCTGCGTCTGCCAGCTATGTTCGTCGATGAAGGCTGGGTTTGCGAGGAGCGATGCGACGGCGGCTAGAAGGCGTCAGCCAAGTTCAAAGAGGTGCAACTGACAAAGCAACTTACCGAGGAAGTGATCATAGTCTTCAGCCTCGAGTGGCGGAAGGCCGCGATTCTTCTTGTCTGTTAGGATCTTCTCGAATGCTTGTCGGATGGGACTGGAGGCCATCATTTGCAGCTCAGTGTTTGTGTGTTAAATTGGTATATAATGAATGGCAGACACTTTTCGATAGTGGGAACAAAGTTTATATATGCTTTTTTGCTTGCTGCGATGTCTTGCGCACCTCCACCGCTTGTCCCCTTGAGCATTGCTGCTTGTTTGCGATTGCAGTGATGGCAGATGTAACATTACCGATGGTAGCTTTCTTACCCCACGGGATAGATATTGACGTTACTCTCCGCAGGCATTCTGGTAGGATTGTTTTCGTTGTCATAATAACGATACCTGATGTTGAGCAAAATCTATGATTGCAAACGAGCGAAAGCGGGATGTACATGCCGAGAATACCGGATCTGTATTTTGGAAAACTTTCTTGCATCAAACCATGATTATAGGACGAAATACTCGTACATGGTTTTCTGAGTCCCGTCCGCATTAAGTATCCCGATCCATCGTGCTGGGATAAACGCCACCCAAAACCCACCATTGTGGTCCATCCCGGCCTTCGGGATACAGTTCCATAGCCTCGTCGCCTCGACCGGCCAGCCGGTACGTGGGTCAACTTCAGCTTCTTCCAATTCGATCGCTCGTTTGGACACTACGACGTGTTGCTGCGCATCCCAAAGACCTTCGCGGGGTGGATTACGTTCCAGAAGTGCTACTGCTTCTCGCCGAGTGGTGGGACAGCGACACCGGGTTGCGACAAAGTACAGCTGTGGTATAATCGCAATGTCGAGTGTAAAATGAGCGGTGTTGGGTTTTGCCGGCGGTGTGAGATCGATGACTTCCCGGGCGCTACGTACTATCTCTTTGAAGTCATCCAGGTAAGCGTCATACGTTTTCTCTATAACGCTTGCTGAGCATGAGACATAGACAAGGGTAGTGTGGTAAGAAGCTTTGAGTGCGCTAGCAGCAATGCTCTCTTCATCGGAGAGCTTATGGTGGAGTTCAAAGCGCCGCATATTCTCATACCAGATACGATGACATGCCACAAGATTGTCTCTTTCATTATAAGCGTCGTTGCTAGGCTCTTGTCGAAAGATGGCTTTGCGACCCATCATATACAGATGGATGATAGTTGCGTTGCGGAGCTCGAAGTAGACTCTTTGCACTTCTGAAAGGCTTTGGAATTGGGTACGACTGTACATCGCTGGTGTTGGACTTGGTACTTCCAAGTCTTGTATAGCCTTGAATCCATACAACAGATCTTGCGCCATGCCGCGGGTAAAGATTGGTACAACTGTCTCTTCAATCGCACTCTGTGAAGATCTCGAGCCGCTAGGTGAAGCAATGCCTGCTGACTGATTCTGGTACCCTGCTAGTCCCCGTCGGCGCGCGGCTATCAATCTAAAGCCGTTGTTCAAATGGGTAAGGCCGGTGTGATAGTTGCCTTGGAGGAATTCGATGCAAACGAATAGAAGACAAATGACGAGGCCAAGCTCGTGCGAGTAAGTGGTCTCCCTCATGCGATCGACTAAGCATCTGATAGATCGATTGTAGTGTGACAGCATGACCTTACGATCGCGATTTGTAATAAATCTCGAGCATGCATGCTTCATATCTCCTGGCTCAGTTTGGCAGAGAGCACCCAGAGCCACCAATGCGTGACGCACAGCAGGCTCCGAATGCGCCATCTGAATTGCGATGCGCGACCAAAATTCCTTGTCGAAACTAGTCGACAGCGCAGGGCGGGCGCAGTGGTAATAGAACTCTAGAAAGCGTGCGCTATCCCCAAGGTCGCCTAAGGTGGATATCGCGTTTTGCGGACCGGGTGTCTGGCTGTAACTCCAAATGTGGACTTGGAAGGCACCGCCGCTTGATGTATAGCCCTCGCACTTGCGGCCGGTACTCGTACACCTAGCTACGTCAGTCGACTGTAGCAACCTGCAAATACAGATGCAACGGCTCACTTGAGGCATGTCGGCTTTGTCTCGTCACACTTGACGTGTCGTACTCTAAAAGCAATTAGTCGGAGTTGGCAACAGTCAAGGCATCTACTACACACTTGCATGTCCGGCAGCCTGTTTTCACTTTGGGACTGCGCTTGCGAGACTGAACCCGCACACCGCCCTGCGACGACATGCTGGATAAGAGCCAAGGGCAACGGTAGTGGTAGAGGACACGTCCATGATGAGGACGCATGAGAACATTCTATCGGATGCGGTACAGGATGCAGGCGCGATGGTGTTCTGAACCGCTCGCAGCCAATCATGACATCGATGACCGGACTTCATCACGTGCTTTTACGAGCCAACCAATCACAAGATCAATGGCCCCACAGATCTCTCAGGCGTGCCATTAATCCCCTGAGCAAAAACCCGAACACTCGTCAGCGGCATCTTGCCCTTAGCCAACTATCACAATCACGACACAGGAACTGTAAATGTACACCATCACCCTGCCCTTCCTGAGGTGGACAATCATACATTGGTATCATTAGGAAAGAGAGCTTCGTACGTCTCTGTGATCCGGCCTATGTGCAACATACCTACGAGCGCCGACATTATTCTTACATATTTGGTTCACCCAACATTACCCGCACCCCATGTCAATCACTCTTGCACCGCCACCCCATGGCTACTTGTTCTGGCCCGCCTCAACTCATCCTGTACGACGATGTCTGCATGCAGCCTCACAGCGACCTTATCAAAGCCCTCTTTACACATTGCCAGCAATTCCTCATCGTACATGGGATCGTTTCCGTCCTTTTCGCAAAGGTCGCCCTTGAGGAGGGTCGATAATTCACCGTGGTTTGGAAGCACGGCGAGACAAAGGTAGCGGTAGATACCCTCTCGCCCAATAAACATGTTGATCCGGTTGAGTGACTGGATGCCATCTGGTCCGAACATACCCCTTTGACCGCTAAATCTGATTTGACCAGCCAGACGTTCTGTTTTTCGATCGCGTTAGTGAAAGAGAAGGGACATGGAGGGCGGAGGAGATGGCTTACGGGATACATTCTGTAGCGCATCTGGATTCTTTGTCCACCACTCGCTTAGGTTATCCCGGAGAACCAGATAAACTCTATCGTAGACCATGTTGTAAGTCAAACACGCGAGCGGTTCGGGATGGACCAGTGGTCCGTACGCTTGCGGCTCTGATGGTCGCAGAGAGGGCGACTGTGTAGCAGGGGGCGGCATGTGGTTCGCGTGTGATGTCTGATGGGCGGAGGCGTATGCGGGCGCATACGCTGTTGGCGGGATATTCATGCGCGAAGGGTGGAACTGGGACATATTTGGTGTTGACCGCGACTGCTGCGGTATAGATGTGATTAGCGACACCAACGGAGAAGGTAAGCCAGGGGATAGCGAGGGGGCTGCTGGAGCGGTCATGAAACGAAGAGGATTCTGTGTCCTGAAGTTGGCCAGTCTTGAGAGCGCCGCTTCAGCAGAGCGGTGATAAGGGTGGTCAGCCATTTCATTAGGTGGTTGAGTTGGAGCAGGGTTGCTTCTGTTCCATGCTGCCAATTCTGTGAGGATGCGCCACTCAATACTGGGGTCTTCACTCATGAAGGCGGGTCGAGCAAGAGGACTTGGGAAATCGGGGAGTAAGTGCTCTTGATATGCGTTCACATGGAGATGTTAGTGGTGATTTGATCGTTGAGAGCTGAGGTCACCAAGGAAATTGTTTGACTGAGATTTGAGAGTGAATGCGAAAGAGACTAGAAATTAAACAACTGTTAAAAGACTTTTCGAGATGGGTCGCATCGCTTCTTTACCATAGTTCAGCGCCATAGGCATTCATGGACCCTGAAAAACGACCTGCCGTGGTTGAGTGATACCGCACCACAGAACGAGCAAAGACATTCGTAGACTTGATTCGTCATCCCATATTTTGCCGTCGAGTGCCAATCGCAATGTAGGACATGATTGGTGCTGGAGATTCGCAAACCGTTGGAGTGTTCGACGATAACGAGGATATGAAAGACGTGCTAGCAGGTCAAACATGGAGCGAGGACTTGCTATTTATGCGTATTCTCATTGGTGGACGGCAGCGCAGCTGCCCAATCATCTTGATACTTGCTAAGATCAAACGTGGATAGAGGTAGGTGTGATCAAGATTCTGTTTGGGAAGACACCATTCGATGCCCAGATACCAGCACATCATGGGCGCACCTGCTGTAGAGGCTACAGCCTAGAAAGTCACGAGGAAGTATCGCTGGTGTTGCTCAGGTGGAGAGCAAAAAGCTCTGAGGACGGAAATAGCTGGCGCTAGTCCCGAAGTGCATACGACCTGCATTGTGGGACTAGTGCGGCTCGGGAACTGTCAACAGTGCGCATTCACTCCTGACAACCGCCCCCATAGTATCCCTGACCCTCGTCGCACCCCACTGCGCCTTCTCTCGTTACTGTTTACCTTGCAGACATTCGCTCGCTAGCCGTCTGCACCTTCCGCGACTACCAAACCTCACTCACTTGTCGTCGTCGACACCACGCTTCCGCCCTACACCGCGCGCCAGACCCGCCGTAACCCGACCGACATCGCACGTTTCACCCCCAGCCAACATGGGCTTCGGCGACTTTCAGACGATTTGCGAAAAGGCTCCGCTGCCGCTATGCGCTCTTGTGGGTCACCAGGACATCAATAATGGCGTCGGCATTCAGACCGAGTGCTATGCGCGGACGGTCGAGATTGCGAATACCCTCATCTTCGAGACGGCCAACGACTTTATGCACATCCTGGCCATGGTCATGACAGTCGTCATGATTATCCATGTGCGCTCTAAGTTCACGGCTGTTGGTACGTTGGCGCATTGCCGCATATCCCCCGGGAGCTTCTGCTAACGTACAGTAGGCCGAAAGGAGATCACGTCGTTCTTTTACATCTACCTCTTCCTCACCATCATATCGCTCGTCCTCGATGCCGGTGTCGCCGCCCCTGGTTCTGCCGCTTACCCCTACTTCGCTGCCGCCCAGAACGGCCTCGTCTCTGCGCTATGTACCTGCTTGCTGATCAACGGCTTCGTCGGTTTCCAGCTCTACGAAGACGGCACAACACTATCAGTATGGCTACTACGTCTCTCCACCCTCGTCATGTTCATCGTCGGCGGTGCTGTGAACCTCTTGACCTTCAAGGGCTGGGCCGGACTGAACCCCGGAAACCCTATAGCTATTTTTGTCGTTACTTACATTGTCAACGCCATTTGCCTCTTCGTCTACGCTGTCAGCCAGATTATTCTGGTTGTTGGAACCCTTGAAGACCGCTGGCCACTCGGTGATATTTCGTTTGGCATCTTCTTCTTCGTTATTGGTCAGGTCATCCTCTACGTCTTCAGCGACACCATCTGCGACCAAGTACAGCACTACATCGATGGCCTCTTCTTCGCCACTATTTGCAACCTGCTCGCAGTCATGATGGTCTACAAGGCAAGTCACCCTCTACCACATCGCATGTCCATCGACACTAACACCTACATAGTACTGGGATTCCATCACTCGCGAAGACCTCGAATTTTCCGTCGGCGTCAAGCAACACAACTGGGAGATCAAAGAGCCCTTGGACTACGAAGACAAGCGCGGCACTATGTACCAGCAATCCGAGTACGAGCCATCACTATATCAGCAACCATACCACCCGCGCAACTCGCACTACTCCGCCGTTGGCCACTGAGCTTACGATAACCTCTCGCCTCTGTTTTTCCCTCAATGATATCTGTTTTTCACATACCTTTATACGCATGGGATGGAGTTTATGGCGTATACATGCTTCGGCAAAATGTTTCGGCGCCTTTATGGAATGACTTGGGAGGATACAGTGGCTGCGAAAGCACCTGGTAATGTGCTTCCTTACAGCCTTACGCAGACGCATTTACGACCATCTTTAGCGCTTATATAGTATATAGTAATACCACCTCTCTTGACTCGACCGAAGTCGTCCTTTCGCGCATTGTGATGTCCGGGCCGACGCCTCCTCGCGATTGCGCACCATGTGTGATGATGGAACAACGACTACCCATTCCCGTTCCACGACGCCAGGACAATTGCTTGAGCTCTTCTCGCTATATTATCTGAGAATAAAACTGTTTCCGCAATTCCTCGCAAATCGTGGCAGAACAAATATCCGGCTCCTTCCCCGGATTCGCTGTTGGGTCATTATACGCTAATGGGTGGGCCGATGTGCGTCCCCGCATGCCCGATACACCTTCGGACATCGCGTTCGGCAGACATGCGACATCCGTTGAGCACCCATCTTACAATCAGATCTCGCACTCCCGTATACTAGAGTCCTTTGTCCCTTTTAGCCTGTCGACTAGTCGTTCATTGTACATAATTACTTATCGTCATCTACATCATTCGCGGTCTCGGACTGTAGTCTACCAACGTCCTGAGAGACGATAATCGAGCGCAATCACAGCAACGCGATGCCAAAGACGGACGTTCTCATCGCCGGTTCTGGCTCTGCTGGCATCTTTGCAGCAACCTGGCTCGCGATTTTCGACATACCCTTTACCATTCTAGAGAGACGATCCGGGCCGTTAGAGATTGGTCAAGCAGATGGCGTTCAAGTCCGTACAGTAGAGATCTACGAATCATTCGGTCTATCAGAAGAGCTGTTACGAGAAGCGTATCACATACTGGAAGTGTGCTTTTGGGGGGTCGATGAAGATCGCAGCGGGAATGCCAAAGCCGGTATCAAGAGGAAGAGCAGATCTATTGACACCGAGAGAGGATTGAGTCATCTACCCCATGTGATACTCAACCAAGCGCGTATGAATGGTTTGATGCTAGGAAAGATGGAGAATGTGCTGAAAGAGAAGGGGAAGTGGCAAAAAGGCACAAGCAATGGCATCGAGTACGGATGGGCTGTCAAAGCTGTGGACATTGACGAGAAGAGGAAGAACGACCCAGACGCGCATTGCGTCAAAGTCACTGCAGAGAAAGATGGAAAAGAGGAAGTCTGGGAAGCAAAGTACGTCCTAGGCTGCGATGGCGCACATTCCACCATCCGGAAAGCCCTCGATATTCGCATGCTGGGCGACACCTCCGATACCGTCTGGGGTGTTATGGATATCTACCCGCTCACATCATTTCCCGACATTCGTCGTAAATGCACCATACACAGCGCAGCTGGCAACCTGCTCATCATTCCGCGCGAGGGCGGCCAGCTAGTGCGATTCTACATTCAACTACCCGCAGGCGTACATCCCAAGGAAGTGAAACTGGCCGATTTGCAAGACCAGGCTCGAAGGATCTTTGCGCCGTATGCCATGGACTTTGCAGACGTATTCTGGTGGAGCGCATATAGTATCGGGCAGCGTCTCGCTTCTGCTTTTCATGCTCACGACCGCGTTTTTCTGACTGGCGATGCCTGCCACACGCATTCTCCAAAAGCAGGCCAAGGGATGAATGTGTCGCTCCAGGATGGCTACAACATTGGCTGGAAGCTAGGATCCGTCCTATCCGGTCTCTCACCTCCATCTCTGCTTTCGACATACGTCTCCGAACGCAGCAAGACAGCAGCCGATCTCATCGCATTCGACAAGGAGCTCGCCAAAATGTTCAGCCGCAAGGAGAAATACGAGGGTGAGTTTGCCGACTACTTCACGAAGAGTGGGCGTTATATGGCGGGCTTTACCGCGAGATACGAAGACTCAATGGTCACTAGTGGGATGCGGAGCCATGGTAGTAAGGCTACGGCAGTGACGGTGGGGATGCGCTTTCCAAGTGCGCAGGTAATACGATTTTGCGATTGCAAGGCTGTGCAGTTGCAAGGCGTGCTCAAGAGTGATGGAAGATGGCGAGTTATCGTGTTTGCTGGGGATGTCAATCAAGCGGCGCATCAGAGGCGGTTGGATAAGGTATGGCTCCCAACCTTTGAAATTGCCTCATCGTACTAAAACTGTATAGCTAGCGAAAGCTCTCGAATCAACTGCGCGTAGATATACATCCACGGCGAAACACATCGACAGCGTTATCGAACCTATCCTCGTGCTGAGTAGCGAGTTCCGCGACACCGAACAAGAGCGCATACCAGACTACTTCTGGCCCAAGAGTGGGAAGTGGGGTATACGTGGTATGTCGCCTTCTTCATCATGGAAGACATGTCACGCTGACGGATATTTTAGATCTTCACAAGACATACCTTGACGATGAACATTACAACTCTGGTCATGGACACGCTTACAAGATTTACGGTGTTGATCCGGATGTGGGTGCTGTAGTGATCGTAAGGCCAGATCAATGTAAGTGACCTTGAGTTGATGACAACTGCAAGACGGACATGCTAATGGTATATAGATGTTTCGGTGGTGACGACTTTGGATGACTTTGATGGTATTGCGAAATTCTTTGCAGGCTTTTTGATCGAGCAGGCACCGACGACAAACATGAGTGCAAGCGCGAAACTATGATAGACATGGCTGGTACGGTGGTAGACTTTACAGTACTTGGGTGTTAGCCGGGACTGCACACACGTGCCGACCCCCGGACTCAATGAGTATAAATATCTACAATCATCTCTCCTGCATTCTACCCCCATCGTCACAAACCATCCACTAAAAATTGCCGAGATACTTCATATGGACTGTCCTTCCCCTCGTTCCAAATCAGAGTTTTCCCGTTCCCATGGAGCAGTGACCAAGTGTGTCCGAAATCGCCAGTGCATACTTATAATGCGTCGACACAAGCGCCGCCCACCACATCAAAACTCGCTTCGACCAATGCTATGCTTCTATCGGTCGGGGACGACCAAAAGGGTCGAGGAAGAAAGACATATTGCTTTGTACCAAAAAACGTTTGCGATTGCTTTATGGGCAAAGAGCGAAACCACTACCTCGCAGTACTTGTCTTTTTCGAAGTCCACCTACCGTTCTTCTGATCTACCGGAAAGTCTCTAGACTCTCTCCACGAGCTCCAGAACAATCACCATTGGACTCGACGATGTGCTGCGGTGTGCTGCGGTGTGGAAAAGAAAAACGACCCAGCCATTGTGCATGTCTTGCTCGTCGAAGAAAGCTACATTATAAACCAGGTCGTTCATTTTTGGAGAGCACAGCAGCCATTTTGCATTCTGCATCCAGATTTCTTCCTTCGTTGGTAACAGCTCACATCAAGATCATGTGGCCTTTTATCCTTCAGCGATATAAAGACATGTTCGTCGACTTCAAAACTCATTAACTACGCTCCTCACATTCATCATAAAATAAATAGGCGCAAGATCCGATGTTGTCCTCTGCTGTCTCAGGCTCGGATAAACCTTCAAAATATGCACAGCGCATATTCATGTCCGAAACGTATGATGAAGAAAACGATGAGGCGGCGGAAAATTGCTTCGCACTGTTTATCGAAACATACCACCATAGGAAATATGACTTCGTTCTGTCTTCTGGACTCGTTCTGTGGATTGAAAACATCCACAGCTTTGTCGCATGTGTGATTCTGAGGGTCGGTAGCTTGACATGTCTTTGCGAGAGATATTACTACGCTTGTATGACATAACAAACCTGCGCATCTCTGAGTTTCGAACTTCCTAACCCAATACTATTCTTTTCCTATAATCAAAAAAACGAGGAAGGACCTCCATGTCGAGCAGATCAGAGATTGATTACTACACAAGCATGAGTCCTTGGGCGGTGCTGCCTGTAAATGTCGTCATTTACACGACGAGAAAACTCAGTGCATTAAATCACTGTATTTAAAAGGTCAGAGCTCTAGCTCATATACTAAAATGTAGCATTTGAGTGCGCATGTGCTTCCATTGATGAAAACACTACAAGAAGCTGCTTAGGCGAGTTCACTCCTTAACTGAGGCCTTAGTCCTTCCTTCTTGAATCACAGTTGCCTCAAAAACTGCAAAGGAGATCATGAGATCTGCCTGAATGAGAGCTGAAATCAGCCGCATCAAGGCTGCGCGCAAATCCTCCAAGACACTGCGAAGCCAAAATCTATGCTCCTTGCTGTCGCTTGCGGGTTGTCATAATCAAGACATTGGCAATGACCTGCATCGATTGATTCAATCCCCACGACACGGAGTAAAACACCGAATCCAACCACAACCTGCAGCTCTTCTCTATATATACTGAAAAAAAGTAACTCACGTTCGGCCTGGATCACCGATGCATCCTCCTATTTTCCACACCTACTACAAACAGCATGTTCCCCCGCACACAGCTACGCCTCACCTGCCGTGGACCCATTATTACGCCATAATATTGGTCGACGATTCGTACCGCAGCGATCAGAGCTCGAAGTGATGGGATTTCAAAAGTGGTGATAGGGGCCCATGACGTTTGATGTTTCGACAACACACTACGGAACTGTTCGCCGCGCGCCAATCAGAAGTTGAGGCAATTTAAAAACATCGGGTATTCGGATAACGTGGCTGAGAAAGGCGAACCAGGTAGGCGGGTCTTCGTGCAAACATGGAAATGATCTTCTTATATTGATGGAGACGGGAAAGGTGGGAATATGTATCAGCGGAACATGGGGATTAGGAAGTGTGGCTTGTTGTGGTTCAACACCCTTCGCTTCTAAGCGGTTAGTGGCTTCCAAATGACGAAAAAGGTTATGCTGTTCTTCTTAACATACAAGGTCGCAGTTTTGGTTGGGCAAAATGCTGTGCATGTTGTAGGTCGGTGCACTCTTATCACTTGCATGGTTCACGTGTCATAGGCATCAGTACTGGTTAGCGGCGCATCATGTGTTGCGTGGGAAGTGCATCGAAACCAGCAATCGTATCACACCTGATAGCATTCCATCAGGCCAATTCTGCTGTGTTCAGATCAAAAAGCGGTCAAGTACTGAACGCGCGATCCTGTTTCACTTAGCGGCGTTCTATACGGCATAAATATCGGAAATCTTACTAAAGATCAGATGATTTCAGTGCAGCCTTGCAACTCATACAGCCTCACCATAGCAGTCGCTTCACAAGCTTAAAGCAAACCAGACGCAATTTCCGGCTACAGAATGGTGCCAATGGCGTAGCATAATGACCGAGAATGGGCCCAAAGATATCGTTTCGGGCAGAACAACACTCCACCTAGAGCCGTTTACCTAAATATTCGGCGCAACTATGGAAAGGAGTGTATACACAAGGAGAAGACGTTGCAACAAACAGTACAAGGGCATAAATGTGGCGTTTCTTGTCACTCTCTGCTGGCTTGGTACTGTCTTAGCGCACCGGTAAGCAGAGGAGGGCCGAAGAGGGTGGAACGGTGTCTGAGCTCGTCTCCTGGAGGAGTATTGTATGTGGGCCACTAGTATAGGCTTATCTTAGTCAGACTTTAGATGGAAGCTAAGCTCCTTCGACTATAACCTTGTCTAATCCGGTACTAGATCGTAGATCTGTTCCGTCTATAGCTAGTTTATCTAGGCCCTGCTAGTGACTTACATACAACACTTTCCCTGGAGACTGTGTATATCGAAGGAATGCCGAGTCTCTCGATGCGCGCGATGCGTGTTGTGTTTTGTCAATACCACCGAGATCGTGGATGCAACAGTACAACGACTTCCGTCCGAGCGCAGTGCTCTGCGCACGCCAACTACTTCTCCGTCTCTTGCTACGAGTTGTTGACTTTCCGGGGACGCCAGATGAATTGAAGCTCATTGAGAAGTCGTTACCGTGGGACTCTACAAATATTAGCTGGGCATGTCGCTCACCACAAGGCAATATCTCACTTTCACAGATTTCCCAAACTCTTCGCGAAGCCTCTGTGCTCGCTTGCGACCTCCTCCATAGCAGAGCCGCAAATGAACATCAAAGATCCTAAGCAACAGATACGCTATACCTTCTTAGTATTCTGTCTCTCGGTTGCGCACCCACGTTCCGACGTGGTGAAGGCTGACAGGTGGGTATTGCGCAAGGCGCTAGAGGGAATTCCCGTAATGTCGCGCATCGTAATTTCCGAAGACCGCTTCTCGCCTAAGATAGTCCCTGCTTCCGACAATCTTCACGGCGGTGAGCTCTTACCAAAACGTCCCCTCCGCGATTCGGCGTTATCACTTACAGGGATCGCTGGACTTTGGAAATGATATCGCTTGAATCAGGCGTGACGGTCCGTTAATGGGGAGCTAACTACTAATAGCAATTAACGATACGTTCATGGTCTTATCCCAGCGTATTCGAATACATTATCATGGACACTCTGTAAAGCGCGCGGATGATGTGGCACTTGGAAGTGCTGGTGCATCTCAGAGCACTTTGCGGACGCGCATGCTTAAGGCATCATCAGTGTTATTCACAAGTTGATCTGTATTAACAGAACGTAAGGCCGCGTACATAATCTTATAACCCATCAAGCATTACTTATCAAAAGAGCCTCTAAAAGACAAGATAATGATATGAATCGCAAAGCCTGCGACGGGCCATTGATGTGCTCTCAACAGGCCCCTGATGCTTAACCAACCAACTACAAGCTATTCCATAATATCACATCGCGTTCTTTCGCCTGATTGAACCAATTATCGACATCCCGGCTGATGATCTCGAAAGGTCTACTGCACGGCTTCTTCCCATGGAATTGGACTTAGAGAATGCCTTCGCAGGAGCTTTGCGGATGGTGCGATTATATTACAGAATCTAGTAGATGTATGGTTGTCCACACTTCTTGCGGAAGTTGGCGTTCCACGAGCTGACTTTGGACCATTTCCCGCCGGCGTTGCACTGGTTGGCAGTCGTAGAGTCCTTAGACGCCTTAGTGCACATCCTCGTGCAATCATTGACTAAATTGTCCTAGAAACATCACAGTTGTGAGCAAGCCAAGCTTGAGTGAAGTGATACATGACGACTTACAATAACGCAGCAGTGACTGCCGTCTGTATAGAGGCACTGGCAGTATGAAGCAGCAACGCTGCTTACGCCAGCAAAGAGCACGGTGACGATAGTGAGAAGGCGGACCATTTTGTGCGTTGATGAGGACGATGTAATGGGATCAAGCTGCGAGATTATGTGATGAGTGATGTGATGGAGTTGATGAGTGAAAGATTTGTAGAGCTGCAAGAGAAATCAAGATCTTTATAGAGCCCAGCAGACTAAGAGACCACACAACACGAGTTGTAGACATATCAGCGGGAATTCGGCAAGCAATTCACGGGAGGACGTGCATAGCTCACATCAGCGCGTCCAACGTACCGTGGTACGGCTCAAATGAGGCTATCATGAGGTACGTACGGACCGATTGTTAGTGTTATACGTACGGCAGTACCCAAAAGATCCTTGAGTACGGACTATAACCGCAGTACGGCCGCTCAGACTAAGTACGGACCGTGTTATTGCCTACTTAGGCAACCGCTAATCTTCTTCGTGAACCGAAGCAACTAGAGGCGCTTGGGGAGCTGCATCGTGGTGGCGAGGATAGGTATCCTAGATAACGTCGTTGACGGGTGACACTGATAACCACAGGCCGTATGCTTTACTCTAACTTCCAGACCTCCACCCCCTACTGATACGGTACACACTAATGCAAGATCCCCTACGTACGGCTTCGGTACGTTGGACGCGCTGAGTCACAGTGAATCCCTGTAATCAAGTTCGCGGGATTGCTGCTAGCAGAAGCACAATGCTTATCTCGCTTGTCAGATCGACATTCTATGCTTGATTCCATGACATTCAGTCACTGATTGCGAGTGCGAGTGCGAGTTGACGAGTAAGGTATATAAGGTGGTTTCATTGACTGTCATACCTCTAAGTCATGTATCTAAGACTTCAAGGAAATGTGACCTATATACATGCGAGCTTTCCAGCGAGGTCCTATGATCTCAAGTACTGAGGGGAACCAGGAGAAGGAAAATTGGTTGCCATGTGTCCAAAGAAACAATTGCTTGGGTGGCACTGCGCAAGGCACCCTGACGAGCTCTTTTACTTTATGCGTTTCCAATGGTCCAGTCCGTGCAGGAGCGGCGCCATTGTGCGTGCCATCCGCCAACGTTCGAGTACTTGCCACCAGCGTTACACTTCTTGTCTGAGTTTCCGTTGTCGATGCATCGCGCCGTGCAGTCCTTGACGATGCCGTATTGCTAGTTTGTTGTTAGATTTGGTCGCTTGTATATCATATTTGAGTTTGCTCAGGCTATCATTGGCTTACAGTAACGCAGCAGTGGGATCCATCCGCGAAGAGGCATTGGCAGTATCCGTCGGCGGCGACAGCAGTGACGGCGGCGAAGATAACCGCGAAGATGGAAAGTCGGACCATTTTGTCGGCGTTCGAGTATGATGAGTAAATTAGTGGGATTGGGAGGGTTGTAAGACTTGTGGGTACTGAAGATGCTGAGTCGGTATGCTACGTTTAGAGAGAATCACTGCAGCTTTATATGGAAGGTAAGCTCATGTTCATCTTGTCACATATGAATTCTTGTGGTCAGCTGAGTAAGAAATAAGTCGCAGTGCCAATCCCACTAGCGATGGGACGCAAAAGCCCACACGGACTTGAGTCGCTGTAATGATCATACGAAACACATTCTCACGTGTGTCTTCATACCATACCCTTCAAGCTAATCCCGAGTAGCTCAGAACAGCGCATAGATTATTAGACCGAGCAGCTGACCGAATAGGGAAGAACTTGCCAAACAGGATCTACTATGCTTGCCGACAGAAGCATTGTCGGTGGAGCACTTGGTCAGTGAGCTCGTGATATCTGAAATGAAGACCGAAAAGGAAGCGCAGTCTCTCCCATTCGCTATGATCCCTACGGTGGCCTGTGTTGACTTGTTTTCTAATCCTTGTGATCGACACGCGCTAGTTCCGTCCACGCAGTTCTCTTGCCGGTAGCCATAGTATGTCACGACTGCGAACTAGGAGATACCTCAGAACGCATAGACACACGTAAACATCAGGTGGTCTAGAGAGATGATACGGGGCCGGGCTAACTTGACTTTACTATCTAGAGCGATGTAAGCACTACTCGGCTTAACATCTGAAATGGCTCCTTCATCAAGAGATACGAGCTTAAGCAAGTTTTGGTTAGCCTTTCTCTGCCCTCAGTACCTTAAATATCAGAGCAACACCCCCTCTGGCTTGATATCCATCTCTCTGTACAGCACTAAGACTCTCAACCTCAATCCATCCTACTCTTCAATCTTCTACCACCTCTTCGAGACTCCCCACAACCGCTAAAATGGTCCGCATCCTCTCCCTCGCCACTCTGATGATGGCCAGCGCCATCACCACCCAGGCTGCCCAGTGGTGCCAGTGCCTCTTCCAAGATGACTCGCACTGCTGCGTCTACTCGGTGAGTAATTTTCCAGGAACACAACAGGATGAATAGAATGTTGAATGCTGATTTGAATCTTCTCGTCTAGGATGCTAAGATTGGCAACCTCGACTGCCAGCGCTGGTGCACCAACGCTCACCGTGCCGACGGTGCGACCAACCCGAACAACCCTCTTGAGGCCGGCACCGCCTGCAACGCTGGTGGAAAGTACAAGACTGTCAGTGGCTGGAATGCTCAGTTCCGCACTCCTTGCTACAAGCAGTAGATCATCGTCAGCTCGAGTCGGCAGCGGCTTAAGTGGATGGACGGCTAATTGGGGATTATGGTGGAGACGTGATGAGAGCCATTTGTTGTATTGTGTAATGGAGGAAGTGCGATAGCGCGGGCCTGGTCCGGAGGTGTGTGGTAATAGCATATAACAAGGCGACAGTCTCAATTCAGAAATTGCCCACTACTTGTCGTACTCGCCAGAGTTGCTGTCGTTTGACGCGCATAACGTGATTGGATACCAAACAAGCAGGGTCCACCCCCGCAGAGAGTAAGCGTCGACTAGCGTACCCGAGCCCTACCCAGGTACTCTGACAGCTGCGAGTCATTCCACTTCGTGCACGATCTCCCGCCCATCGTCTTAGAGAAGCTTCGCCGGGATGCCACGTTCGGGATACAGTATCGTCGATCTTTGCTGACATGGAGAAGGCTACAACTCCACTCTGCACGGCAACATAAGCGGCCGCGTGCCGATTTTAAGCCGCATAGAATGGGTAGACCGTAAGCCTCCTTTTTGGCAAGTTTAATCATCAGGCCAAAGGCTCTCTTAGAAGCAAATGTAGCGATGACAGACTTGAAGTGATAAACAGCTTCATGTCTAACGAGATATACTTATCTGAATTACAAAAAGTGCGTAGCATAACGATTAAACTGAGGTCGACTTCCCGAAGAAGAACCTGACTGCAAAAGGACATGTGATTTTGGTACATTGCACACGGAAAGATCAAGAGTTAGCAAGGACGAAAGTACCCAAAACCCGCCATGTCCATATTCTCAGCGAGGCGCGCCTGCGACATGACGCGTGGATCTCATTAAGATTGATCCACCAAAATATATATCTTACATAAACGATGAGAAGACGCGCCACGCTGCAGCTTGGAGATGTTCACTAGGACCTAACCAACAACATACATCCGTATCATAGCCCTCGTAACAGCTATATAAAGCTCTTCCACGGATTGCCACCTCTCTTTTCTTTAACCACACTCGAAGATATCGAATCCAAAAAAACAAGAAGCGCAACGTACCATGGACGCTGTGTTTCGGCTTCGTTTTCCAAAATTACAAGCCATATGCGCATGAGATGTTCTCCCGTCGCCGAAGTTATTCAGACTGCGACTCGGCTTTCAAAACATTGTGGCTATTGACGTTATGTCTCCGTCTGAGAAAGCGATGTATATGTACCATGAAGCAAAAGCTTTGGAAGACATGTACAATTCTTGCCGCGAGAAATCTGTTACTACATGAACTTGTGGCGACAATTTCACATACTATTCCCTGGTACCCTATGACTACATCTCCTGGAACCACAACGCAGAGAGCGCAATGAATTTATCGCTTCCCGGGCTTCAAACCTCCTCACCCTGGAGACATGATGACCTTGCAACTCATACCCGGGCCGAAATCGAATTCTTGCTTTGATAAGTCGCTACCAAAACCAACCACGACTGCGAGACCACGCCCAGACATTCGGGTCAGGAACTAGTGGTAGTGAGGTCTATATCAATATCTCACTCACGATGACTCTCTCCCTATATCTCCGATTGACAAAGATGAAATACTGAAAACAAAGCCAAAACCATCTCATGATTGCGCGTGGTCGGTGTGCTCCTTTCTTCTCAAAACTTACCGCTCTAGTTAAATGGAAGTGTTTTGTTCTCCCAAAAATACAGCATAACGTTCGCATGTTCCTTTGAGAGCGCTCATTTGTTAAACTATGAGCGTTGATTGAGTTCAAGCTTCACTGAAATCGGCAGAGGCAATGATACCTCCATGTCTGAAACAAACAAGCTTATAGCTCGACATATGTAAATGGTACTCCGAGCCGTTATTGCGCATCTCGAAAAACGCAGACTATGGTTGCATCTCTGCAAGAGGCTTCATAAGAATAGGAAGAAAGCTGAAGGACACCAAAACCAAGATGAGGGAATTGAATTGCGGAGTGGTGGCATGAGGTCTTGCGGTTCGACCTTCCACTTCAAAAGCCAGTTTCCCTCTTTGAAACCAATACAGAAACTTCCAACGGTTATCAGATAGTATTTGGCCAATGGTTCCACAAGCTAGAAGGATTGAGATTGGTATAAATGCCTCCTTTCCAACACGCTTTTACTCTCTATCTCTTCTATCACCTCTTTCAGGTGACCAAAAACGTTCATCCAACAGTTCATGGCTGCTTTCCTCTCTTTGTTTCTTCAAAAACGCTGGTTCTTCTTCTGAATAGTGGTCGCCACTGAATGAACCATAACACGACTCAAAACACTGTTTCTGGAAGATCACAGCGCTGGGTTTGAATAAGCTATAACGAGGTGAATCTTGGTTCTTTTGTATACTTGGAGACTTGAGGGGAACTTTGGTTCCTAAAAGTCGTTCCGATAATTCGGGTTGTCAAAACTTCCGCGCGATGATTTGGAGATGATCAAAGATCCTCTGGCACAGTTCCATGAGAAGAAGACTGTCGCATAGTATAAAAATAATCAGGCTACGAAGGCATGGACATTATGTCACAAGGTCCAAGCCCTTGTCAAAATTCCGTCGAAAATATCATGTCTACCACTATATGGTTGCAGACGGCGAGCTTGCTGGCTCATCAAAAGCTTTCAAAATAGAGTCATGTCTACAGGTACCTCCATCTAGCCCTTATTGATATACGCGTCATGATCGTCCACAAACTTCACCCATGTGCAAAACGACTGAGATGCATCTCACGCCACCAGATCTACTACAACACCCCCCTCTCAACAAACCGCACCGGCAAATCCACACTCCTCGCCCTCAAATACTCACAAACGTTCTTCCCCAGCGTATCATACGTGCTGCAAGCATCATACCCGCGGTCCAAGTGGTCATGTAGCAAGAAATGCACAGCCCTTATATTCTTCATTTCAAACCGATCAACTTTTTTCCCTTTGTACTCCTCAGGACCCAGTAATTCTTTAATCTTATCGATGGTGAGAAAACTGCGCAACCACTCCCATTCATCGTCGTGACGCACAAAGAACCCGACATTGACGTCTGAACACTTGTCGCCAGAGCGGCCGAGAACGATGGACCCGAGAGGGAGGCGTACGGTAGGACCAAAGTGCGTAAGGGGTATGGGGGAGTGTGTCTCATAGGAGGGTTGTTGGCGGGAGTAATCCTGGAATGTGGGTGCGAGGGGAATGTCTAGTGTTTTCTTGCCGTCTTGGAAGCCAGATGATGTTTCGCCGTCCCAGATACAATGGACACGTTGCTTTACCGCGGATTGGCGGAGGAGAGAGGGATGGTACTCGTAGTATGGTTTGCCCTCTGCCTGTCGGACGTCGTTGCCTAATGAGGCACCGGGACAGGACATTAAGAAGTTGACCATGGATATGCGGAAGAAGCCCTTGGGATTACGCATATCGAGCAGCTCTCTATCCTTGGACTGAGCAAAGACGCGGAAATCCACTGTCGCAACGTCTTGGTTGCGGCAGTCGATGACTGAGGAGCCGTTTTGCATGAACTTGAGGACGTCAAACTTCTTGATGAGCTCGGGACCGAGTTCGTATCGGATTTGCTCTTCGATCCATTTGCATTTCTCTTCGATGTGGAGTCCGACAAGGTAGATGTGGTATTCGGCCTGCCACCCAGCGAAGCCTGTAAGGCCGACTTTGGTTGTCGGCGGTGGTGGGAGGCCTTTGACGCCGGATACTTTGACTTGGTCTTCACCAATCTGCTCGATCTTGATGTCTGTCAAGTCCGCGGTCACGTCGCAGTTGTAGTATAGAGGGCCTTGGATTTCGTAGAGAAGTTGGGAAGTCACAGAGTTGACAGTCATGCAGCCGCCGGTGTTCTTCTCCTTGTACATTACACCCTCCCCATTGTTGTCGATGGCACAAATAGGGAAGCCCATATTGATGTGCTTGCCTTGTGCCAGCAGACTACGAAAGTCTGAGCAGTAGCCCCCAGATACATACGCGGCGCACTCAAGAAGATGACCTTGAGCACTTAGTATAGCATACAAGAATGAGGATGTATGGCTTACCAATCACAAGAGAGCCAGCCAACTCGTTGAACTGATCATTCGTCCACTCATGCCACCAAGCTGCAGCGCCAATGATGGGTGAAGCATCTGAAACCCGACCCGCGATGACAATGTCAGCACCTTCGGTTAGTGCTCTCGCGATGCCCAAACCACCAAGATAGCATTGAGCGCAAACAGGTTCCAATCCCCATTCGGCCACCGACTTATCATGCATCAAGCTCTTGAACCCCTCGCCTTTGTCCAACATGCTCTTGACAGTGCCCGTAACATCGTCGCCTTCAATCCAAGCTATTTTCAACGGGTAACCAGCCTCCTTGCATGTCTTATCCACAAGTTGAGCCAGCAGCTCTGTGTCCGATGCGCCGGCATTGACACAAACTTTGATGCCGCGGGTAGCAATATCCTGAATCGCGGGAGTGAAGCAGTCCATGAAGTTCTCAGCAAACATGGCATAGTTGAGCTTCTCTTCGAAAGAACGCGCTTGGAGCATTTGCTCTTTGTTCCTGAGCTTTCCGGTGCCGTGCATGGTCATTGTCATCTCGGAGAGCCAGTCTCCTACTATGACATCGACATCGTCTTTCGCCAGAGATGCGATTGCTCGGACGCGATCGGAGAAGCCACCCGAGGCACCGCCAACGCGGACTGGTCGACGGACTGCAGGAGCCATGTTGAGATGGAATCAGGGCTTCTGTCGATACGAAGAAGATGGTGAAGAGGCGCTGAGCGAGCATGGCATTGGGAGGAAGCCATGGTGAGATGTACTACTGCGAAGACGCGGCAATCTTCCCCTCGTGCCTCTGAAAGCTGCAAAGGAAGTCGAGAGGCTGTTCATATCCGCAACATACTCGAGGCTATTCGTCGACAACTAAGATGGACATGTGTGTACCCCACTTGGAGCAAACCGCTGGGGCTAAAGCGGCGGCTAAGACCTGACCCACCCTCTCCGCTTTGGGGATTAGTATCAAGTTGCCGAGCATACGCGGGACTCTTCCTGCTTCCAAGGTCAAACTAGGGTGCGCGTTGCTGAGCGAGTCGTGAAGTCGCGGAGTGTCGGGTCGTGTGGAGAACTCATCCATTGCGTATCGTGCTTTGGTGAGGATGTGATGGAGTCGCCCGACTGTCTGGTCATGATAAGAGCGTGGCACAGTTCCGCCACAGCCCCTATACCCCCGAATCGCACCCTCGCGCAACCTGCTCTCGGTCGTAGATAAATTCTTATCCTGATCAACACACATGTCGTGTAACAGAGCAATAGTTCACTCGTGTCACACGAAACACGTGCGCGCGTACGGCCGAGACTAAAACGCACACCATCCCCTAACCATCCCCATCCCCGCATCTCCACCCAAGTCAATGTCGCAGTCACCCGGGCGCTTTAGCGCGCCCGTTAAGCTACCTTATGCACCACCCTCGACACCTCGCAGCCATAGTGACGATGCCCTGCCCTCGTATCTGAGGCGCCACATCCAGCTAGGCTTCACACAAGACGATGTCGCCGCCCTCATCTCCTCGATCGACTCGAGCCAAGCGCCGCCCTCATCTTCCAATGGCAACCCAACGCTAGCGCACCTCCCCGCAGAACTCCTGCTCCAGATTCTCGAACACGTTCCTGTCGATCATATCCTCGATTGGCGGCTAGTGTGTCGTGGGTTTCGCGATGCGCTCGACGGCCGTGTTCTGTACCACTGTCTGCAGAGGACGCGGCTGGTGGGATATACGGGGCCAAGACACGGCCCGTTCATGGAAGATCTGGATGAGGAGGAACACGAAGCTGTGCATTTGCTTGAAGCGGGGTTTCTAAGAATTGAAGAGGATACAAAGTATCTGGAAGACAAGAGACCCATCTGGAGCAATAAACATGCCGTCTTCAAGATTAAGGAGGAATGGTATCGCGCTTTCAGAACCATGTGTGGCCTAGAGACAAAGCCGGGAGACACAATCAACGACGTCGAGCCACGGTGGTATGGCGTGCTTGGCCGACTGGCATTGCTACGGGAAGAAGAACAATTCGGTCAACTGCGCTGGTGCATCCGACTGGATCACGCTGTTCTAGACCTCGACTTCCCTCTCGACAAAGACTGCTTACATTTCGATTTCAATGTGGACCTACGGACGGGCCTTGTTCGAGTAGCATGGAAAGACATGCTCGTCCGGTTCCTCAAGACAGAACGAGCACTACGGATACTAATGGAACAAGTTTGTTGCCCCCCACACACATCTCTCTATATGTACCGATCCCCAACTAACAACTTGACAGAAACGCGACTCCCCCTTCACATTCTCCCACCACGAAGACTGCCTCCGCGCCATCCGTCGCGCCCGCCTCCTCGCCTCCCTAACCTCCGCGCAAGAAGACAACACCATCCGCTGGGCCTTCCGCTTCCTCACGCCTCTCTTCAACACCCCAGCCGACCGCCACACCTCCCGCCTCTCCCAAATCGAAGAAGACGCAATCCGCACGCTCCTCCTCCTCCGCCGCACAGCCTCCCTATCACCCTCCCAACTCACCTACCTCCAAACCTTGCACGCCACCTACCAATCTCTCGAATCCTCACTCCGCTCCCTCGACGCCACGTACACCGAGTTCAAATCATACATGTCCATGCCCGGCTTCCAGACTACTATGCTCCTGCCCTCGATGATTAGCAATGCCAAAAACGTGCCTGGGAATCCTGTTGCTTGGTCTGATGAGCTGAGACTGCGGATCGAGTGTCAAGTTGCGAGATGGAAGCAACAGAGCGAGGTTATGGAAAAGGTTCGGGCTTTGTTGGAGACGAGTTGCGAGGCCATGGCTGCGCCCGAGGACGGGTTTGATGAGTTGGGCAGTGACTTTTGATACATGATGAGTCTCAGTGCGCGCTGGTGGTGCGTTCTCGACCTGTTCTGTCAGACCCTCTTTGTCTGGATGTATATCTTTGATCATATTTCTCACCTTTTCCTCGTTGCATCGAGCAACACAGAGTCAGGACATCCTCCAACTACACCAAGAGCAGTTGCGAGTTGGGGGTCACGTACCATGCTAGCTTGAAACCCAGAAGAATGTACACCCATTCACTACACAGTCTCTCGCGTATCAGGCAACCAATGTGTGTAAAGTATTATGATTAAGGCTTGGAATCTAATCTAAGCTCCGTATACCGAATGCGTAACCATGTGTATCTCAGAATACCATGCTCTTTCGTCAAAGCCGAAGAAATAAGAACCTCCATCCAAATTGCGCCAATGCTACCACAAATCATGGCGCTGGCCAGCTACCCAAAATAGCCGCGACAACATGCGCCATTTGTGTGTGCGCCATGGCATCATATGCTCGCTAATGCAAGTCGAAACGGGTAGTACAAAAAGATGCAATACCATGCAAGTAGGTATAAACAAGGGGGCCGAGCGACGCCCAGCATGCAATGTGCGAGTGATGAACAAGCTCCGAAGAAGCTGAATGGTATAATGCTACGCTCTAAAGCACCAAAGCAGCGCCGAGGAAGACCATGGACGCGCCAAACATGGCAAAAGGAGCCATGGACACGGACGAAGCGGCGCCCTCAGCAGGAGGAGCAGCCGCATCACCGGTAGAAGTGGCATCCGCACTGTCGGAGCCAGTCGCAGTCGCGCTGTTGGAGAAGGGAGTAGCAGTCGAGAAGCCACTTCCAGTCATGGTCCTGCTTTCGCTCGTCAGGCCGCTCGTCTCGCTGGCGGAGATGATGCTAGTGGATCCAGACAGGGCACTGCTCATGGTGCTGCTTGCCATGGCCTCGCTGCTGCTGCGACTGCTGCTCGCCGACGCGGATTCATCGTAGATGGCCTGGATACGGATCTCGTGGCATTGGGCGCCGATGGACTGGTCGTACAGGTTGCCAAAGGCACCGCTCATGCAGCGCCACCAGCGTGTGCTGCCGCCAATGGCAAGCGAGTCGTTGCCGCAGACTGAGAAGCCGCCTGTGTAGATGGCACCAGCTTGGGGTGGGCCGTCGAACTGGAATTGTTGGTTTGCGACAATGGAGCCGGTGCGGCCGTATTGGTCGTGCAGGATGCCGTCCTCGAGGGTGCAGAGGAGGTCGCCATCTGATGCCTGGGGGTGCTACGTCAGTATGCTGTGCATTGGCCGCTTGCAAGGAGGGTAACGTACCTCTTGAGCGGTTTCGCGCTTACTCAGGTCGGGGTTTTCGAGTGTGCCAATGCGGAAGGGCGTCTCGACGGTAGTCAGGCAGCCCTCGGGGGCAGGAGCATCGGGCGCAATGCCCTCCTCGACAGCCTGGGCGAGGCTTGTGGCCGCGAAGAAAAGCGGAGCGATGATGGTGGAAGCGCGCATCGTGAAGTTCCAAGGATCCCTGACAAGGTATAACAGGCTATGGTATCGTATTACTCGTGAGTATTACTCGTAACAGTGCAGTGCTCGTAAAGTCGTAAAGGATGAGTTAAGAAGAGCGGCGGTGGGAGTCGAGAAGATAAGAGGCTGGACGCGAGCCCCAGCCTGGACTTATTTGTTGGTGCAACCCACGACGCGGCTTCCTCACAAAGCAAGGCCGGAGACGCAAAAGCAAGCTGTACCTGCAGATCGACGGCCGCATCGGGAAAGGCCCAACGCGCGGACAGGCTGTTAGGGGTCCCTGCGTAGATTGCATGTTTATCGTTGAGATCATAATCGCTTTGCCGAGATGAAACATGCGACTGATAGGGATGACGCAGATAGAACCCCTGGGGAAGAATACGAGGCCGCACTCACTACACCACGCGTTGTTGAGTTTTCTACAGCCTTGTACGAGTTGTGTCCGTTGTCGGCGCCAGTGCAGGAACCCGCCGCCGACGTTGGAGCTTGCGCCTGTCAACAACTGGCCATTAAGCTGCAACCAATCTGGGCACTGCAAGGTCAAGATCTGGGCAAACAACCAAACCGGCTTTCAATCCCGTCGCACCATGGTAGCTGTCGCGGTTACGGATAGCGGCAACACCAGTCGCATTGAACATTATCGATTGCCCGCTCTACACTAGACTACCATAACCACCGCCCGGATAGCCCTTCGGCTGCATCCCCAGCATCGTCCAAGCCGCCATGTCGTTCTGCTGCCGCTCCGACTGGATCTTGTGCATACGGACAGCCATGTCGGCCATGTCTTCTGCTGACGTTTGCGCGCCTCCCCAAGCTGTCGCAGTCGGGTGCGTGTGCGCCAGAGGGACATCGGGGTCGACCGCCATCGCGACCTTGGTCTCCTCACAAACACGCCCAATCGCATACGTCTGTATCTCCGCAGCTCTAGCCCGTAGCGCAGGGACGTCTGTCTTGTCCCGCTTGTCCAGGTCGGGTTGGTTCAGCATCCCCGGCTTGTAAGTATCTGCGCATAGTGCTGGTATTAGATCATCGATGTCTTCTGGTGCATGCGTCACCTCAAGGAAGAAGAACTTGTACCATCCCGCCCGATTCAAAGCTGGCATGTACGTCGTGTAGCCCGTCGTGGCTGTCGGCACTTGACCTGTTACTTTTACGTCTTGCGCATGCGAGTGCTGGTTGAAGTTCCAGTTTGGTGCCAAGTCGGGTTGGCAGGGCACCATCATGTGTGGGATCCCTTCAAGACTCCACAACTTTGCAAACGCGCTGTAGGACCTATATGAAAAAAGACCTGACTTCACGTCAGCACTGTATCATGTTTCGACAACTGTAACACTCACGACACGCGTCTTCTGTTAATTTTACCCAGCTTCCGATGATCTTTGGTGCTTCCAAGAGGCCCGTGTTTCTAGGCTCAAACTTCCGATCCAAAGCATCGAAAAGCAAGTCTGCCAGGATATAGAATTCGCGTGTTGGAACTTCTGTTGCCGGATCCACAAACCTCCATGGGTCGGCAACTGGTACTGTACTGGCACTAAGAGATCGACGAGGAATTGTAAACCCAGGAGAGGGCGATCCATTCTGCGACACGGGTGGACGGAAGGCTTGGTATTGCGAACCAGAAACAGCCTCTTGCGGCTTCGACTCTACAAGACTCAAGCTTCCAACATCTGCCGGGAGCTCCGCAGGAAGCTCTGCGATAAACTCTGTTGGCGTCGAGTGCGGTGCTGCATCGCTTGACTGGACAGGCTTGTTTGGCGGCACTTGAGGTGATGCAATTGTCTGATGCGTAGGTGGAGGACTGATAGAATGAGGCAGTGTCTGCGATTGTCCCTGTCCTTGTGAGCCAACTGGAGACGGGCTGTTCCATTGGTGCTGATACGTTGTATGAACCGGTGGACTCGCGGAAACGTTTTGTTGTGAGGGAGGCGGGAGAATGCCCGATTGCTGCTCGGTACTTGCCGGGGGCAGCTGTGAGCTACCTGGCTGTTGCCACTGTGGCTGCATGTGCTGAGCAGGTAACGCCGGAGACATGCTCGAAGTATGAGGAGGTGGTGTATGTTGAGTGACATACGAGCCTCCAGCTACGCCCATCTGCTGTCCAGCATATTGGCTGTGCCCATGTACCTGAGGCTGACCTGGCGGAGCCTGCCCCTGTCCGTTTTGTCCTTGTGCCTGCGTCTGCTCCTTACCATATTGCCAGGCTGTTTGTGTAGTGCCAGCGAGCGGCGATTGCGGCGCGTAAGATTGGTAGTTGGGCGCTTGACTCGTCTGTTGTGGGAAATAATTGTTCTGTGCCGAGTGACCTGACACGGGCGTCTGGTTGTTGAACTGCTGGTGTGGAGACTGCTGCGAGGAGGGGTAAGCGGTCGGTGTTTGAGATGGGGGTTGATGCTGCTGTTGGCCCCATTGCTGCGATTGCGACTGGGGACTGAAGGCTTGACCCTGAGGTTGCTGGTACGATTGGGTCTGGTTCTGCTGTCCGTAATGGCTCTGGTAGTTATGGTAGCTCTGGAGATGCTGGGGTGGGCCTCCTGGAGGCTTGTTTCCTAGCTTTGAGCTTATAGTCTTGCCCAGCTTGTTCAGCATTGGCTTGCCCGTTGTGACCGCCTGCTCTAGCCGCTGATTCATCATCTGGCCGAATCCGGCAACTCCTTTCTGAGATTGATTTGGTCCTCCGTAAGTCGTTGCATTGGGCTGATAGCTTGGTGGCTGCTGGGCGCCTTGCTGCTGTGCTGGAGTGCCTTGACCCGGAGGGACATAGGGCCCTGGCGAAGGCATTGGGTTGTATTGCACCATGGTGGCTACAAGGTGAATTCGGTGAGCCCTCGAACGTGAGCAGAGTGCTTCTCCTGTAGACAAGAGACGTCCCGATGCTGCGCCCAAGGCTGGCCACGGCAGATGAGCATCAGCCGCACCGTACCGTATACGACGCTTGGCGGCGACCCGTCGAGCCTAGGGTTAGCGAGATCATTGTCATTAGTATGGCGATCAAAAAATATGGACCGTACGAAAGCATGGAGCAGTGCCTTGATCAAAGTCACGATAGTCGATAGTGGCATGTTTGGTGTTGCCCAGAGACGTGGATTGGTTTTGCGGAAGTGACGGCATGCTTGGACCCTGGAAGCTGCAGCTGTCCAAGCGGAGCAGCGTGCGGACCGAGATGGTCTCCATGTTCAGAACCCCACCCAAGCATCGTGATTAAGTTGTAGCATTATTAAATATCTTCCATTCCCACAACACTGCCGCATCAATGGATAGCAGAATCTATGCGACTCATGCCTCCCACTTCTACCAGAATCTTGACATGGTTCTCCTTGTCGTTGATCAAGGTTTTAATCCCGTCTTCTACTAGATCCTCTAGACTAATCTTGCGCGTAATCATATTCATAGGCTTCAAGGTACCTACAAAACACACATGTCAGCGACTGGGCGCAGCAGGTGTTTCTCAGGGTACAGCTTACCAGCAGCGAGATGTTCGATAACCGCCTCGAGGTCCTTTCTTTGATAGCCCAAGACGGCTGTGTACTGCGCCTCTCGGAACACAAGCATGTTGGGGTTGAAAGGCACCTCTTTCTCCCAGATCGCGACATTGACGACCGTGCCCCGAGCCCTTACTGCTGTGCAGGCGGTCGTGAGACTTGCTGGTACCCCAGCGCAATCGAAAACCACATCCGGCCCATCCCTACCACTAAGCGCCTTGCTCATCTTGACAACATCGTACGTCTTAGGGCAAAGAACGTGATGAGCACCAAATTCTCTCGCGAAGCGCTGCCGTGCGCCGGATACCTCGCTCATGATAATCTTCTTTGTGCCTAGTGCCACCAAACATTGGACAATTGCGAGCCCAATTGGTCCACCACCTAGAATCATGACGACGGAATCTGGTGTCAGTGGAGCAGCGGAGACAGCATGCCATGCGACACCAAGAGGTTCTACCAGCGCGCCGACATCAAGCGGTACGTTACTGGGCAAGTTTAGTACCGCACCCTCAGGCACAACAACGGAGTCGCTCAAGCCACCACCTCCTCCCGAAAGCCCGATGAAGCCGCCGTTCTCGCATACATTCTCGGAGCCAGCTGTGCATGCATTGCACTTCCCGCAATATATCGTCGGCTGGACAACAACGTTTTGGCCCACGGTAAAGCCCGAATCATCCGATCCCACTTCCGTAACAGTCCCCGAGAACTCATGTCCCAAGGTGATGGGAATGGTTTCATTCGTACACGGGTGCGGTGTCGTCGGTGCGAAGTTAGGTCCGCCGAGGTATTCATGGAGATCGGTACCGCAGATACCTACGAAGGCCGGGGCGACCTACTCATCATCAGCTATCGTATGGACAACCCCTAGAAACTCAAACCACATACCCTGACTTGTCCCGCACCACACTTTTGCTCCTCCACATCTTCAATCCGGATATCTTCTTTCCCGTAGTATCGTGCTGCGCGCATGCTGTAAGTCTTTGTTCTGTCTGTGTCCCCCCAGTTCGGTAAGCCCATAACTCAGCAGAAGCGTTGCACTCCTCACGAGCAACAACCGTATTTACGAATGCGTTTTCAATGGCAGACATGACCTCCGCTTTCTACTAGTGACCTCGGTCCCGCTTCTCGGAAGCTTTGCGCACAGCCCCAAGGCCGATTGTACATGTGATGCAGAGGTACCCACAGTAACCAGCTGTGCCGCTTGCTATGTACATATCCACAAGCTCTGGATCTACTTGCCCAGTCCGAATCTGCAGGCGCCATGTGGCGTAGCGGCTCGCACAGGAGGGTCGCGTCCGCTTGGGCGGTCGGATGCGGGGGCTTGTGGTCGCGATATCAGGAGATGTCTCCGTAATTCCCGTATGCCCGGTTCCTAGTGGCTCCGTGTGAGTGAGTTTGGTGGAGTTGGCGGGTGGAGAATGAGGCGAGGCTAGGTCTGCGGGGGCGGGGAAATTGTGGGTTGCTGAGTTGGGCAACCCGGATGCTGGGCTCTCTTTTTGCGCTCCTACGATTCAGTCGCTTGAGCGTTCGTCTTCGTCTCATGGAATGGAAACTTTAGTCTCTTTTTCTTATCAACTGTGGACAAGTTCGTGGAGCTTGCAGGTCCTAATGTAGGTTTGTAGACGAGATCCTATGTTTCCTAAGCTACTCTTAGCTACTAGGTACCCTAAATCGGTGCATTCTTCCCAGAGTAATTAGCCTATTGATGGTATGCGACGTGAAAGCTTGAAGACATGCTCTAGTCGCAGAGCATTTGTAGACTAAATGGCGTGAGCCTCCTTGTAGCAGACCGCCTTATTATGACACGAAGCTATGCGGGGTTTACTTACTACGATAAGCGCAATGCCATCGCTTTGCTTTGGCGCATATAAATTACATTATCTTAACACACTTAATCCTCTTATCGTCAAGGGTCGCTCTTACTGCTAGCCTTGCGTCTCTTCGAGCTGGAGATGCAGCCGGTTGTTACTTCCATCCATAACGGTGGTGTCATTGGAGAAGAGATTTCGCGAGATATAGAGCCTTCGATCGACGAGCAAAGTTCCGCTTATCTGTGACATATCCAATTATTGTTAGAATCGTGGAGGATTGCTAGGTTACAACGGGGTACCATGCGTAAAGTAGCTGTCGAACGGAGAGTTGTAGGTACTTTGCAACTCAGACGAATCGCTACCATGCAGTGATTGCTAAGGTCTATACTATATGCTCTAAGCTTAGCGTGACCACCCCTGACAGTTATGTTAGAGTGTTGCCTGAGGCACCCAGGCAGAGCAACGCCACGAGATACCAATTGTGTCAGCCTTATCCTGCCTCAAAGCCACGAGCTAGGCTGCAATAGTCAAAATCTCAAAACGATAAAGGCTGCAAAGTCCTTGGCAGGAACGTGGTTGCCTATGGTTCCACACTTCATGGTCTGACCCACAACGACTGCGCCTCTTTTCTGAGGCTGAATCACGGCGCACACATTCCATATATTCAGCCGAAATTTTCACCTGGTAGATTCTATAGCATACGGACGGTAGAATGACGGCATTTCAGTCGACCAGAGATGCGGTATCGTACACGTGGAACAACAACAACACGCTTCGCTTCTGTTGCAAGCTCATAACCTGCCCTCTCTTTGGCGATTGCTACTATATGCGTAAGCGAACACGCAGCCCATCGGAAAAACAATTAAAAAGATATACAGTCCTAGCTGATGTGAAGCACCGCAGGCGTGTCAGACGAGTGGCAAGGAAGCGCATTCCATCGGTCGATGGAGAGAGATGGTGGAATAGCAAGGCAAAGGGCCAGTCGCAAAGTCCTCTTTTCGCTAAACTACCCTTGGAGTTGCGGTTGCAGATATATGAGATGGTGCTGTGTGATCAAGAAGAGTTGACCATGAGATTCAACGAGGATCAACCGTGGGATCGTTGGAAAGTTAGAGCAGAGCAAGGCCGCGACGCTAAAATGTTGAGAACTTGCAAGAAGATGTTTGTCGACGCTCTTCCGTCTCCAGTACTTTGAGACCTATCGGCTAACAGAGTTACTAGCTATCGCGAGGCCGCCTCGGTGCTCTACTCCAAGAACACCTTCAAATTCGACTCCTACAAGCTGCTATCCACCTTTGTATCAACGATACCTCCGCACCGTCTTGCCTCTATCCGAAAAGTCGTTCTCGTTATCACTCTGTTCTGGAATGGTTGCGATGGTTTTATCATGTGGTACAGAGATCTGCTGCCACTACTTCGTGGAATGCAAGGCCTCGAAGAGGTATGTTTGAGATACCGTTTACGAGAGAATAACTACGTGGTCCATCCCTGCTTCAGCGACTTTACGCTTCTAGAATGGCTTGAAGAAGGGAAGATACCAAGGGAATATGCAATCTTTTACGAGATGCTCGAGGTTCAGACAGGACCAAGATTTGGCGGTATGCTATTTGATCGGTGGGCTATCGGTGAGAGAAGGAGAATCGATATGAAGAAGTAAAGGCTAGCATTCCATAGTTATTTACACAATGACGATCTTTTGCTTACGCTCGGGCTTTAGGTTCAATGTGTTGAGCACATGGCCATAGATCCTGTCTGCTGTCTGTCCGATACCGACTCGTTGGTGACAGGCATCTGCACAACTCGACTCTATAACGAGCAGGAAATATGTTATGGGAACATGGCTAAGACTGAGTTCCAGTCTTTGCGATACGACGATAGCCTTGCATTGGATGATGTTGCTTTCTGGGATTCGATCCAAGTAACCTGTGCCGATGCAGATACCTCGCTCATCGAATATATCAATCACCATGCGAAGATATGGGTCGCTATATGGCGCATCTCCGTTTGAGCTCGATCGGCAGGTGACGTTGATACACAAAGCATTCATCATCAGAATGTCGTCGTAGGTATGCGCACTGCGGAGACTCGCTCGCAGAGAATCAGGCTGACATTCAAGAATCTGTGCCGCAAGATCGCTAGGCATGTTGCTCGACCCAAGACTAAAGAGCATACTTACTGGGCCGTCCAGAGATGCCCACGACCAAGAAGGCGCATTGGAGGTGGCCGAAGGCTTCCGCGCGGGCATCAATGATCCTTCAGCGTGCCACAGAAGCCCGGAATGAGCGTCTTCGATCCATAAACCAGACTTGTACGTAAAGCTCGTGATGTCGCGGAATATCTCCGCAATCCCAGCAATCGCGAGCAAGACATCGCTTCTGTAGGTAAGACTCAGACCAGAGTACTGACACAAGATGCGATACCATTGCACCATGAAGAGTTCTTTCTGGACGGTGCGTCTGCTAAGCTCGCCTACGACGTTCTTGTTGGAGAAACTTAGGCAGCGCTTAAAGGTTTCTTTAGTCCAGCCGCCCTCATCACAGGCTTCTGGCTCGTCTTCCACACTTCTCTCTCTACTGGAGCTCTCGAGACATTCCCAGAAGATCTCGTTCTTCTCAAAATGCACTATCCTCTTCGACAGTAACCGTTCCTGTAATACCCATGCTCGCTTGCTTAGCGGAGATTCCCGTAGTACCTGGTTCCATGATGGTCGCGCTCGGCGGAGATGAAGGTTTTGACCCAGACTGGTTGTCGGGACTGACTCTCGAGGATTGAGGAAGCCGACGTACGAGCCGTGTGCGCTTAATATAGACAACGTGATATACGCGTTTCGATAGTAGTTTCCCATGTCGCTAATGTCCAGGCTGCGGCTCTCTGCATCATCCTGCACAATGCAAAGCGCGTCTACCCATAGCAGCGAAAGACCCAGTCGCCTGGTCGCGTAGATGGCATCTCGAAAATTTGATGGAAGGTAATGCAAGTCCAAGCCCGTCTTGAAACTCTCCACTGTTGCCCTTAAAGTCGTCGCAAGAGTGCCGGCAGCACCCCAACAATGGCTCAGTGCGGCATAACGCGTGTCTCCTTCGCAAGTCGACCCATACACCAATCTTAGCGTATCCACGTTCAGCAGTATGTTTGGCATCGGAGGCGCATGATCTTGACGACAACATGTGTGATTAGAAGTACATTTGTCGAGCCATGTATGTATCATGTTCCAACATGACTCGGAGTCAGGTTGCGCATGTATCCTTCTGAAGGGCGTCTCGGTGCTTGGGTGGTTACCTGTCGTACGTAAGTATCGGACACGCAGTATAGTCTCGTCTATGCTTACGTTCGGTGAATATCTCGAATTGATGCACGGTGTTGTTGAAGTCGACTACACCTAAACATGATCCATGTCGAGTTACTTCAAGATGAACATCCTTTGTGGGCCGCCCGAAAGAGTGGACAACGAGCTCTTCGTAGAGATATCTGCAGAGAACGCAGCCCCGAACAGCTGCGATCTTCAAAGGTCTCGCGTAGTATCTTTGAGTCGTATCGTGATTCGCGACCAAGCGACAGGTGGCACATAAGCTGCTGGGGTTCCAAGGAACAAGCGGGATGGGCGTGATTACAGTCATGCTTTCGTCGGGTAAGGAGGGAATGCCACGAGTTCAATAGCAGTCGACTTGGAGTAGTTGTATAAGCTCTCGGGGGCTGTAATTATCGCTTGGTCACTTGAGGCCGCCTATGTTTTGTACACAGCCACCATGTTCGCAGCAACACATGGGATGATCATCGCTTCAGTCTAGAATAAAAGGCACCGGTTGGATGAACTGAATTATGACTGCGGAAGGACCTTGGAAACGAGGCGGAGGGTTTTGATGTGACAAATTACGAAGGCTGACGCGAACTGCGCGGCTGTTCCGTATATAGTCCATGCCGTGATAGGCATAGATTCGCGCATGACGTAAGTCCGCCCCTTCCTCTGTACTCAGGCATACTGCCTCACCCTTCACCGCCGTTCGACGCGCTGCGTATCACCTTGGATCTTACAACGATGCGACGTGCAACGAGATTTATAGGTAGGACTTCACGTATCACCACAGAAGTTGACTTGTGTTACTGTTCCGTGGCTTAGTTGATGCAGCATAGCAGCCTTCGGATAAAGCCCGACATGCAAGGAAATGTCGCTCGATTGCAGGGTTATCATTCACCGGTAGCCTCTGGGGACCTTTTTGATGCAAGCATGCAGCCATGTTTCATCGTAGCGTTACGCAGCCATTATTTGGGGGCTGCTATCTCAAGACTGGCCATCTGTGGAGGACACGGGGTCGATAATATGGGTGTCAGTCGAAGGCTTACGCTGCGCCCCACTCTATGCAGGTAGTTACCTCGCCCTCCACCGTCCACCTTTGCTTCATGTCTCTTTCAACATCGAATGATCTTATACACCATTCGTTTGCAAATGTTAGAAGTCTAGATAGGACAGAACGCAGACGCACACCTAGTCGGCAACCTCGATAGCTGGTAGTGTCATCATGTCAGCTACTACCGGAGCCACTGGGACAAGAACTACGTCCCTTGCAGCCACGGCTCGCAATACCAAACCTACTCCATCGCTTTGGGACACTGCAAATTCGAAACTGGACATCAAATCACGGAAAAGCCTCGCATCCGTCAACGTAGGAAACGGCCGTGTGATCGATGCCGTGTCAAAGGAGGCGGTTACCCAACAGAGAGCCCTCTCCGCGAAGAGATGGAAAGCAACTATCGGTGGCAAAGAGGTCATATTGCGCGACGTTCTTGCAAAGATTATTCGATGGGTAGACCATTTTAAAGCTGTGGGTGATATCGCCGTACAATTTAATTCGGGAGCCGCCAGTTTGCCTTGGGCAGCTGTTCGATTCTTGCTGCAAGTTGCCATCAACGACAAGCAGTATCTGGAAGCTACGATCGAGGGGATTGAGATGGTCACTCAGAAAGTTGCTACATACGCTGCTATGGAAGACCTGTACATGGACTCGGACTTCCAGCTTCATACCCAGATCCGCAGCAAAGTCCTCGGACTCTACGTCCACATTCTGAGCTTTCTTGCAGAGAGCATACAGTATTTCAAAACCAAAATGCCCAGTAAGTCTCACATTTGACTCCTCAGCGTCAATCTCTGACGTACAGCAGGCCGTACAGCAAAAGGCGCATTCTCGACTAACCAGGGCGAGAGACTTCGGCAGATAACTAAGCATGACACCGAAATTCGACAACTAGCCAAGATGTGCGACTCACACGTCCAGCGGCTTGTACGAACGGACGTCATGCGGATCGATGAGAACATGATGACTTCGCTAAAAACACAATCGTTCCGCGACTTCATCGCATGGCTATCATTGACACCATACAGAGAGCATCATACCCGTCATTCCAAGCACCGCTTACGCGGCACTACTCAATGGCTTACGAACGATCCCCGTTATGTCGACTGGAAGAGCACTGCATCTTCATCGCTTTTATGGCTTCGCGGTATTCTGGGCTCCGGGAAAACCAATCTGATCTCTGCAGTGATTGATGATTCACTGCATGGTACTAATGTGCAAACACCAGTTTTGTATTATTACTGCGGCGACACCAAGAGTTACGGCGGCAGAAGCGACGCGAAGGACGTGATGCGAAGTCTGTTGAGACAACTCACTGTCAAGAACGAAGACACCTTTGAGATCGTCGAGCAAGTTCACCTGGAGTTCAGGCGGAGACAGGCAAGAGGAAATGTTGGCATGGGGGATGTGGACAAACTTGAGCCACACGAATGCACACACTGGATAGCCGAACTCCTCCAAAGCGATGAGGTAATCATCATAATTGATGCCATCGACGAGATCGACATCACGGATAGGCATCATCTTCTCAAAGAGCTCATAGCGCTTCGAGACGATTCGAGCCGTGTTACGAAGATGCTGCTTTCCAGCAGAGATGACACGAACCTTACGCAATGGCTAGAAGGGGCACCAGAATTGCGCTTACAAGCATCGCTCACTGAAGCTGACATGGAACATTTCATCAGACATTGCGTTTCGACAGCAGTCGACAACAAACATCTTCTTGATGGTAGGGTGGACCCTATCTTTCAATCACAAATAGAATATTATCTCCTCGACCGAGCAGGTGGAATGTGAGTCCTATCATTTCTTTGACATGATTTCGGCTTTGCCTTGCTATAGACTAATACACCGATCAGGTTTCGATGGGTGGAGCTCCAATTGAAGCACTTCTGCGACCTGAAGGCTGAATCCAGTATCAAGCACACGATGTCAGATCCTGCTGGAGCTTCCATTCATACCGTCAATCAGCTGTATGCTACAATATTTGATGGAATTCTCAAGACGGATCCTGTGGCATACGAAATAGCAGCACAAACCTTCCGGCTGATGCTGTGTCTGCACGAGATCATATCTCCTCTGGCACTACTTTCTGCAGCATCCATCACACGCGATGGATCGAAGAACTCTTTGGAGCTTTCGGATCTACTCAGAATCTGCTCCCATCTGGTAGTTCTCGATGATGAGCTCGACACGATCCGATTCGCTCATGCTTCCGTTCAAGAATACTTGTCGCGTCTCCCAGAATTCAGCATGATGGATGCCAACAGCGCAGCCGCTTCGAGTTGTCTTATCAGATGTATCGACAGTCCGCTCTCCGATCTGACCCTCGGTGTTCAACCTTCTGCCGATTTCGACGTGTATGCAGCAATGTACTGGCCGCTTCACTACAATGCCGCGAGCGAAAAGGATCGTAGTGGTCATCTAGGGGATACTTTGAGGGAATTTATGTTCTCTGATCAAGAGCTCATGCCACCTTTTCCATGCTGGATCGAAACAGTGGACGACATCGTAAAGACGCTATCGGGGCCACACATACGTCGCTCAGACCTGACCGCTATCGTGAGCGAAAGCGCCACGCCGTTCTTCACTGCCTGCGTCTACGGATTAGAATTTGCTATCGGGGTTCTGTCTGGAACGTCATCCTTTGATGTGAACATGAAGAATGCACATGGAAATACTGGGCTTTACCTAGCCTCGTCTGCGGGTCAAGTCCGGGTGGTGGAGGATCTACTGAAGCTAGGCGCTGACATCGCAATCGAAGGTGGGCGTCACACAACTCCACTTCAAGCTGCATGTGCCAACGGCCATGGAGACGTTGTGCAGTTCATCATTGATGTCTCATCTCAGAACCTCACAAACGAGATGATTACCTCGGCCATGCATGCAGCTTTACGTAATGGCCATGAGGACATCGCAGTAATGCTTCTAAAGAAACGTGCTTTGCCTATATCGCAAGACATCCTTGGCCAGGTGTTTGAAACTGCTGCAGGCATGGGTTTCATAGAACTCATGGCCTACTTGCAGCGGACATCACAGTCGCTGAGCAGAAACAAGAAAATGGCAATCAGAGGCGCGGAAAAGACTTTCCATGATGATAAGATTGAGCGGTTTGAAACGTACTACAAAACCAAGGCACTGCCTGATGACGCAACCGCAACAGCTGCATTCTATGGCCAGAACAAGATTATCGAATTCTGTCTCAACAAGGGTCTCGACATTGAGCATGAAGGACCGTTCGGAACACCACTTCGTGCGGCGAGCTTGATGGGCCATGGAGCAACTGTGCGGTTGCTTCTTGACAGAGATGCGATAGTTAGTTCGAATGGATCATTCGGTGACGCGCTCCAAGCGGCCTCAATGAGAGGACACTTGTCAATAACCACAATGCTGATAAGAAGTGGGGCGGCTGTCGACAACTCTGGTGGTTACTACGGCAATGCGCTACAAGCAGCCACGTATCGCGGCCACATCGACGTTGTAGAAGCCCTTCTTGCAGCAGGCGCTTCTATCAGCCAAAAAGGCTTGTTCAGTGATGCGCTAAGTGCGGCGGTGTCGGCGGGCAATCAGTCCATCGCGAACTTGCTTCTACGGAGGGGCTATCAAAGCACATCCCTCCTGGATGATGATGAGATCATGCGCATGACATCCGCTAATTCTGAGGCGCCTTCCCCAACGCACGTTGATCTTCTATCAACACTCAATTCGACACATCATTCTGAGCGCAGTCTGCACACAGATCGAGCAAACGTGATTGAAGGACGGGATCTCAGCTTTGGCGCGGCATACGAGAGCATCCATAACGGTATTGGAGTCGAACACGCCACAGAACTCGCAGATCTTAAGCACCATGAACGGTTTGGATCTCATTCTCTGCTCGTTGCTATAGCGGCTGGCCAAGAGTCTATCGTCCGCAGTATGTTGGATTATCGCTCCTCCATTCGGCTTTCGTTATACAATATCGGGGTCGGACTGAAGGTGGCTTCTGCGGCTGGCCAAGTCGGTATTGTTGACAATATTCTGGGTACACCAGATCTACCAGGAAAACACATTCCACGGGCATTGGAGCGCGCAGCTTGGTATGGGCATGTTGCCGTCATAAAGCGGCTTCTCGAATGTGAGGAAGCATACGGTCCCCCACCATCCAATCATTATGCCCCGTTCACTCCAATGGAATATGAGCAACCTATGAGAGCGAAACGTTACAGGAAGATAAGTCAATGGTCAGACAAGAATTTCGGTGACAAGAAGGAGAGCCGATGGTCGGACTATTTTTGCCTTTCTCGCAAAGTGGTTGAAACGAATGAAACGGCTGATAACGGTCATGTCATGAGGATTCTTCTACTAGGTTGTCGAGGTAACGCACCAGACACAGTGGAGCTTGCACTACAATTGGCACCGGAATCCGGCCTACAGAATCTATTTCCAATCGCTCTAGCTTTCACAATTGAGTGCGATAGCGAACGAGCATTGGAAGTACTCTTTCGACATCATCCTTCAATCGACACGATCGC